CTCAGACAGGAATACAATACAATACATGGCGCAATCGCGCCTGGGAGATAGGATATGTCATGTCCGTCGTCGCGCATGGTGTGCTGGCGACTAAACCAGATCGACCTGCCAATGGTTATCACCTCGACCGGCCTGCCGGCGCAACCCAGCCAACACCGTCCGCCCCAGCAAGTGGTCGACGATACGCGCAACGCCTCCGCCCTCCGCAGCGATGCGCTGCTGGGCATACAGCACAACTCCAGCCGGTGTGCCTCCGCCGTCCGACTTGCGCAGCTCGGCGTGCAGAGTGGTCAGCACGTCCCCGACCGTGACTGCCGCGCCCGCCCTCCCGCGCGAGCGCACCTCGAACTTGGCTTTCAGCAGTCCCGTGTCCACGCGCAAGACCAGCACGTCCGTCGGCGGGGCGCAGGCCTCGGTGTCGAGCAGGGCTTGGTGCGGCCCGAGCTCGCTGCGGAATGTACGCGACGGGAGGGACAGGTCGAGGTGCATTTCACTGAGACATGCGTTGATGGTCGGTTCCGTCTCGCTGTCGTCTTCGTCGGAGGAGTCAGGGAGGGGGATTGGTTGGGAGATGAGTGGGGTCGGTGGTATAGCTTCCGCAGGGTTGTAGATGGGTGGAGGATTGGGTCCGCTCCGGCTTGTGGGTGGGGACGAAGATGCCCAAGACGAGCCGGACCCGGCCGAGCTCTGCCGTGTATGGCCCACTGTAAACTCTTCGACAGCGGGACTCCAGCGCACTCGTTTGCGGTCTGGGCTCGGCGCCATCGTCTGCGTGAGGGAAGAGGATTGTGGTGGTGGTGGTGGTGCTGGGGAGGGAGTGCGCGGAGAGTGCAGGCTCTCATGAACAGCATGCTGCAACTTCCGTCTAGGGTGCTGTGTTGCTGTCCTGTGCGACTCGGCTCCTGATTTTGGGGCTCCATTTTCGGTCATCTGTGTGCTGTTGGTCGCAATCGGGCTGGAAATACAATCGTTGAGAGCGATCCACTCTGTTTTGGATCCAGGTGCTCGATACGAGGCGCAGTGCAGAAATCGAGATCGGGCCTGAAACCAGCGCCGCTTTCTTTCTAGTTCCAAGAAATGTTCGGTATAACCCCAAATAGGGAACTTGGGTCTAGTGTTGAGCCCTAGCTGTTGAGTTGCGACGCTCACCCGAGTCTGCGTTTGCTGACCGCCGAGTGTTCTGGGCAAAGGGCAGCTTGTTTCAATTCGTTACTGACACTCACACATCATCCTCTGTGCCTTATATGTGCGAACTAGCCCCGCTGCGCCGCCCACAGTCGGCCAGTCAGAGTGACTCAATCAGCCATCGAAAACAACATCGCACCCCCGTTGCTCATCCATCGCACCGCATGCACACACACGACGACGAGCTAGTGCCGTTGCTACACTTTCCGGGGCTCATTGATGAAATTTGCGTTGCAGGAGGCCCCAGGCTGTCCTGTGGCGCATGGGTGAGTCGAGCTGCAGTGCTTTGCACGGCATGTCTGTCCATTGATGGCGCGTCTGATGGATGACAAAGCATTGACACGCCTGCGGCGGTGCAAAAAGCAGAATCCTGTCAGTGGATGATGAGATATCGAGTTGGAGTCTTTCAGTGGGTCGGTCGATGAAACGGCGACACTTCCAGCAAAACCGCAGCAGTTGAAGCAGTTGCGTAGGAGGTCCTTCTGTTAGCACATAAGACTGCATGGCCTCGTCCCTCCATTTACATATAGGCCCAGTCCTTCGGAATAACGGGGGCATACACGGAAAGCTCTTTTCAGTGAGGAACCGCCAACTCGGTAACAAGCTGACTAAATTGAAGCGCAGCACAGTCGTTGCCTGTCCTCGTTGCTCCTGCGGCCAAGCCTGGAGCTTGACTCGAGTCCAGGGATGCCGAAGATGGTCAGTGATGTGACCGCGCTTTGTCTGAAGCTGACACATCCTGCGAATTCCTCCGTTACAGCTGCCGTACAGCATCATCATCATCACGAACAGGCTGCCCACCCAACGCTGCAGAATGACATCAGCACCGCGGCTGTGCTGCTCAGATCAAGGGTCACCCCTCTGCGCCTGCGTGACGCTTCTGACACAGCACGGCCTCTTAGCGTGCACACACAGATCCCAGCATGAAATCCCCGTCATCGGGATGACTCGCTGTTCATTTTCTGACCGCCGTGTTCCGCTGCAACGAGGCCGTAGTACGAGGCGGTCGTGACACAGGCCTCACCAAGCGATGGTCGCCTCATGCTTGCGACGGGGTATTTAAGACGACGAGGAGGCGGGGTGGATTAACCACAATCTCATCCAATCTCCAATGGCAAACACTCTCCAATCGTTCGTCGTGACCGGCGCCAACCAAGGTGTGTCCGATCTGTCCATCGCGTTTTTTTTCTGTCGGGCTCACGGGATCCGTTCTCGCTGCGCAGGTCTGGGCTACCACACCGTGCACCAGATCGCACAGAAGCCGCACAACCTCGTGTTTCTGGGCTCGCGCCGCCTCGCCGCGGCGGAGGCGGCCATCGCCAGCTTCGCGGCGGACATCCACCCCACGTCGGTGGTCCTGCCGCTGTACATCGACATCACGAACGCGAAGACGGTGGCGGATGCGGCCGCGGTCGTGGCCGCAGCGCTGAAGGAGCGGGGCCTGTCCGGGCTGGACGTCCTCGTCAACAAGTGCGTCGTCGTCCTATTCCTTTCCCCACCCGCTGTGGATTCTTCCACCGATGACTCACGGGCACCTCAGCGCGGGGATCGCCACCGGCGACGATGCGGTTATCTTCGCGACGAACGTCATCGGCACGCTGGCGGTGAAGAACACCTTCCGGCCGCTGCTCAAGGCAGGCAGCCGGATGGTGAACGTGTCGTCCGCGCTCGGCTCGCAGGCGCTGAACGACGCGCGGCCGCCGGTGCTGACTATGCCGCACCTGAAGACGTACGCCGCGAGCAAGGCCGCGCTGAACAACTTCATCATCCAGTGGGCGTTCGAGGAGGAAGAGGCCAAGTCGGGCGTCATCGTCATGGCGCTGTGTCCCGGTGCGTGTTCGTCCAGCGGGTATGCGAACTTTGATGACTGACTGGGGGTCTGGTGGTGCCAGGTCTCACGACAACGGCGGGGACCGGGTTTACTGAGTATGGATCGCCGCCGGCAGAGACTTGCAAGATCATCGTCGACTCCGCTTTGGGCACGCCGAAGCACGGATCCTTCGTCGATGTCAAGGGTGAGAAGATACCCTGGTAGTCGAATCTAGACTTGTTGGAGCGCGCCCATCGGTGTATAGAGTACTGGTAGAAAGAATAGATGGCGAAGCAGATATCTCGTGCTGTATGCTGGGTGTGAACTTTCTTGTTGTCTCAACCAATAGACGTCTGCTGCGCTGGGGCCACAGTGTGTGGACACAAATGTCCGAGAGAGAGTGCGGAGATGCTCTGTGTGAGATCTATTTCGCCACTGATTCTCTTTCACAACTCAAGCCATTCAGCCCAGGTCTCGCGCAAACATACATCGTCTTGCGGGATATTCATTGCGATCAATCACCGTCTTAGACACCTGTCGAACTGCTAGCTATTCTCCTTGATCGTACTGTGTAATGAATCAGAGTGATTCTGCAGCCCACCCAGATCAAGGTGGTATCTCTGAGGCTCCAAGACGAGCGATCTTGCCTTGGGCTCTGGCGCGTTGGAGTGATCGTTCAGCTCGGCCGACAAGATCATCCTTACCCTATATTCTACGCAGAAGAGGTCTTGATTAATCTCGAAGCCCCGGTTTTGTGGGACATCGATTCGGAATATAGATATATGGAACTATCACAATGTTCCCATTGACACTCAAGCACTATCACTCGAAATCGGACAGACAAAAGTACTGAACATGGAGCCGCATGACCATCTTCGCGAAAGGGCTACCTGCATCCTACTTTCATTTCCTTCCCTGTTCGCCTCATTGAGATCAGCGTAGTATGCTCTCTGCGAATGCTAACAAGACCGACCTTGCAAACAACGCGTCTTGGGCCACACGGGAGGTTTATTTTGGGTGTACAAATTTCGTGTTATTTGCTTGACGATTCGCAGGCTCGCAAATGCGATAGAATTAGCCATGCAGACTCGGCACGTGACAGCTATCCTCCATGACGCAGGCTGACATCCCGAATCACCGGTAATATCCGGCCCGAACTTGTCCATGACTGCCAGTGGTACTGTCAGTGCACTGGAACGGTCATCAATGTTTATCATGTCTCGCGCATGACTCGTTGAAATAGTCTTGAACTCGAGACGTTGAGAAATCTTGCACTCAAGACCCATAGATGGATTATAGATATTCTTGCAGGATCTCGAGAGCCTCCGTGGGTGTGATTCTCATCAGTCGATAGATTCGCAGATGAAGGTCTTGATTTGCAGCGCACTTCCTTGGCCGCTCCAGTTGGGTTTTCAACCCGTACATTCCTCACTCAACCGTGTCGAGCTTCTTAGTCTGTGGGTGCCAGTTTCGGCCCGGCGTGACAAAGAACGTCGGTTAGGTTCCGTTAATCCGTCATTGACCTGTGTGCACATGTCATAGGCGATGCTGACTGCTGGTTTTGTCGGCTCTTATGCGCCGATCGGGTCATTTTACCACTGAGTCATGCCTCGACTGAGTAATGCGCAGATGTTGCACAGAGCGTATATAACGGCGTGGTGACCTGGTGAGTACCCCCACACAGAGAACACAGTATCAGTATCGGATAATGAGCGGGTTCACTTACGCACTCTGGCTGGGTGAAGATGGACGTTACGACCCGGAAGAAACTGAAGAAACATGGGGTGAGTGGGTCTGTGATTAGGTCAGACTGAACCTTGGCTAATGCTACCTGGTGCCTCCAGAACACAGCACTGCAGGTGACCCTCATCGGAACCCGCTTCTGCACAACGCCCGTTGCTTTCCATCGCGCAATCTCAATGACCTCGAGCCCTCCCCTTTCTGCGTCGAGGAATCTGCGCCGCCTCCCCAAATGGCACCCCTGATGCCGGAACTTTCCCTCGATCTGATGCCGTCCCCGACGGCGCCCCTGGCGCAGCGATGCGCGTACTGCGGGACGATGACGGCGCCCGCCTCGACGCACGATCCCGCGGCGTCTTTCACTCTGTGTCACACATGCACGGTGTATCTGTCGCAGCGCGACAAACCGCCTCCGCGGCGCCTCCGTGAGAGAATCGACTTCGTCGCACCAGAGCAAGGGAACGGGACGAGGGAGGGCGGCGCGTCGCCCGAGCACGGGACCAGGTGCGCACATTGCGGTACGCGCGCGACAAGCGCCCAGCGGACGCATCCAGAGGGAATGGTAGAGTGCAGCGCGTGCGGGATGTACGCGCGGCCGCATGGGTCCAGGAGGGGCCGCTGAAATCGGAACTGACCGGGCGAGGTCGGGGGTAAGGGGATGGTGAGAATTGGAGGGAGAGTATACCCGCCCGCTTCGAAGTTTTCAATGATATCCTCCTCTCATGGTACACACCCGACGCCCGATCTTGAACGCGTCGGGTGGGATTGCGATTGCGCTGCAAGCCGGTATCATGGCATCTTGTCCCCCGAGCGTACACATAAGATGAGCATTCAGTTAATCGGAGCATCCACACTATTAATGCTACTGATTGCAGTTCAGTAGAGCACATCACAAAGAAATAAATTCTTATAATCGGTCGGCAGACCCATTTATCCTTGTGTCGACGCGACCTGATGATGCAGTGTCGCATCGGTATCTGAATCCCCAGTATATCTTTTCTTGTCCCCTAAAGCTTCATGTTCCGCCAGCTGAAGTCCATTCGCAGCCCATTCGAAGTCATCTCTCACGCCGAACGCGTAGAATGCATGGTGACCGTGGGCAGAGGTCCGTGCCAATATATCAAAGGTCGGGTTATGGTTTGGATCCGGTTACACGGCCGCCGCGATGCGCTCGAACCCCTTCTGTTTGCTATATAGGCTGCTGGTTTTCAAAACGCAAGGCATCACGATGCTTCGCAATGGAACCCCCAATATTCAAGTGCCGCATGCGAGCGATTGTTTTAGGGTGGCGTGTTTGCTCTGCGCATTTGATGAACTTTCAACGCAGAGCACGCACCTAATGAACTTTCTGTTTGCTCTACGTTGAAAGCTCATCAAGTGTGCAAAGCAACAGCTCTCCCGAATTCGAGACCCACCAGCCGGGGAGCTCATCACGCAGTTACTTCTGGTCAGACTCTATAAAGCACAGAATAAGGGGAACTGATGCCAGCTCTATGGTGGTATTCTCCCAAAGCTCGATGCAGCGTCCGTGATACGATAATCATTCAACAATAGTCCATGATGGGGTCAATCAATACGATTTTGGCAATTTCGATCCCTCGTCGACACCAAACGCGTGGGCCAGATCCATCCTCGAACCAGATGGTGCGGCGCGTTTCGAGCGGAAGAAGAACGTAAGCGAGCCCCAGATTTCTTGCACAAAGTCAGCTTGACGATATCATCAGTCCGACATCGAGCATTTCGTAGAGTGAAACACGAACAGAAGTTGAGTCTAGACGTTGTGATAAATCAGTCATACGCGTTTCATTGCACAAGAGCTATACGCACGAGTCCCAGATAGGTCTCCACATCCCCAGTATGCTCGTTCGTATCCGTTTGCCCTGCGGATCGGTCTGGTGATACTCGGTGGCAGGATATGCCCACCACATGGCAATCGCGAAAAAGACCATCTATGCAGGCAGATCATAAGACCTTCCGATCGCAGTACTGAGAGGCACGCACTTCGATGCAGATGGCCAATGCGTTGAGTCCATCGGCGATGTTCGTCTCTGTCCAGTACTTGGTGGCTGGGAGGCGTCAGAACCTTCAACCAGCCGATAATACCGAGTTCCTGACCGTGGATGACACGACCCTCAAGCGCGGAGAACACGAAAGACTGGTAGAATGTGAAGAAGACGATGAGCTTGATGCACAGGAACTTGGCCAGCGGGCGCCGGCCAGCAAGCTCATCGTGCGTCAGCCCATAGAAGAGCAGCAGCCCATACAGCGCCACGCTGGGAACGCCAGTCAGCAGGATTTCCTGAACGCGAATAGCGTATAAAAGGTAACGCACGATATGCTGACGAAATCAACAGCGGAAAGATACACGCTCGCGAAGCGGGGATTGAAGCTTTGGGTGTCGCACAGTACATTGTAATGTTCGCAGATCATCCCGACGATAGAGATAACGGGCCGAACGATCACATATTGCATGACAGACCACTATTCCAAAATGAGTAACCCGGCCGTGAGCGAGCCGGAGAACGATCGCCGCTGACCTTCACACTGTACAAGAAGTACGCCTAGATAATCTCTCAATCTTCAACACTTGAAAGCACTGAGATGACGCACCTTCGTCGGTTTGTACCTCCAGCAGCAGAACGGCATGGGCAGAGGCCGTTTGTCCTTGCGTGCCATGGCATCCTCCGCCTTGTGCCCCGTGGCCGTGTCCGCGACGTACTCGATGATCAGGAGGCTGTGGTCGAGAAGACGTGATCAGTCGTGATATGTGATTCCCGTCCGAGAATCCCGCGTACAGGAATGCGCTCAGAGTAAGAGCTTCGTAGGCTGTGCTCCGAGGAGGCCGAATCAGTCCACGCCAGCAGGAGACCGCGCGAATGCCACGCACCGACGTATATGAGGGAGTAGTAGGTGTAGCTCCGGAAGTAGCGGTACGAGAAGAAGGAAATGACAGCGTAGACGGGCGGCATATATAGGATGCGGATGCTGCGCGGGCCCGGAGGTCAGCAACCGAGACGGACCGCTCGGGATGGGAACAAGAAGCGGGCGCACATCTGTCGTTGCTGCCGCGGGACATGGTAGTTTCTGTGCGCAGCGATCAGCAACGTGCGGGCCTGCGTGCGCTAACGCTGCGCGCATGGACGCGACGCACCGGCAGTGTGGAAGCACCGACAGGAAGGTCACAAGGACAGTCTGCGTACACGAGCGCGTGAATGGGCTGCGGAGGAGATATTCAGGATTGAGAGAGACCCACCGCAGCAGAGCAACTACCCGCTACCACCCATCCAATCCTGCACGCCAGATCAGTTTCGGCCCTCGCTCGTCACAGGAGCCGCCAGACTCGCCGATGCGGATCCCACGGCGCTGTAGGATCCCAGAAGGAGGATTGCTCGATGGCCGCGGTGTTATCGCTTGGACAGCTCATGAGAGCTTGAGGGACAGAAGGAGGAAGGAAAGGCAAGAAGAGAAAGAGTGGAAGGTGAGCGTGGGAAATGTGCTCATGACAGGCTGACAGCCGTCTTAAAGGAGACTGCGGACCGGGCCTCGTCGGCTAATCATGCCGAGTGGGAAATTTTGCTTTCATTATGCGCGCGTCATCCCAAACGGTCACCTGTTCCGACAGATATGCGCTTTGACTGTGACGCGCTCATGGGCTCAGCTGTTGCGCGCACCTCGACGTGCGTGTCTCGATCCCTGAGGTGATAAGAGGCCCATAGCGCGAAGACTGGCAGACGGGTTTGCGCTATGACAGAGCCGATCGTGAATTTGCATAGCGCCCAACAGTATTAGCCACATGGCGAAGATCACGGTGGTGGCATGTCGAGGAGTCATCCCTCGTCATCCTGGGCGCTGAAAATGGCAAAAAAGAAATTACCGACCCTCACGTTGACCGGGTTCTGCGACGGGGAACACACGAGTTGTGCGGTCAAGGCGGGCAAGTCTTGGCTTTCAGTCATGTTGGCGGCGAATTTGGGTAGCAACTTGAGCCTGGGCCCGGAATCTTTCGCCTACGACATTTTTTACGATAGCTGGGCTGGGTCCATAGACGTCTCCTCAGTCGATTTTCACATAAATCGAGAGAACGGGACAGGCTGTCTCCTGGGCCAAAAGATTTCACAATTAGATCGATGGAGCCATTATTTTTCCCCGGGATATTTCCAGCCTCTCAAACTTCAGGCTTTGGATCCCCTTCACTTTGTCACAGAACTACGACAAGGATGCCTCACATCGCTTGGTCCGTGACATCGTGATCACAGATCAGATCCCGCTCGATCGCACCAGACCTTAACAAAAGTCCTGACGCTTTCGTAGAAAGACCTTCAATAGATACTCATTCTTCAATGGACGGCTTCATCTGGGAAGATTCTCAAGTCTCTTGAATACAAAAAATCCAACTAGAAGATGCAGGTTTGACGTCATCGTGTGGCTATACAAGCTGCTCGGAAAATTGCATCCTCTTCTTTATCAAATTTCTCCAGCCAATTGACCCCGGATATCCAACTTTCTTCTTACATTAATTCCACAACAAAGAAAAATGACATGCTTTATTTGCGAGCGAGCAGAGAGAAGGGGATAACGAGAGGTGTTGCTATTCAAGTCAAGTTAGCCACACAATAAGGCCGCAGGACTCTATTGGTCAGAATATTCAAGGGTCGTGTGAGTTGCAGTTGAGTAAACACAGCGCTGGAATCACGCTTCATTAAACAATCCTTCAGTGTCGTAAATGGATGACAGTATCTCACGTTCGAAACGCCGATCGCGTCAGGTGAGCACGGCCCCGGAACCCCCTGACCGCGTAGATCTACTCGCTCGAATTCCCAGTTCACTCTTAGCTTATTCACTTCGCAACAGCTAAACGTTTGACTTGGACACCGGAAAAGATGTTCTTGTATTCAATGGAACTGGAACATAATGATCCACTGTCAGTCCGCTAGCCGGAGCAGCCACTGCGATACAAAGCGCCCTGCGATTCAGGCGAATGCAATCTTCGACGCCCGGGCGTACACTGCCAATCCAACCGCCACCAACCCCAGTACAGGAACGACTAGATCTCCAGCAACACGGCGGAGGGCGGCCCTGGCGGTCGCCGTGGCACGTTCGTTGAACGCCACGCTATCATTAACGTACGGGTAATCACCCCCTTCAGGGATCGGCACCCCGAGGAACGGGCAGAGCGATTGCCAGCCCTGTTTCGCGTCGAATTCGAGCAGCCGGTCCTTGGGTACCAATGCGCGGACCCGGTCGTAGTGCGCGACGAAGCGGGCCTGCGCTTCCTCTGCGGACGGATTCGGCCCGTTCAGTTGCAATCCGATCTCTCGCGCCATCGCGGCGAAGTGTCTGATACCGGACACATCGACCATGAGGGCCAAGACGAATGTGAGGTTGTTGGACATGTTCCCTATAGTGGAGGAGAAGGATTTCCACCACTTGGCGGGGTCACGGAGCGTGAGGATGACTTTCGCTTCCGGGTAGGCGGCGATGAGGTCCTCCGCGTACATCATGGGCGGTGCATCGGTGGCTGCCTGGCGGTGCAGTATGTTATCAGCGCGGGAGACGCACAACAGCACGTCGCAATGAACGCACTTCGCAGTGGCCAAGGATCTCGTCCCATTTCTCCCTTGCTACAAGCTCCCCCTTGACATATTTCGTGTGGTACGCTTCTCTCCAGAGATCCGCGTCGTGTGGGTTGGCCCACACCGACTCCATGTGGTACACCTCGTCGTAGCCTAGAATCTGCAGCGCCTTACGCATGGCTGCGATCGATGTTGCTGGTGAGCAAATGAGATGCCACGCGGGCTAAATTAAACGCACAGGATGTCCCAGTTCTCGGATACCCGAGCACGAGCACCTTCATCGGCACTGTGCGCGTCTTGCCCCGCCTCGACTGCCATTGCGAACGGGGGGGTGTCCAGCTGGAATATTCTTCTGGCGCAGAGGTCATTGTGGAGCGGGAAAAAGTACAGCACGGGAGCCAGTCAGACAGACAGTTAGACAGACAGCAGCGCCCCAAGCTCGAGTTTTTATACCAACTGCTCCAGTGTCAGCTGGCACGACTGAGCCTACGTATCTCGGAGATGATCGGGCGCGCTTCCATGACACGCAGATTGCATCCCTGTGGAGGTGAGCCTGGAAGCTTCACGCTTAAGCAGGGAAAAAAGGCAATCAAGGGCGAGTGATCGCTTGATATCCCGCGACCGAGACCCCGAAACGTGTGACCGATTGTACTTACACAAATCCTGATCACATGGACTCTCTATTTTGCGACCCACGATTGCTCTAATGAAGTTCGGCAAGACTATGGCTAAACGACTGGCAAGGTGCAAGATGGATGGTTAGGGTGGGCCCAGGAAAAGAGGGGCCGCATCTCATCGAATTCATCTCTGTGGACCAGCCCGCTCTCGAACACGTTTATAGGGTGTTGCGGCCGCGCCCGATTGTTGCTGGATCGATCTGTTATGTTCCCTTTCGGTTCCCAGACTTGCCGATTGTGAAGGCTGAACGCTGAAAATTCATTACCGCTCCCAGAGTACCAGGGCAGGACGGTTACCCAGCTCAGATCTCCCGCAGTTTCTCAGCGCACGCAAGGTTTCTCAATTGAAGTGGATTGAATAAATGTTATCGAAATACCCAGTCGTCTGGTTGTCTCATCCACTGGAGTGACATTACTGCCCACGCCGGAAGATGGTGCGAAGCGTGTGGGGTCCTTCGGGGAAAACTCGCCGATGAAATGTCCTCGAGGTATCCCACGCTCTTGCGATTGCGTGATCAGCACCATGTGGGCACGTCATCCGTCGGCCGAAACGACATCAACGAAGTTCCAATGGACGAGCATCGTTACACACGAGACTGAACTGTGTCTCCTTGCCTTCTTGTATCCGCGATAAACGCATCTGCAGAAGTGAAATCGGGACGTACCTTCACTGAAAATCAAAAAGAAACCGAGACATGGGAGCTCAGTCGCTTGGGAAGAATGCAAGCGCTCTTTCCGCGATCGACCGCGCACTCATTTTAAGAGCAACGGAGGCCAAAGCGTGCCGCGATATCGCCAAATGCCCTTCCCAACCATCTTTCGACAGAACCTATCGGGCAAAGCCTACCCGTGATTGAAGCCAACGTGCGGTTCTGCATCTCGATCAAGCCGGAGCCACAGGACATGTCTTGCCTTCGTCTGGTATTTTCGAGCGATGGCAGTCACATCCATTACGCAATTCGCGTTTGCGGGCGACCTGGAGGCGGCTCAAGTTTCTCCATTCACCCGGCCCTCGAGGAAATGCCAGACACTTGTCTCCACGTTTTCGGCCGTCGACCGCATGATCGTCCACTGACCTCCATTCCACGAATTCTCCCTGAGCACCACGCAGCACTGTTTCGGGCGACATGTCCAGGCAGGCCATCGTGTCGTTCACGTCGATTCACGCTCGCCGAAGATCAGTTCGTTCTTTAGATCTTCGACGATTTGGGAGCATTGCAAATGTTTTGATTGTAGACAGAGAGCGTTCAAAAAGACATGGAACTCTTTCGTTTCAATTGGCGGGAGAAACAGTGTAGGTCCAATTCACACTGCGGATTGGAATGCTTGAGGCGCTTAATGGTAAATGCAGCTGTGTTCGATATATTTATTGCACATTGTCCCTGGAATTAGCGCTGAGACTCGGTCCTTGATGCAGCCTGTCTATCTCCAACAATATAAAAAGTTCTGCAGAGTTCGCTACGTTCACTGGTATGAATATCACGTGGGAGATTCCATCACGTTCCTTACTACATAGATGCACATGACTCGGATATAGTATACATATGAGACGTCACCGATGGAAAGCAGCCATCAGCGGTAAATTAGATTAATCATAAGTCACTCTGAGGGTGTTAAAGGCAAGTTTTGTGCTACTGAGGTGTAAAAAAAGATAGAGTAGTGAGCCTCAGCCGGCTAGAATACTCGTGAACCAAGGCCAGGTACTGGGTCTACAGGTAGGTCGTCTGAGTAAAGGATAAGTAATGATGAGCAAGAGAGAAAACGGAGCTCAAACAGCTATGAAGTAGTGAATGACTGATATACAAGGTCCATTAATGCAAGTATTTAAATCTTATACATGCAACCAGGTCGGTCAAGAGAATTTGACTGAACGTCACATGACCCGAACCTGCAGGGCCGAACACATATTCGGCGGCATCAATTCATTAAATTAAAGCAGCCCATTTAAACTAGAAAGCGTCGGCTCCGCCGACAGAATGCCTTGCTACTCGATTTAGAGATCATCACAGTTTCAATCAGCATTCAGCATAAATTCATGATCATTCTTATCAAACAGGTTTTAACTAAGCTCCAGCAGCTCTTGTTTTCCTCTTTGGGCTTTCATCCATGTCAGGAACCGCCGGCCGACGCTTCCTCAAGTGAGACAGCGTCAAATAGGTTGTGTAGGACATACAGACCGAATGTCAGCCTTACGGCCCTGTGTTCTTACCTATGCCCGTCCACCTGTGTTCTTAACAAGCAACTGTCTAGTGCTAGTAGCATCAAATCGATTCCGCATGGAGGAGGTAACAAGGCTTGCCGCGGACATCAGGATTGCATAATGAGCCATGAAACAGCCGTACGTGAGTTAGAACACATTCATGATCACGCGGATCATACCACGGATCAGGCGCATCTGATTTGTGTGTGAATATAGGGTCTGGAGAGTGCCTTGACAAGCAAGGCAATTTCTTGTGTGTGACGAAGACACAGCCCATAACGCTCGTAAGTAACGATTAACATGAAGTGATCCGAGTCACATGATTCTGACAATACTAGGTTGGAGCCGAATCACCGAGTCTACACTTCACGGTAGACTTGCTGAGCATAAGGTGCGGAAAATATGGCTGCAAAGTGTTCCCGTTCAGAGATCGTTTCTCTTCGGCCGTCATAGGCCTTCGTTCGAGATGCTGTCAGTGATCGAGCACTCCGGAGCGTCACCACTGACGGCACTGTCGGCCCGGCCCCGAACAGTCAAGAGCGTTCAGCAGAGTGTTTGAAAAAGGGAGCGTCTCATTTCCCAGAGAAGGACGAAATTGCAGAAGAGCTATCTCTTGAAATTGTCTTTCATGACAGCAGGTTATATCGAGTCAAGGACAAGATCTGCATGTGCTGCGGCCGAATCTATCGATGAACAAAGCACTCTCTAGACCAGTTCGGTAAGCAATACCGTTTAATAAGAAAGACCTTCCTGGGCCAGGCAAGAAGCGGCAGACGGGCATGGCGCCTGTTTATCTCTTACCGAGATGACCGACCTTAATCGGATTTCATCGCAGTTAATTTCGCCTGTGTGGTTTTACCAGCGACTTGCAATCTACGTCGATGCACCCGCACTCACACCACGCTCTACGCGAACCCGCGTTGAATTGCCAGCTACGATGGGTTGTACAAAGGGAGTGGTATACAAGTACACGCTACGGAAGAAATCATTCCATCCAGGGTCTACACATTTGCGTCCGGCGTGCGATAGAACTCGCGGTACCGGTCCAGATCGAGCGAGCTCCGGCCCCGCGCCGGCGGCGGACCCGGGAGAAGCGGCGGCGGCTGCTGCTGCCGATGCCCAGTGCGGAAGGTGTCGAGGGACGGGAAGAGCGGGAGCGCGCCGCCGCCCGGCTGCAGCGGCTGCGACGCGGCGAAGCGGGCGGAGGTCTCGGGCGAGGGGAGCGGGAGCGGCTGCGCGACGTTGGCGCGCTGCTGCATGGCGGGGGCGGCGCGCTCGCGCTCGTCGAGCATGGAGCCCTCGCTCGTGAACGCGCGCAGCGGCTGTCGGTGGTGGGAGCCGGCAGCCCACTGCTGCTGGTGCTGCTGGTTGTGCTGCTGCCGGTTTTGGGCCTGCTGGAAGCCCGCGTTGGCGCTGTGGCTCATATTCACATGCGTGTACGCCCGGTGCCGGAGCCCGGGCAGTCCTTGCTGCTGCTGCTGCTGTTGGCCCCCAGCAAACCCACCCTGGAAGCCCCGCGGCGCAATCAGCCCCGGGTTCATGAACGGCGGCGGGTTCTGGCGGAACGCCGGCGCGGCGGGGGCCATGTTGAACCCGCCGAACGCAAACGTATTTGACGGGTGGCCGGCGTGCTGTGGCGGCGGCGGGGGCGGCACCTGATAGAGGTACGCGTCGGCCGAGAGGTGCCGGCGATGCTGCGCGTGGGGGCCGAGCATCGGGTCGCGCACCTCGCGCGAGAACGCGCGGACGTGTGTCGCATTCGGCGAGTGCGGGAAGAAGTCGGCCGGGAGCCAACGTAACGCTTCTGCGCGTGGTTCTAGCCGCGTGCATCGGGCAGCAGAAGGGGGATGCGGAAGACGCACCCGTCTTGCCCATGTAGACATCGTGGTGGGATTTCCAGTTCCAGAAGTTCTGTTCCATCTCATCCGGGTTGTCGACGCGGATGAGCCCGGTATCGGGATCGGTATCCGGGTGCATCTCTTCCCAGTTGCCGAGCACCACATCGATTTCCTCCGGCGGACCGATCCAGACGAATCGTGGCCCCGGTGTCACCGCGATCGGATGTGACCCGGCTTCGTTCAGATCGAGCCACGGGCTGGTGGGCATGAGCTATCCGTCACCGGACACGCGGAATCAGCGATCGCGATCCAGCGGGCCCATCGATGCGGGGGATACCAGAAAAACGGACGCACCCAGCGACTGCGAATGAACGGGACGACGCTGATCGTCTTTTTCGGCTCGCTGACATCGACGACCATGCACAGCCGGCGCAGCTCCGAGTCCATGTCGACCAGCGAGGGATCCTGCCACTCCTCCTCGTAGAGCCCGCGCATCGACGGCGACGTCGTCGTGTTCCCCGTCGCGCGCTCCGTCAGCCGCCGCCGCGACGTGAGCTTCATCTCCTTGCGCGTCGTGCGGCACCACAGCAGCTGCCCGCGCGCGAACTGATCGAACGACGAAAACGGCGGGCGCTCCTCGGTGTATCGGCGAGGTCTCCGGGGCGGTTTCATCCGAAGGGGGGTATTGATGGGAAAGCTTGATCGCAGCCTTGATCGCGCGGACCCTTATATATATATTCTCGCTGCACATCACCACGTGGCACCGGTGGCACACGGTTCTTTTGTTACGTCCCCCCAGTCTGCTAGCATCCCCCAAAGTTCGTACATCCATCTACTCGCGATTGGGTCTCTCGAACCCCACATCGCCGCGATCCTGCTCAGATGAGCCGGAAAATGCGCGCCCGACGAACCCCCGAGCGCCATCAAGCTCAGCCAACATCCCCACGGTCATCTTCTGGACCCATTCTCCCTGATCGGTGCGGTCAGCGCCGCGAGATGAACCGAGAGAACGATGCGCACCTCGCAGTGGCTCCAGAGCCCGGTAAGATTCCACGGATCGCGATCAAAGTGCTCGAGGAGCAGGTAGTGCGTCAGCGGCGTCGCCCAGCGCGCAATCAGCGTCGGGACATGCGGCTGGATTACGGCAGGCAGCCGTGCCCCGACTTCCGCCGCCAAGTCTTCGCACGCTCCGTCGCCTTCTTCCATCGATCCGTGCAGAAACAGACGCAAGCGCAGGTCGCGGTAGGCAGCGTTCGTGTACGTCCCTGCCAAAGTGGCGTAGGGAGCGGTGGAAGCCGTAGGCCGGCTGGAGCGTGGCACGGGTGGCGCAGGCGCAGGCGCTGCGCTACGCACTCGCTCGCGGTAGCTATTGATAACGACAGCTGCGATGTGCGGAATGGCGTGGAATCGAACCGCGCTGTCCATTCGACAGGTGCGAGCCCAAAGTACTCGTCGAAGATCCGGTACTTGATCGCCTCCATCATAAAGTTGCCCAGACTATCGTCGTTCGTCAGCACGGCGACGCCCAGACTCTGCGACGGAATGCGGGATATCTGGCTCAGGAACCCGGGCGTCAAACCCCCGTGCTTGCGCGTGAAAAGTCAGGGCTGTCGGCGAAAAATCCTTGTGACCTGCGGAAAGAAAAATCACCTCGATGACTTCGAATCCACGGTATGTCCCACGAGATTGGCCCCCGCCATATGTCAGCGGTGAGAGTTCTGGGTACCGGCTGGTGGCAGTGTGAAACATTCATTGATTCAAGACGGTGTGAATGGCTTACGCAATAGGAGAATAAACCATAATCTCACTTGCTGCTTTCTCGATGACCTCGGCTGGAATGATCGTCTCGTTCTCCGCGTTTTCAACCTCTTCAAGTAGCGCACGAAGCCAGATAGCCTGCGGCATAAACAGCTGCAGCGATCGAAACAAACCACGCACCACATCCCGCGCCGTGGATACCATCCCACCCGAGCCAGCGAGAACTACATCCCTCAGCGGCAGTCCGTTACAAATCACTCAGCCACGCACCGGGACTCGAATCCGCCCCCCCCCCCAAAAAAAAAACTCAACCGTCCGCGTCCTCCCGCGATCAAACGGATCCCGAGCGACATCGGCGCCCTCCCTGACGAACCCATCCGCCAACCTGCCCCGCAGCGCCGGGTCTCAGAAGAACGCCGTATCGCGCATGCCGAGCAGACGCAGGACGTCCCGCCGCACGTACGAACCAAACGGCGTGCGCGCGGAAGGCGTAGGACGGGCGGAGGTGCCGCAGGCGCTAGATTTGCGGCGGGGTCGCTCCCAGTTCCTGAGTCTGTCTGTCTGCCCGCGGAACGGGCTGAAGACCCACCAGGCCCTCGACGGGGTCGGCCAGCGCGCCCATCATTTCGTGCGGCGCGAGCCCTGTGCAGTGGCTCATCAGGTCCGGGATCGTGCTCTCGCGGTTCGCGACAGGGTCCATGAGGCCCCACCCGGGGAGTATGTCCGCCGTCTTCGAGTCCCAGGATATGCGGGGCGAGAGCGACGCGTTGTGGATCGGGAGACCCGTGGTGATCACGTCGAAGAGCTGCGGGGTGTAATAAATGGAGGCTTGGGGATGAATAGAGAGAGAGGCACACGCGGTGGCGTACTTTAGAGTTGCTACCGATCGAGAACACGGTGTCCTCCGTGACGCGCGCCCCGAGCGCCGTCGCGTTTCCGTACCCTCTGCTCTCGAGGACCCAGCTCCCATTCACACCTCTGTGCACCACGGCCACGCCCGCCCCACCCGCGGTGTTAAAGTCGCGCAAGATTCCGTCGATGATGGCGTCCATTCACTTTGTCAGGCACACGGCTCCCTGCCTGACGGCGTTCGTTCTGAAGGCTTGTCGTAGAGCATGAGCGTTCGTGATCTGCGCGAGCAGCCAGATCACAGAGAAAAGAGTGAAACCAAGCATAGATGGGTGCTTTCGATGGCTGTGCCCTCGGCTCCGCATGGATTGATGGCTGATGGCGGAAACCTGGGGCTGGCTGATTCCGTCATTCAGCATCTGTCCGGCTTGAAGACGAAGGCCACGACGTATTGCGCTCGTCTTGTACTGACTGTAAAGACGCCCAGAGAAATAATTAATAAGTATGTGCTATGGATACATCGGGACAGGAAATAAACTAATACACTGATCTAACTATAAAAACAAGGTCCATCGAACGGGCCGTAGAACAAACCCGGTTCCGTGTATGCGTCCGGGAGCTGGACCCCGATAAATTCCTGCGCGTGCGACGGATGCCACGATGCGCCTCCATCAAACGCGCGCCAGTAATCCTCCAGAGGATCGTCGACTTGGGACACGTGAGAGTACACGAATGCCTCGCGCGTCTCCGTGAGCAGGGGGCTGCTGCTCGCGCTGGACAGCGGGAGGGGGAGCGGCAGGGCGATGGGCGACGCCGACGGGGATCGGGAGGGCGGCGCCCAGTCGTAGTCGCACGAAACACTGCTCAGGGGGATCGGTTGTCGGATATCGCGTTCGGATATGCAGATGGATGGGGGGTACGCGCAGGGCCGTGGAGGGACGGAATATTCGGCAACATCAGCTACGACGGGCCAGCAGCCCTCCGCGGCGCCGTCGTACGCGCGATGGTGGCGGGGGTACGGCGCGTGTTTCGCGCGGAGCGGACGCAGCGCGCACGTCCTCGCGGGCGCCTCCGGGCCCGATGGGGCGTCGGGTCTCGCAGTGCGGCGCTTCCTCGGGGCGTCGGTGTCGGCGGGTGCGGGGCGGACGCGCCGGTGCTTGACCGCGGAGATGTAGTCGCACGGCAGGTCGTTCGAGTGGCAGCGCAGACACGCGTTGTCCGTCGAGCTCGTGATGCACTGGCAACAGAACAGAAACAGCGCGCGGTCAGTGCCGAGACGAGGGAGTCACGGGATTGATGCGGGCGTACCTTGATTTTGCGCTCGCGGCAGCTGAGACAGGCGATGGCGACGCGGCGGGAGGATGCGAATACGGACATTCGAGAAGTGGTATGTCGGGTGCGTGCGTGCGTGCGTGTGTGTGTTGCTCCCTAGCAGGACCCAACGCGCAGGATCTTTATACCCGACTGACCGTCTGAATGAGACGGCCCAGTCAATCCCTCACGTTGATGGGAGAGGTGAATCCCACGCAGAGATCTTCTCCCTGCACACCGCAATCGCAGAATTCATCCGCCCTGCCGGCGGCATGAGCGCCGGTATGCATATTGATTGATCTCTTCGTCCCGCCTGGCAGCTCAGGTCGGTACGCATGGCAACCCCCAAAAGAGTGCCTAGAGGCTATAATTGTCAAACTCCCACGTCGAGAAACCAGGCAAAGAAATACCTCAAGGTCTTTCGGCGAATACGATCGTCCTCTTTCTTGTTGCTGATCTGCCACAGGGATGGCGGGATATGCTCCGGGCCATGCACGACAGCCTCCAACGAAGATCCCCCACCCATGCACCGACTCCCCAGTGCACGAATCACGATCAGTCGAATGCACCCGTGCGACTGTTCGTCGCCGTCCAACTCTGTTTCGATTCGCCGCGCACATCCGTGTGTGGGGGGGGGAATTCTGCCGTCCCTCGCGTGCGCGGTCTCTCGACGATATCTATCACACCTGATGCCTTCGAGACCGGCTGATTTGAGGGCACGGATCCGCGTTTCAGGTCGCCCCAGAGGCTTTAATGAATTATGGCACTTGCTGAAACTTGTACGATGGCCCTCTCGCGATGGGCAGCGAGCACAATTGTGTTACAGTACGTTCCACGGCACCTGTGGTCTGATTTCAGGTCCGTGCCTTTGCCTTACTTGGGACCTTGGCGGTTGGCGAGGCAATTGAGCAGCCTGAAATTGGAAAAAACATTAGGCTTCAAACTTGAGCGTCACCCCTTGGAGCGACAAGCATGAATGAATTGAGGGCTGAACAAAATATCAACACACCTGCGAGGCTCGAACCAGCGACCGGACGGTCGAGGTCATTACGTAACATACGCCTGGCTTGGCATCTCTGCGTTTTCTCACGTGCACCTGCAATCCATATCCATCCGTCGGCATTTGGGAGGCGGAGTGGCAGCCGACTAAGAACCACCGCCGAGGTTTATCCGCAACCCCGCTCTCAGCTCCCTAGCTCTCTCTCTCTCTCTCGCTCAATATGGCAGCAACAGACGCACCCGGGCTCCCGATGCACGACCTCCCTCCCCAGAAGACCGCCCACGACGCTCCCGAACGCGCCACCGCCGACGACCCGAAACACGCGCCCCACGCCAAACCCGAGCCCACGGCGCACCAAGCCGCGTGGGGGCGCGTGCAGACCGCGGCGCTGTGCGTCCCGGTGTTCCTCGCTGGCTGGTGCGCACACCCCGATCTGTGGTGCGGTGTTGTCGATGCTGAGATGGGCGTGGCGGATTCTGACAGGAATGACGGGACGCTGGGCCCGCTGCTGCCGCGGATCCAGGCGGTGTATGGCGTGGGCTACCTCGTCGCCTCGCTCCCGTTCGTCTGCGGTGCGGTGGTGAGTCGAGCAGTGTCCCATCTTGTCAGTGGATCCCGACTCCTCTGCGTCGCCAGGGCTCGATCATCGGCGCGTTCCTGACGATCACGATGACGCCGCGGCTGGGATTCGGAAAGGTGCGTGTGTGTCTGTCTTTTGTGGTGGGATCTCAGCCCTCCCGCTGATCGACGCAGATGCTGCTCCTCGGTGAGCGGTCATCGGAGCGTAGCGTGATCAGCTGACAGGATCCGCATCCCAGCGCCGATCGCGCAGCTCGTCGGCTACAGCCTGCAAGCCGCCGCGCTGCCCTACCCCGTCTTCGCGCTCTGCGCGACCCTCAACTCGATCAGCACCTCCATCCTCGTGAGTCCCGCACAGCTCAGCGCGAGGGCCGCCGCTCACGGGCGCTCGGGCAGGACGCGCAGGCGAACGGGTACGTCGCGAGCTTCGCGCGGAACGCCGAGACGCGGATGGGCTACGTGCAGGCCGCGTACGGCGCCGGCCTGTTCGCGGCGCCGCTCGTCTCGACGCAGTTCGCGCGGCTGCCGCGCTGGTCGTTCCACTACCTCGTCTCGCTCGGCCTCGCGCTGCTCAACTGGTGCCTCGTGTTCCTCGTGTTCCGCGGCAGAACCCAAGACGGTGTGTGGCTTTTTTTTGCTCTGGGTCGGAGGACTTGGTCGGATGACGCTTGCTCCCTCCTCGAGAATGCCTTGCCCGGATAGGACAGCCGGTGCTGCGCGTTGAGGGGAAGAGGAGCAGCCAGATGCGGCAGCTGTTTGGGATGAAGGGCCTGCACATCCTCGCTGTGTTCCTCTTCGTCCACGTCGGCGTCGGCGTGGCAATCGGCGGTCAGTCTCTTCTCTCTTCCTCTCTCTCGCGCTTTCGCACCGAGCCTCGCGGGCAGGGTGGACCGTCACGTACATGGTCGACACCCGCGGCGGCGGCGCCTCCGCGGGCTACATCGCCGCCGGGTTCTCGGGCGGCGCGGCGCTCGGCCGTATCGCCCTGGTCTGGGTCAACAACAAAGTACGTCCCTCCCTGATCCAGCCCCCGCCCGCCCACTCACGATCAACTTGTCCGCAGGTCGGGGCGAACCGCGTGGTCTACATCTACGCACTCGTCGCCATCGGGTCCGTTCATCCGTCCCGTGATTCAACCGCAGGCCCACTCACACCTCCCAGGCTGCAGCTCGTCGTGTGGCTCGTGCACTCGCTCGTCGGCGGTGCCGTGGCCGTGGCGTTCGTCGGGCTCGTGTCCGGGCCGATCTACCCGCTGGCGCTGAACCGCGCGGCCAAGATCTTCCCGCCGTCGCTCCTGACCGCGAGCATGGGCTGGATGGCGGCGATCGCGACCGTCGGTGGGGCGCTCGTCCCGTTCATCGCTGGTGCGATCTCGTCCAGGGCGGGGATCAAGAGTTTGCAGCCGATGTACGTTTTTATTTTTTTGCTTTTGCAAGGTCTTATCTTATCTTGTCTGCAGCATCGTGGCGATGATGGTCGTGATGCTGTGTCTCTGGCCGGTGGTTCCCAGGCGCATGACGGTAGTGGTATGATGTCTGCATGTACAGTTGAACGAAACAACCCATCCGAATTCACACAACGTGAGCTTCCGTCCCCGTCCTCGTCGTCAAACTGCGCCTCCACGACGCCTCCCCACGTGACCCGCCCGTGAGTGTCTCCGCCTGGCCGTCCCGATCGCGGAGCATCGCGTCACGGATGGCGCGGCGCGCGTTGAGCGTCCACAGCGCCGCGAACGCGTATACCATCGGCAGGACGTTGGTCGCGACGAGCGTCACCGCCAGCGCCGCGCTGCCGGAGTAGTAGTTCGGCGCGGCCTGTGAGGACGCGAGGACGACGAGTGCGCAGAGCGCCGCGGGCGCCGCGGACTGGATCGTCACGGCGGCGATGCGGTGCAGCGTGCTCGCGGTGCTGCGGAAGGCTTGGTCCGAGCGTGACTGCGGTGGGAGTGAGCCTTGGGGGAGACGGTGGAGACGCGCAGAGCGACTGACGAGGAGGAAGAATATCGTCGACCCACAGAGCGCCGAGTCCGCGACGAAGTAGAGGCTGAACGTCGCGGCGTCTGGGATCCCGGTCAGCACGGCAACGAATCCGGGGCGCCGACTTACTCCACCGCACGGGATCTCGCATGCCGCCCGAGGGGACGGTGAACACCCCGCAGATGAGCGCGACCACGAAGAGGAGGGCCATCGCCAGTGACAGCCAGAGCTTCCGTGACAGTGTCTCAGGGCCGTCCCGTCAGTGCACAGTCAGCGGAGGTGCGGAGGTGCGCCGACTCACCCACAGGCGCCAGCAGAAGAACAGCTGCGCGTAGAACGTGACGACGAGGTTGAGGAAAAAGTTGGTGTCGTATTTAATGGACTCCCAATCCGCGAGTGCCACCGGCAGGTTCCCATAATGCACCGTGTTCTTGACCTGGATCAGAACCCTGCAGCCAATCAGCGGCGACCGACCGATAGACGGAAGACCCACATGCCGTACACGTTCTTCCCGAGCGTGAGAACGAGCAGGCCGGCGACCCACGCGCGCAGGAACGGCAGATCTGTGCGGTGGTAGCCGTTCGCTGCGTACCGCGCGAACTGCGCGCACAGGACGCCCTGCAGGACGAGTGCGCCGCAGACCGCGAGGTCCTGCGGGGGGTTGCGTCGTCAGATGCGTGGAAGGCAGAGGAATGGGCGGTCGTACGAATGCACCGAGAGCCTCGTTGATGAATTTCTGGGCTGGGGACGACATGGGGGTGAAGGGTAGGATGCGGAGGATCTCTTGTCTCAGATGGATGCGGCAGTTCCGTGGTTGTGAGACATCCGGGGCGCGTGGGTCGTTCAATTTCTGAGTCCCGGATAAGTAAGGTGACTGCTTCATTTCATGTCAGGCTTTCAGCTCCGGACGTTGAATTTCTGTCGACAATTACTTGAATGAAACGGACAGAGCGGCCTGATATGCTGCCATGAATCCATTTTGACCGAAAACCGTTGAATCTCTTATCGCCATTGCGTCGGAACTGGTGGGACCACGATTAGCATCAGTGGCGGTGCGGAGCAGGGTACTCGTTCGTACAGTAAACAGCCAGCACGGCCACAGTTTCGCGTCAGATCAACCATCTTTTCTTTTCTTCACCAGTATCTTGTGCCACTTGACATCTCGCAACGGAGGCGAGATCGCTGTTCACTTGCTAATTATAGCTGCAAATGATTGAAGCTCCAGATGGACGTTATGGAAGAGGCTATGCGATTACAGTTGACAGTTGAGCTGTGTTTGACCCTTCCACCACCACCACCACGCATACGAGGGAGTCGAGAGGCCGAAGGACATGGCTAGGGTGCGCACGACTCGTACGGGACCAAGGTGAGACTCGAGATTTTGGTGTGTTCGTAATACGTCACGGCGTGACACTGACACTCCTTACACCAGAGCCTTTGCCTCCACCGTGACCGGCGTGACCGAGTGCCAGCCTCCGCCCCCCATACTCCCCCTTGAACTCCACTTCCAGATCATCGACATCTTCGCCTCCGACAAAAATGCACTAAAAGCGCTCTCCAAGACGTGCCGCGCCTGGGCGGGCCACTGCCGCTCGCTGCTCTTCTCCCACACCGTGCTCCGGCCCTCGACTCTCCCGCGCTTCGCGCACAGGACACACTCGATCGGCGCGCACATCCGCAGCATCACGCTGCTCGAAACGCGCGCCCGGCCGCGCGGCGACCTCCTCCTCCTCGCGCTGGGCAGCGCCGGCGCGCAGCTGCCGAACCTCCGCAGCCTCACCATCGCGCACATGCAGTTTGGCGCGGGCGAAGCGGGTGAGACGCAGGCGGCGGCGGCAGCGCCCTACGCGCGCGTGGCGCACCTCGCGCTGCGCTTCTGCGAGTTCGGCGACACCGAGGCGATGTGCGCGCTGCTGGCGCACTTCACGGCGCTGAACTCGCTGGAGGTGCTGCAGTGCCGCACGCGCCGGACGGTCGTGCGGAGCATGGCCTCGCCGCCGGTGCGGATTCCCGAGTGGGACCTGCGCTTTCTTGCGATCGATGCGTCCAGGGCGGAGTGGCTGGCCCGGGGGCAGGCGAGGTTTGGCGTCGCGCATCTCAGGATCACGGCGCTCGGAGACGACTCGTCCGTCCTGAACGCGTTTCTGAAGGACCTGAGGGCGGGGCTGCACACGCTGGAGGTCTGCCCGACGTACCGCAACCCCCGCGCCCCGCATCCTCCCGCGCACCGTGGTGAGTGCGAGCAGCCCGCTTTCGTGAACCACTGGCTGACCCGCCTCTCCCTGCAGATGTGCCGCTCGACATCCGGCCGTGCACCGGCCTCACGCAGCTCATCTTCAGCGAACGCGCGCCGCACGACCTCCCGCGCAGCGTCCTTCCGACCCTGCGCCAAGCGAACAGCCCACACCTCACGGCAGTAGAGCTGCACATCTCGCTCACGTCGATGCGGCATCCGGCCCTCCTGGACACCCCCTTCTCGGAAGTCGATGCCCGGCTGCGCAGCTTCGCGCAGGTGCGCCTGGTCGTGCACGACGACGCGAGCGAGGATCGCGGCAGCGCGCTGTATGACGAGGCTGTCGTGGCGCTGAGACAGAAGTTGCCGGCGCTGGATGCTGCCGGCATGCTCGGCTTCGTGCACCAGAGGGAGGGGGGCGACGTTTCGCGCACAGAGTGGCCGGTGGACACGCCTGCAATCGCGTCGACGGCTCGCCTTACGAAGTCGCATGGTATAGCGAGGATGGCGCGTCGAGTCCGGCAAGTGCTCAGCCTCCACGGCGGTGAAAAGGTGGAATGAGGGGCGGGTCGCTGTCCTCCCATTCGCCTCTTGGCTGGGTAGGCGACCTTCGAGGTCTTCGAGACGCCGGTCATCATACAAGTAGAGCTGAGGGGGCCGCGGGCAGAGCGGCAGAATGAAAATCCGCTGTCACATGTTTCGTTTTTGGACTCAGCTGCGTGTGTGGCCTGCGCTTCGCGACCCTTACCTCGACCCCACTGGTCCGACGCACTGGAGCCTGGCGAGTTCGCTCTTGCACAGCAATGTCGGCTGCCAAGTCACGGGCATCGTGCGGGTCCCGACACCAATGATCGTAGTCTTTCGGCTGTGCGGGGGCCTCCCGGGCAGCCCCACCGAGTGTGGATGCTGGGAGGTCTCCATCTGGTGTCTTTCTTCATGTAACCTGATTTCGGTACTGGTAAGATTAGCAAAGGGCCGGCGCGAAGCACTTGGGAACTTCGCTGCCTCTGCATGCACGGCAATCTTGCTCAGAGCCTCCTAGAGCCACTGGATTGCAAAGATAGTCTACCCGCAGTTTCGCCGGCCTGAAGCGCTTGCGCGGAGAAATCGGAGACTACACGTGATTCGGGGCCGACGCTGATCACATGTCAGCATGTTAACCGATTGCTCACGCTTAATTACCTTCCCTTCGCGCTAAGCGCGACGTTGCGAGCCTTTCGACCATAGGTGTGCAGGTATGCACTCCCGCATGTCTTGAAAAATACGGCCGATGATCGCCGAGATACGCTTTTACTGTCGTACCAGCTGACGAAGGAGCAGTGGCTAATAGCTATAAAACCCAGAATGCCGTGTAGACCGTTTGTCAGTCTCCCTACTACGTTTTTGACTTTCGCCCAACCATGACCGCACGTGCAGAGTCTCTGAGCTGGACGCCGCCGCGCTCCGAGTGGCGCTCGAGACGGGGCAAGACGCGCACTGTGCCGATGAAGGTGCTCGTTCTGGGGTATCCGAGGACGGGAACATCCTGTGCGTTCGATCAGGCCTCCCGTGGAATCTCATTTGCTCATCGGGAACTTTCAGCTATGCGCCAGGCGCTGCAGATTCTGGGCTACGACGAGGTGTATCGTATGGAGTCGGTGTTGGCCAACCCACACGATGCGGATCTCTGGGTGGAAGCATACCACACGAAGTCACACCGGGGGATCATTAAAAAAAGGTGCCCCAATCAAAGATTTATATTTTCAGTATTGTGTAAGGGCAACTCCTGCCAGCCCGAAGGAAGAGAGCACACAGCACACAACAACCTCACATGAGTCTGAGCACAGAGGGGGATCCTTAGAGACTATCAAATACAAGGGAGGTATACTACTCACCTGAGCACAGAGGGGGATCCTTAGAGAACGGTTCAAGGATCCATGTGCCCAGGTGTCACACTATATAGTCAGCTGTGACAAGTGACTGATGATGATGGGATATCACTGCCATGGAACAATGGCAGATGACAAGTAGATAATGACAAACCCAGATAAGATAGTGAGTGGCTCAGAGGGGCCAGTGATGGCCAGCTCCTGAGACACCAACAGTGGAAGGCCACACTGGTGGAGCCCAGCGGCCAGGCCAGTGCCGGGCCGGCCAGTGGAGACATTGGAGGCGAGGACCAATGCCCAACTGGGAAGAGGGGTGGTGCGGATGAGCGCAAGGGCATCTGGTACGAGCCTGTACGGCAGTAGACCACATCCGCGGGGAGAAGGCCGAAGTGAAGGGGGAGGAGTGCATACGGCAGTAGCACTCCCTGGTGCAAGGAATTGGGCTTGGCTAGACCGCTTGCGGGGATTCGAGGGAGATGGCCAGGGGAAGAAGGGAGAGGGCGGATGTCGGCATGGATGGAGATGAGGATCGGAGGAGGAGGAGGAGGCTGGGTGATCAACAGGTGAGCAGGCACGGGTCGGCAGAGAGGGTGCAGTGGGTCACGTGCATGGTCACGTGCCCAAGGAGCGCAGCGTCCCCTGACATATTGTAGTACAAAAACTATGCTACGATAGGTTGCCCAATACTTTTAATATAATCTTCCATCATCAGTTACCTGTTATATCAGCTATTGCATCCCAAAACGGGACCTACAATTGATTGCATATTAGGTCCAATCAAGACCACATTTTTTCTTGTCCTTTTTTGTAAGATATCAGGGCTCATTTATATTCAAGGTATGGTGGCATGATTTATTGGACTCAATCTCCCGCAAAATGGGGTCTAGATCAATGGCTCCAATATCTGAGCTATTGCAGCCCAAGAACAGTCTGCCCAGATATCTCCGATATTGGGGTAATTTTTTTCTATCAGTCGGTGGCAATGTGCACCAATACTGGGCAGACTGTTCTTGGGCTGCAATAGCTCAGATATTGGAGCCATTGATCTAGACCCCATTTTGTGGGAGATTGAGTCCAATAAATCATGCCACCATACCTTGAATATAGATGAGCCCTGATATCTTACAAAAAAGGACAAGAAAAAATGTGGTCTTGATTGGACCTAATATGCAATCAATTGTAGGTCCCGTTTTGGGATGCAATAGCTGATATAACAGGTAACTGATGATGGAAGATTATATTAAAAGTATTGGGCAACCTATCGTAGCATAGTTTTTGTACTACAATACTGAAAATATAAATCTTTGATTGGGGCACCTTTTTTTAATGATCCCCCGGTGTGAGTACGTCAAGGGGGAGCTCGTGAAGCGGGAAAAATGGGACGAGATTCTTGGACACTGCGAGGTTCTTTATGCCACGTGCTCTTGTTTGTTCCCCGAACTCACCCATTCTTTCACAAACAGGCAGCCACCGACGCACCACCCATGATGTACGCCGAAGACCTCATCGCCGCCTACCCCGAAGCCAAAGTCATCCTCACGCTCCGCGACCCCGCCAAGTGGTGGAAGTCCTTCTCCTCCACGATCGGGCGCGTCCCGCACAACCCCGCATTCGCGCTCGCCATGGCGCTCGACGTCTCCGGGCTCGCGCACTTCAAGCCGCTCGCGCAGGGGATGCACCTGCAGCTCAACGGGCCGGATCCGACCGCCGAGCAGGCGCAGGCGCGTTTTGTCGCGCACTACGACAGGGTCCGCGCGCTGGTGCCGAAGGACCGGCTGCTCGAGTTCGACGCGAAGCAAGGGTGGCAGACGCTGTGCCCGTTCCTGGGGGTGCCGATCCCTGATGAGGGCGAGTACCCGTACTCGAATGACAGCGCGGTGTTCAATGAGCGGGCGACCGCGACCGCCCGGGCCGCCCTCCGCCGCGCAGCGGGAGAGATAGTGGCTCCGGTGTTGGGGTTGTTGGCAGTGGGCCTGGCTGTGTATTTCTGATTCGCAAGCGTTTAGGTTCCAGGATTCGTTCTGTGTTGACGAATGCACGCTGCGAAGCAGCAGCAGGCAAAGTAACTTGGTGGACAACGGATCAGAATGTCACTTGGAGTTTTAAATTTGTTACAGACCTTGTGATTATCCACTTGAGAATTACTTGGCTTATGTGAGCGCGCGAGTGACGCGATGGTCCATTCGTGGATTATGGACAGTTCTGTGCTTCCGATCCTCCCGCCCACCCGTTGTAATCTCTGAATTCGGTTGAGCTGGCAAGCGATCGCCAATCGTGACTTGAACAACATTGGGTGATCCCAAGATATGGGCGTCGTCCGTATTTTGCTTGGATGAAAAGCGTGATTCATTCAACTGGACGGCGGGTACCGCGCGGATGCCGAGTTGATGTTCCTGTCTGGTCACGGGATTGACACAGTCGCACGGGGGCAATAAGCAGGCACGTGTTGTGGTCTGGCGCATCACTTTTGTCATCCATCAGATGCGCCATGCACGCACAGCAATTCATTCCACCGAACAGCCTCGTGCAACGTCGATCAAGGAATGTATGGCAGCGGCCACTGCATCATGATGCATGCTGTGCAAGTAGCGCGCAATGAGGTGCGATGTAATTTAGTGTCTGATCGAGTCACGGTGACTGACCGACGGCGGGCAGTGCAGCTGCATGCACAAAGCGTAGAAAATGATGAATTTGCGCCAGTCGCCAAGTGCCAGAAACTGCCCTTCATCCCGAACACTGAGCGGTGAGCAACGCCAGGCTTGAGTGAGCATAGACCTCAAACATCGCGACTCAACAGTCGGGTCCAAACACCAGACCCGAGTTCCCTATTTGGGGTTACGCCCGACATTTCCTAGAACCAGAAACCTGCCCCAGTTTCGGGCCCGACCTCGGTTTCACCACTGCGGCTCGTATTGAGCACCCACGACCAGAGCAGAGAGGATATTTCAAGGAGGTGAGGGTGCTCGTTGCATCTCTTTCCGGGCAGCTACCAACAGCGTAAAGATGACTGCAAGTGGAGCCTCGGTTTCAGGGGTCGTGTCGGACACGACAACGACACAGCTCCCCGGAGGGGAATTGCAGCATGGTGTTCACGAGAGCCTGTACTCTCCGCGCACTCCCTCTCCACCACCACCACAGTCCTCTTCCCTCAGGCAGACGATGACTCCGAGCCCAGACCGCAAACGAGTGCGCTGGAGTCCCGTTGTCGAAGAGTTCACAGTGGGCCATACGCGGCAGAGCTCAGCCGGGTCTAGCTCGTCTTGGGCATCTTCGTCCCCGCCCACTAGCGGGAGCGGACCCCATCCTCCACCCCTCTACAAACCGGCGGACACGACACCGCCGACCCCACTCATCTCGCAACCGATCCCACTCCCGGACGACGAAGACGAAGACGACGGCGAACACGAAGCCAACGGCGGTGAGACGGAACCGACCATCAACGGGTGTCTCAGTGTGATGCAGCTCGACCTGTCCCTCCCGTCGCGTACATTCCGCAGCGAGCTCGGGCCGCACCAAGCCCTGCTCGACACCGCGGCCTGCGACCCGCCGGCGGACGTGCTGTTCCTCCGCGTCGACGCGGGGCTGGTGAAAGCCAAGATCGAGGTGCGCTCGCACGCGGGGTCCGGCGCAGCAGTCACGGTCGGGGACGTGCTGAGCACCCTGCATGCCGAGCTGCGCAGGCCCGATGGCGGAGGCACGCCTGCGGACGCGGTGCCGTATGCCCAGCAGCGCATCGCGGCGGAGGGCGGAGGTGCGCGTATCGTCGACCACTTGCTGGGGCGGACGGTGCTGGCTGGGCTGCATCGGCAGGTGGGACAGGGTGATAACCATTGGCAGGTCGATCTGGTGTCGTCACCGGCACCCCACGACGGGCATGTATTCTCCCATCTTCCAGGCGCCATTGCGCGGCGTGTTGTATAATGTATTGTACTCATATCCGAGTAGCGATCGACGTGACGCACCCATTCAAGCTGTAACCGCACAGGCTGATGTGAGTCACAGCACCGATTGCATCGCAAGCTGCAGCAGAATGGGTGAGCGAACGGCTACACATTACGAGCAGGACATTGAAGGTAGGAGGCGATTTCCTTTTTGGGACATGAGGAATAATCGAATACTCACGAGCATGGCTTGACCACGTTGCTTTCTTCGAGTGGATGTAGTCGATAACATGCGGAAATGATGATCATCGCATGCACCGTCGCGCTACTGTCTCGTCAGCGAAAGACGATAGCAGCCAGCGCACAACCGCCTCATCCAGCCTCGTGAGGAGCCCATCCTTTTCCCTTCGCCACATGTGTCCCGGGACCAAGTAGCAGCTGCTTCGACCGCCCACACGGAAAGTCCCGCTGAGTTCGTGATACAGTCCACACTCTGCGGCAGACATTCGTAAAAGTCGCGTCCTGCTGAACGACGATCGCTTGAACGTCCTGCACACTGTGCTCCTCCTGGACCTCTCCAACCGGCGTAATAAGACACAGCGGTCCCCCGTGGACCGATTCCGCCAGCGTACGCAGCTTTTTCGGCACTTCATCGTGTGAATGGGCCAGATAGCCTGAGATGGTGTCGCCCGTTACTTGATGGTCAAGTGCAAGCGAGCGAGCTGCATCTGCTGCTTCCCACACGAGCAGTTGTATGTCTTTTGTGGGCTGGGACACGTCCATGTCTGCGAGCACCTGGCGGAGAAGGCAGAGATGTGGAATCCACACGGGGCTGCGAGACCATATGGGCTGCGACCAACGATAGGTCAAGAACGCTGGGCCGCCGTGAGCTGTAGAAAGATCCAGGGGTGTAGCGGGCTGGAGGCGCCGGTCATCTTCGTCGAGAAGGACATGAGAGCACGATACGAGTCAAAAGGAGGACAAGGACGCGGAAGAGGTCGGTCAGATGCGTGCGTGCGAACAGGACAGGAAACGCATTGCAAGACAGGACCCAGCCCCACCCATTGCTGTTGGGGTAGGCTAGATACGCATTCATTATGAGAGAGACAGGAGCTGGCATGCATAGGAGATCCAGAGGTTTTCGCGGTTATGCGCCATCCAAACATAGGCCGCCGTCACTGAAGAACGTCTTGAAGCATGCAGTGGAGGTGGGAGACAACGAGGGATGTGATTCATGACGAATTCCGATGATACCTTGGTCTCTTCTTGTGAGCAGAGTTTACAGGCTGTGTGCGTGGTTCTCGTCAGGGGTCCAGTCTACAGTAAAGGCAAAGATACACACTCATAGAAGTCACCCTCCGATGTGTGGCTTGCGTTCTCTGTCCCGTGCCTTCTCACTGCCCCAATCGACACACCAGAAATCGGCGCTTGCTTCAGGTCGTGCAAAGGTTAGGTATCGAGTGTGTTGGTATCGCACACAAGCTAGTGGAGCACCAGACTATTTGACTGATTGTGACGCGGTTCAGAACCTGCATTTGCGTGGGGGACTCTCGGGGACAAGAATTAGAAACAAGCACGCGGGCGATCGAAGGCAAGCCTCGGGCAGAAAAAATGATCGTTCCACGTGATTAGCCCCACCGGCCCGACAAAGTCCATCTGTAAATGTTCTGTCGTTTCAGCGTCCTGTAATCGTTGCGTGTCCAATGAGGAGCCGATGAAATCGAGAGCAGCGCGAGTGGCATCCAGGGATACAAACATTTTTCCCGATCTTGTAGGAACTGAAAAACAGTGTCGATCTCCATTGCCCCTGCCACCCAATCAGACGCAAGTTCGAAAGAGCTGAGTCGGCTCTCAGTCCGATTCCGCGGCTTCTTGCCTTCGTATTGGTACATACGTCAATGTCGCCGGGCGGTGCTGGCATCAACTAACGAGTGACACGGATCAAGCCAAGCGTCTTTGTCTGCCACCGCCATGGCCAACAATGCAGAGGGTAGGCATCTTCAACGATGGTACTGAGAGACGACTGACCACTCGAGCAGACGCGCGTTTCTCCAAGTTGTTCTCTATCTACATCTCGGAGGCCGAGAAGTACGATAAAACACTGGTCGATGGATGGCGGAGTGATATGGAGAGCATGATCATCTTTGTGCGTGCCCCCCGTCTTTTGCTCCGAATTCTCGCCTGATTCCTTGTAGGCCGGTCTCTTCTCCGCCGTGCTCACCGCATTCATCATCCAGAGCTACCAAACCCTCGCGCCGGACAACGCAGCGATAACCGCCCAGCTGCTAGCGCAAATTTCCGCACAGCTGGCGAGCGGCTCGAACGCGACGACCGCCGCTTCGCTTCCTCCATTCACACCCGACCCGTCCTCCCTCGCGTGCAACGTGCTCTGGTTTCTGAGTCTCGGATTTAGTCTCGGATGCGCGCTGCTGGCGACGCTCGTCGAGCAGTGGGCGAGGAACTTCGTGCAGAAGGTGGATATGCGACCGTCTCCGCCCATCCGAGCCCGGGTCTACTCTTTCCTGTACTTCGGAATGAAGCGGTTTCGGATGCACGACATCGTGGAAGTCGTCCCGTTCCTCCTCCACCTCTCACTCTTCCTGTTTCTTGCCGGGCTGGTACTTTTCCTGGTCACGGTCAACACAGCCGTGATGTATCTCTGCGTCGGCATTCTTGGCCTCATCCTGGTTGTCTATATGACAGTGACTGTGCTTCCGCTGTTGTGTTCCGACTGTCCGTATCAGACCCCCCTCACCAATGCCTGCTGGAATCTGGCGTTGTTCCTCACGAGACTGTCTGCCCTCGGTCCCGCGGGTGCTGCGCCAACGATGACAGAAAGGATGGTGACCAACGCGACTGCAGCTGTCGACACGAAACGACAACGGGATGTCCGAGCTCTGACGTGGACTGTGAAGTCGCTCGTCGATGATAACGAGCTGGCGCCCTTCATTGACGCTCTTCCTGCGGCTCTCTCGGCGAAAGTAGTGGACCTCCGGAGCCCCTTGATCGTCGCGCTTTCGGAGGACAGGGAAGCTCGCATGGTCGCTCGAGTGCTGACGTTCCTGCGCTCGGCCATGGCAGCAAACGAAACACAGCGGTGCATTTCAGCCGTGAAAGCTGTCGTCGCATTGGCGCGTATCAGGGTTGCGGTTCACGATACATCTTCTCCTCCATCATCCCTTCCATTTTTTGCACGGGTTCATTTTGAATCCGAGCTCGGGGTGGGGCAATTGTCGCGACAACTGATCTCCTCGCCAACAAATGGCTGGAAGTGGCTTTACACGAATAGCCCGAGTGCAGCACTGGAGAATTATTGGCGGACCATGCGGGCTCTCATGTTGTGGAGCTGCGCAGCTGAAATACAGCGCGCGCTGGAGGACGCGGAGCGCACATTTTACCAGTCCAATTCACAAGGGAATATCGCAGAAATCTTCCGGTCCAGGTTGGGTGTTTTCGGCCGGCCTCGATATCCGCTTCCATTACCCAGCCTAGTTGGCTTATGGATCCGCCCACCGACAATCGCTGTTCAATCTCCAGATCTGTTTGATGTTACCCGTGCAGAGCTGTCCGATGCCAGACTCGACCTCCTCTGCACATATTTGCTCGAATCCCTCAACCAACAGGAGCTTCCTTACGAATTCGAATCCTGTTTCGAGCTGCTTCAGCACGATTGCCGTCCGCCATTTTCGTCCCAGCACCAAGAAACGGTTGCAAAAACGATCGTGACCTGGGCAAGCGAGTACTGGAAATTTTCGAACGCTGAACACGCAGCTTTAATGCCCGGCATTCGGTTCCTCGTGGATGCGTTGTTGATGTTTTACAAGAGCCATGGCACAGCTTCCCCACTGACGGAGTCTTCCCTCGATGCTGTGGATGCGTTGTTGTCGTTCATTGGCCGACACGATGCATCTGACCGCACGTTCGTCATCGGGACTGTTCTGCGGCTCTCTGAGTCTGATCGATCGTCCATCGCTGAGGAGTTTATGCATCTCGTGACGAGGTATATCAACGAGAGCCATCATATACCCCAAGCAAGCGAGTGGACCCTTACCGGACTCTGGGCGCTCGGCGCGTGGACCTCGTCTTCCGGCATCCATTCGTTATCCATGGGCGATAGAAACTCGATAGCGCGGTTGGAATCACTGAACGAAAGTGCCCTGGCGCCTTGCGCCTCGATCTCCATGGCCATCAGCCACCTCCTACGAATTCGATCAGAGCTGAATCGGGTGGATCCCAATGACCAGGATGCTGTTCACGTTCTCTACGAGCAAAACCAGAACCATTTTCTTTGGCCAGAAGTCACAGCCGCACAGAGCCTTGCGAACTTCGAAATGGAGCACTCGAGCGCAGCCGAGAGATATCAGCAACTCAGTGCGCACCTGCAGATTCGGCTCGGCGAAGCTACGTTGGCCACCCTTGCTCGGTTTATCACCAGATCCGCTCGGCATATGGTCCCGGACGAATCATCTCTGGCGATGCGCCTTTTCGCAGAGAATTTGCATCCCAAGAACGATGCGGCCGTGCATATGCAGCACCGGATCGACCTTGTCGACTCTCTCAGCTTCTTTGCTGGATCACAAAATTCGCGCAACTCCTTGGCTCCACTCATCGATCACGGCCTCGAAGCTTTCTATGTTTATCTTCTGCATGAGGAGGTCTTGGAAATACTCGAAGCAAGGGTCAGGGGACAGCAGACTGGTCACGCGATGAAGCAGCTAGAGGCAATTTTGAGTAAGTTGCGGGGGATGTCGGACACAACTCTCGAGGAGAGGACAGAGGGAGCTACTTAGACTTCACTTGATTATTTGTTCGCGATGACGTGTGACGCCATAATAAACCTTTCGCTCCCGACCACCATGGTAAATGAAACTTTTGGGCTTGTTTGCTCAGTCTTGCTCCGCTCGTGCTGCACTATTGCTTCCCCACTGTTGAGTCACTCGTGAAAATCTGTCTTCTCGTGTATATATATATTTCATGTGTAGATTTTGCTGAATGAGATTCAAATCAGCATCCTGATTGTCTGCATCTTGGAAAGATTTGAGGCCGCATCAGATCTATGTCTCAGGTTCCAGCGCCATCGGCCTGATGGTCTAGTAGTATGATTCCTTGTTAGGGCTGTGCGGCACTACATCGAGGAGGTCCCGGGTTCAATTCCCGGTTAGGCCCTTTTTGATCGCCGTCTTCAATCATCAGTCAAGCTTCTCGCCGTAGCAGCCATTTACAATTCATCCACTCAAACTCGGGATTCAAAAGAGAACACGACCATCTGGGACAGACACTTGACCTTCCTACCACGCACACGCAAATTGGAAGATTGGCGCCACATTCGACTGCATTCGAATGGCCGCATGACCTTTGGCCAGGCCTTAGTTTTCATAATTGTTGATGACTAGAGCGCCGCCTCCGCCGGCAGAAGCCTTGCTTGCTCTTGCATTTTTTTCTTACAAGCACCAACTCAATAGCAGTCACAAGTTACAATAGAAACGATACAATTACAATGATTTGTATGCAACCCCTCATTTTGAGCGGGTCTTCTTGGCAGGGCTGGAACCCAAGTCGACTTTCACAGCCCAGCGGCGCTTTTTCGGAGACACAGCGAGCTGGCGTCGTTCTTCAATGACACGTATTTTGACGATGTTCGCTGTGAAGTGGTCGCGCTTGTGTTCTTTGAACGCCCAGTGCGTCAATTCAAACGTCAGCGCAACGGTGGCACCCGGCAACAGGCTCATGTACTCTTCTGGCTCCATCAATTGCCCATCAAACGTGTACGCAGGCAGTCTATTGATGACCAATTTCCCGGTGGTCTCGATCTCCTCGAGGGCGGCTCACGCCGCTTCGTGTTTCGTTGGCCACAATCCAAAGTCATAACCTGTCTCGGCGTCAGACTCTAACCCCTCTGCCACCGCAGCACGTATAGCCTTCGTGACGATACATACACGTGAAGGAACAAAGCATAAACGATGGAATGAGGGTCAAACGAGAGACTGCACAAATACATGCGGAATGATACGGAACATCGGATCAAACCGCGTGCAACCGGATCAAACGAATTATGAGGGTGGAGAAGCCTTGACAAGCAAGGCAACATCACACTCCAGGTGGCCCCATCGTGATCAAACGAGGCTAATGGAATGCATGCAATGAGCCAACAAGTACGTGCTCTGCCTCCGGGCTAATTCTACAAGTGGCATCTTCCTATCCCGAGTGTCATTCCAGCCGCGATCCCCGTTCAGCCAACGTCAGCTCTCTCAATGACTTCCCAACTGTATCTTCTCCCCGAGAACCTTCATTTTCTCCACGAACCGCGAACGGCGCTTAGTAATTTTCCGATGCGCACCCGGACTTCCCTCCATCTCGTCTCGGCCATCCTCCACCTCTGAGCCTGGCGCATCTTGCTCCGCGGCGCTGGTATCGACTCCCTTCCTGGAAACGGATGGCACCGGAATAAGCGGAGATAGCGCATCCGCATTCATATCCTCGCCCATCTTCTCATCGTTGAGGGCCGTCACCGAGTCCAATTCCTTCTCCTCAGCCTCGTTGAGCAGGACGGTGTGCGATGCATCGGGCGGGCTGACGTGTACACCGCCGTGCTTGGTGAACACGGCCTGGTTTGTGGATCCGCCGTCCTCATGTTCGTTCGTCCTATCCCCTGACACAGCGGGTGTCACGGTCGTTACCGACTCGGGCGAGACAGTCAGCGGGAAGTACTGTCCCTCGTGCTCGACGGGTGGGATGGGCGTAAATGGCGCACTGCCGATCGGAACGGGGCCGCCATGGAAGTCGTCGACGCCGCCTTGCAACGCCCTATCACCGTTCTGTTCGGCTTGCGAGGTGGCTAGGGTAGACGTCGAGCCGAGCAACGCGTATCCCTCGTCGACACTCAGCGTTCCGGACGAGGAGAACATCGAAGACGCTTCGCTGTACATCCCGCCCACGGCCGATGGCGAGGAGGCCGTGGTAATGACCGACGCGGACGTCTGCTGCCGACTCGGAGCCGGCGCTGGGGGAAGCAAAGGAGAGAGCACGTCGGGCGTGGGGAGAGGAGTGTCGAACGTTTGTGATGCGGACGCCTGCAGCTCAGCGGGTTCTGGTTTCGCTGCGGGTTCCTCGCTAACGCCTGGAAACGCGAATAAGCGCTGGTGCATTCCCTCCTGCTGTCACTGCCCCTCACCGAGATATTCCGCGAGCCCAACGGGAAGCAGCGCCCTCGCCGCCTCCCTGAACATCTCGCCCGTCTCGTCCCTCGCGTCGTCCTCCCCATCGCCCGGATACGCGCCAGGGAATTGCGGGTCCGGCGTCGCACACTGGGGCAGCGCCTCTCGTGTGCCGCCCAAAATGGCCGTCGTGTTCTCCGCCCAGTCCGCGGCGGGTGTGCCCAGTTGGGCGGGCGAAATCGCGGGGGGCGGTGTTCGCGGGATGGGGAGGTGCATTGGGGCTGCACGCGAGTCCATTGGAGGTGGTGCTGGTAGTGGTACGAGAATAGCCTTCCCTGAATAGGACTTCTAACGAATTAGGGGCGATAAAGCGAATCGCGATCGGGGCTTGCGATCGTCGACGGCTTTGACGTCGCGTTCGTCATTCTCGGGATGATGCGAGGAAGAAACCGAGGAGATCAGATTAGATCATGGTTAGATTAGATCGCACGTCCGATAATTGTCGCAATTGAACGCAGGAATGCTGCAGTCTGTCTCCACTCTTGCACTGCTCTCCCGACATTCTGTAGGTAGGAATGACCCATAGTGTTTATTGCGAGTCCTGCGTACATGGGGTGCGTGGCCTAGATAAGGACAATCAGAAGCCCATTCAGAAAGAGTCCCACCAGCCCCAACGGAAATCATCAAGTCAACCCCTCGCCCCCTCTTTCGGTGCTTAGGTGAAAAATGACCTGAATGCTCCACTTTCCAGGATGGAAGCGCCCAGCTCTCATTCGCGCTTCTCGGAGTCGAGAGTGGCTTCAGCGGAAGCAAACGCTCCAGAGAGCGGCCTACTTGCTCACAGGTGCCACTGGGATGACATCAAGCAGAAGCATCGCCGCATTGCAAACACGTTGTGGGGCCAATTGTGGGCGGCACGTTCTTGTGGGTCCACCCCCGATCCGAGTGCAACTGCTTACTTCTTCCAGGCAAACTGTCCGGGCAGGCCAATCCTCCGGTTACTTTTCGCCGTCCTCAGTCTGGTCCTGCTCGGCACGGCTCGGCACGGCGTAGCAGCCATCGATACTGCTGCTGTGGAGATAAGTGCAGAAGCTGCCCGGAACCAATCTCCGGGCCCTTCTCACAGCGCGACAGGTGGGCAGGGAACGTGGCAGGAACTGATGTATGTTGTGCGGCCCTGGGCCATATAAGTACAGCTGGCCCATCCTGGTGACTCGTCCAGCGCTCCAGCGATACGATGAACTATCCTCGAGTGCACTTCACTCCACGCAACTCGGTCCCGTACGAGGCTGATTCGAGATTTCCTCCTCCACCTCCTCCTCTTATCCTGAGTACATCGACGCTCTCGTCAGATTCGTCAGATTCCTGCGGGCCGCGCACCCCACCGTCCAGATATGCATCGCTCCCGGGCCCGATGCCGATAAGCTCTTTCGACGACGACGACGACGACGAAGAGGAGCACCACGCTTATCCCCGGCCCGGTAAAACTCCCCAAAATGCCGTGCCCAAAAGCCCCACACCCTCGGCGCACACCCTGCTGACCTGCAACGGCAGCACGCCGCTGCTCAACTACAAGCTCTCCCAGCCCCCCTCCTCCCTCTCCACGCACTGCCTCGGGCTCACCTACGACACGCTCCGCGAGCCTGCCGTGTTCCCCCCGCGCGCACACATCCTGATCACCACGCCGCACCTCCCGTGGGCGATCCCCGTGCCCGCGTCCGACGGCGCCGCGGCGGTGTCGATCTCGAACGTGCTCAACGCGCTGTACATGGCGCTCGGGCGGCGCGTCACGCTGGAGGAGTTCCAAGCGCTCGGGGACGCGTCCGCGCTCATGCGCGCCGTGGCCAAGGCGTACGAGCGCCGGTGCCGCGCGCGCGGGGCGCGCACCCCGCATGAGTACGAGCAGGAGAAGCAGCAGGGCGTCCGGCGCGTGGATTTTCTCATGGTGTACAACAAGTTCGGGGGTCTTCGGCCGGTGACGCGCGCGGGCGACGTCTGGGAGCTGTGTGTGTTGTGAAAGACAAAAACGAGATGATGGTTTGATTGAGTTTGTACATATTAGTTAGGACGCGCTGCGCGCGTCGGTCAGGTGACTCAGGCTTGTATCCGTAGCTTTTTTCTTTCTTTCAATGTGTCGCGTATTGTACAATGAAAACTATCCGAACGTACATGTGTGGACATGAAGAAGATCCGGGCGGCGCTTGGGAACGTGCACGTCTTGCAAAGATGCTGAATCGCACCACAAGAGAAATGGCTTGGACCCTAACCCTACGCTCGCGCTTCTTCCCTCGCGACTGTCGACTCGGGGCTAAACCTTCAAAAGTGCGCCACAGCATGAACATGAAGGACTTCCGAGTGTCACCAGGCCTGCAAACCTGTCTTGCAACTCACCCGGACCTCCCCGTCGGACGATTCACCACGTTTCCATCACCGGCACGGTATAGTCTCGGGTCGCCCGCCTTTCACATGTTCCCGAAGGAATCCTCCCAACACATGGAGCTTGCCGGACCCAATTTCCATCCACGCTTCCGGCGAGCGGTAACCTGGGGTATCCAGACGTCAGCTGACGCGACTGGCACTTCGAATTTCTGAGCCTCTGCAGATCAATCATGTGGAGAAGCCCTCGTCTTTCGTTCTTCCCCAAAGGATCCCTATTTCTTTTCGTACGAGGGTTTATTACATCGAGTGAGGCTTGCAGCTGAGTGTGTCCCCGGAGACCTGCGTGGACTCGCAACCTTGGCCGTGTAATCTCGCTAAACCCCACGCACATCTCCGATCTGATGAGCGTCAGAAAGTCTGACAGTTCTCACCAGCCCCAGAGCGTCTTCTCAGCCAATCCGACTCCTGGGAACGAGACGGCCTCCGGGGGTGTACCTTCTACAAAATGCGCAGCGGGGATATCCCTTCCCTTTCCCCTGTTGCCACTCTCCCAGCTGGACGACGACGACCATGCCAAGCACAAGCCTCGCGGCGGCGGAGCTGCCCTCGATCCCACTCACCATCGGCACCGCGTTCATCGGGTTCTCCGTCAGCTGTGTGCTGTTTGGTGTCAGCACCAACCAGACGCTCACCTATTTCATCCGCTATCCTGACGACTGGTTCGTCTACAAGCTGCTGGTGCGTACACCTCTGGCTGGCCACTCTGTGGGGTTGCTTACCGGGACGGACTACAGGTGGTCTTTGTTTGGTAGTTTGGGCGTCTGGATAGCACGCGCGGGGGGCTGAAGAGCTGCGCAGGCTACTCAACATCCTGGATCAAGCGCTGATCGGACACGCCGTGTACTTCTACTGTATTATGTGCGTAATCCGCCCACGCCATAATCGCCTCTCACAGGGGCTCGTCAACAGGAACTACAACTCGATTTATGTTTTATTTGAACACAAAGTGACGCCATCCCTCATTGTAGGCACAAGTGATCCACGGATATGCTCGGTTTACTCAGCCTTCGTAGCTTCAGTTGACTGTTGGGTCTGTTATCGGAGCTATCGTGCGACTGTAAGCCGACCTCTTCTCCTTGAGACCGGAAAACTCACATCGTCTTAAACAGATGTTTCGCGACCCGAATCTGGCGATGTGCGCCAGCCCTTAGTCTTACCAAGAGCGCGAGCTAATGGGGGTTCAGTCAGCCAGCAGAACATCCTTGTGACCTCCATTGTCGTAAGCAATCAGACCGCTCCTCCGCTTGCGTTTTCTCTAATCAGCCGGCCATGCCGTATCCAGGTAATATTGACGCTTACCCAGTTCGGTAACTCGCAGACTTCCCCGCCGCAATCCATTCTGATCCATTTCCAGGAGCTGCGATTGGTATCCTCTCGTCTGTGCGATCATCGAACGCTGACTGATCTCTCTCACCAGCTTTCACGCTTAAATGGTAAATATCTCTTGGTTCTCCGAAAATGCAGTGCCTGACTGCGGAAACAGCTTCCAGAGTCCATTCGTCGCGACGCTTCCCAAACTCAAGTTCATTGCGTCCTTGGCATTGGGCATCAATGTCGCAACAGACGTGTTTACCGCGTGCGCATTGGCGTTCTTCCTGCGCCGTTTCAGGACGGGACACGCGCAGTACGTAGCGAACGTTTCTCTTCGAGGGTGTCTGCGTTGAGCCGCATCCTGCAGATCGGATTCGATCGTCAACAAGCTGACGATCTACGCCGTAAACACCGGCGCGGTGACTTCCGCATGCAGTCTTGGCACGCTGCTTTCCTACGACCTGCGGCGCAACAACTTCCAGTTCCTAGCGTTCTATTTCGTGCTCTCCAAACGCAAGACCCTTTCTGTTTCTCGCCTGCATTCCACTCATTGCAGCGCCATTAGTCTACCCGATCGCGTTTCTCAGCACGCTCAACACGAGGAAGGTCGTCCGAGGCAAAGGCACAGACCACAGCCGGTCTGCTCAAGATTTCAGGACTCGGACGCGGGACAAGAGCGTGGCTTTCCAGGAGGAGTATGATACCGGACACTTCCGCCCGGATCATTCTCCGCCCATTCCGCTGCCCCAATCCTCCCAATCGATGTCACTCACGGGCCGAGCTCCGACCCTGCACTGGTATTCAGAGGCGTACGGCGTGGGCAGCGGGATCTCCAACCTCTCGGCTCGGCCTCGGCCTGTGGAAGGTCTCCGGCTAGATACCAAGGTAGGTCCTCCGCTGTGGTGCTTGATTATAAGTCCGCGCCCCTCATATTTGATGAAGAGCCCGATTTCCGAGGAAGACAGCCCGGTGGAGGCCTCGTCTTTTGAAGCGCCCACGCCGACGACCCCCGAGGCGGCGTTCAATCCCTTCCTTGGTCGGAAGTCCTCTCAATCGGGGACGAGACCCGGCCAGAAATCATTCCGCGGAGAAGCGTTCTAAGTTGTGTTGTTGTGTTATTTTCTGAGTTGTACTCGAGTATGTGACAGACGTTATCATTGTGTATCATTACGGAATTGAAATGAATCAGCTACGGTCTCTCTTCATGCGCGAGGCGATCCATTTCTGCTTGTTCTGATCCACGCTCTCGCCCTTGCTGTGCGAGACATACCAATACAGCAGGTGCACATCGTCCTGCGCCGCAAATCAGTCTACTGCACCCAGCGCCGAGAGAGAGAAAAACGACTCACGTAAGTTGCCCCGTGCTGCAACCTGACGCGTCGCACAGCATCGCACCGATCGCGGTGCTTGTTCCACAGAAACGGATAGAGATACATCCCGTCCCGCCCCTCCGACTTGATCAGCTGCGCGCACCCGCGGCACCGCACGTTCGAGCACTCGATCCGCGCGGCCCAGGGGTCGTTCACCAGCTTGTCGCGCCGCTGCTCGAACGAGTTGCACGTGCGCTTGCGCCCGTCGCCGCGCCGCACGGGCGGGTTGCACAGGAGTTCCACCGTCTGCGAGACCATGGCTGTAGTCCACGCCGGGTCGGAGGGCGCCCCATCTGCGCCCCAGGGCGATTCGAAGTTTAAGCTGTCGGGGTCTCTGGTCTCTGTCCGGCGGTAGCAGACTCTTTGGGGCACGGGATCTTCATCCACCGGAGCTTGCCTGGACGGAGTGAGTAGAACAGAGCTTCGAAAAGGCGAGATAAACACACGACACATATCCAACGGCTTGAAACTCGCTTTGAAAGCTTTCCTGGGTGCTCACGGGCCGAAGACGAAACAGGGCCTCATCTAACTCAGCGGCTCTGCAGAGAACATCAAAATACTGGAGATGGGCGAGCAAAGGAACGACCGACTCGAGGAAGGTCGACGACGGCTCGAAGATGAGCGGCGGCAGCTTAGACGACAAGTTGCATCTAGCGTGAAAAATTCAATACAGTATCAGGACATAAAGTTGAAGAGTGCAAACCCAGTGGCTGTAGCTTCCCCCTCCCGTCCATACGGCTTACTAGTCTCGGAGCGCTTCTGGTACAGGCGCGCCGGCCCGGACAACTCCCGCGACGAGGCTTGACCACTGTCAGGATTAGTCGCTTGGGATCTGGTTCGCATAGCGTCTGGCGCATCCACAGACGATTTCGGGGACTGCTTTATAGTCAACAGCACATCAAAGCCATTGTTTCGCTCGAGGCTGATCGAGTGATCACACCATCCGCATTGGGTTTTGAAATCCATGCACAGGCCCGAGTCATTGTTCTCCTTGCCCAAGTGCCCGTCGCATAGACCCGACTTCAGATCGGATCCTGCCACACGCGGGTGTGCGCTCAATCATGGCAGGCTCAGCACAGCCGCCACTATCAGTCGATGAGTCATCGGGTAAACTCTGGTCGTCTAGTTAAAAGCCCGTGGACCCTGACCGTCCTTCAGCCTTTCGCCCAACATGTCAGGCTCGGAGATCCGGATCCGCCCGTTCCGCCCTGAAGACAAACCCGAAATACGACGGTTGATGATAGAGGGCTTTGTCTCTGGACGTCAGTGCTCCGACAAACCTCGGCTTTTGCTTGGAGCTGACATGCGATGCGCAGCGCTTTCACCCTGCGTCGAGGCCCTCAAGCACAACCTTACGACACCGACCTCGTTTCTGCTGTACCTCTCCGCCTCAGCCGGTGCGGGCCTGTGTCTCGCACCCAGCACCTCGCACAAGCTGCGCATCCTCGGACTCGCGCTGTCCTCCTGCTCGGTCGGCATATTTCTCTTCATCCGGCGCGGAATCCGGCAATTCTTCCTGGGCTCGTGCGAGCGGGCCGAGCAGACCGATTTCAATGATATCGGTGAATGGTACGACACGAACCGGGGCGGGCCTGGCGGGTTCTTCGTCGCTGCTTTCGCTCAAGAGGGAAGAGAGGATAAAGTCGTCGGCTTCGTCGGCATGGGTGAGCCCCTCCCAGCCAAACACTCCGCGCTCCCCCGAAGGTCGCTGCTCATCGCACCTTAGATTGCAAGATGCACCCGGATCCTCACACCGCGGAACTGCGCCGCATGGTTGTCTCCCCTTTCTACCGCCGCCAGCGTATCGCCGGTCGGCTCCTAGAGGCGGCTGTTGAGCATGCGAAGACCCACTCCATCGCGACGTTGGAGATCGAGACGTCGCAGCATCAGCCTGGCGCGAAGAGGCTGTATGAGAAATTCGGATTCCGGGCTTTCTTGACCAAGCGCTTGAGTCTCGGCCCGCTGGGGTCAATGCAAGTCTGGCGCCTCAGGAAGACAGTCGGTGAATCGATCATGGCTGATTGAACTTTCACATGAGTGAACTTGTGGAATCTTGAGAGATGTAGAAATACGGGACAGGAGTTGCTACCGGTAACATGATAGAAAAAGTAATTGGAGAGAAAATATTTGAAGATTGAAAGAAAGGACTGGGGTTTCGGAAAGATGAACAAATACTTGACTATGAAACATGAGCAAAAGGTCGCACCCGGGGTCGAACCGGGATCTCAAGAATGCAGACACAGAACTGATGTCAGAATCTTGTGTGATGAGCCGCTACACTATGCAACCATGCCAACGGACCTCCAATCTTGATTCAAATCGCGTCAATATATGCAACCTAGTGGCGAATTGAACTGGAAAATCATTGTGAGGATCGGGAAATATCGATTTTCGACTCGCAGACTGTGCGTAAGAGAGAAAGAACAGATTTCGTACCACCGACTGACAACTCCTAACTTCTACGGGCACGGGCCGGACTTGGGCCCAAGGCTGACTTTTCGAACATATTTGATGGTGTATGTGTGGGTACATCACAGGTACCATTGACTGATTCTAGACCGTTTTCATCTTACCAGAAGCCATGAGTTCGGTACCAGAGAGTAAAATACTAGGTACTTACACCACTGATAGTCATTAATGAATGTCACCGAAGCTGGGCAGATGACGCCAGTACGCCGGAACAGGCACAGATAGCACCATTTCTTTTCACTGCTCAAATATCTCTGACCTGAGGACTCCTTACATAATTTTCAGAGATGTGGGTTCTCAAATTTGAGGATGCGGATAGCAATCTCTTACTAAGTGTATAATTTTGAACGGACAAGCCCGAGCTCAAGCCCGGGCCGAGGGGTTTGCATCGCAGAGCCGTGAACCAGAGCCCACTGAAGCCCATCCTTCGGGCTGGCACGGGCTCGAAAAGCCTGAAGACGAGCACCCGGTCTTTCAGGCCCGAATCCTGAGCCCCCACAACACCAGGCCCGTATCGTGCCGATCGAGGAAATCGTGCTGTCAAGCCTGAGCAAACAACCAAGCCCTCCTTCTCACGTAAACACTCCATCTTTGGATTCGATGTCCCGTTACCGACTTGTATTCAACCGCCATGGACACCTACTCTTGGGACGAAATTCACGCTGCGATGTTCTCCATGGGCAGTGACACGTCGAGGGGGTCCAACACGATGTCTACCTCTGTGCTGACTCCGCCAGTGAGTGCCGACACCGTGCATCGTCGAACGCTGTTAACACGATCGCGGTATCCACCACAGAATTCGGAAAGGGCCTCTGACTCTCCTGTCACAGCCCAGATGGCCATCTCATCGACGTTTGGACCCGACGCCGCATGGCAGCGCTCCGCCGATCAGGGTTCCGGCCACGTCGCGTCGCCTCCCGACATCGCGCTCCTCACATCGGACCGCGTTAACTTCTACATCCACTCCAGTACCATCGATACCTCCAGCCACCGTCTCTCCGGGCGCGTTCCCAGCGTACGTGGGAAGGCGCCGCCGATCGTGATTGACGTCCCTGAGACCGCCGCAGTCCTGAACGTCATCCTTCACGCGCTCTACGGGCTGTCGTGCGCCCAGTACTCGCCCTCGCTGGACGTGCTGGTCGAGGCGGTCGAGTGCATGCTGAGCTACGGGATGGATCCCAAGTCGACGGTGCGTTTCCGTCGCTCGCTCGGCTGACGTCAATGGCTGACTGACCCGCGGCCCAAGGTTGTTCCCTCCACCTCCCTGTTCTCGCTTCTTCTCTCCCAGGCACCTCTCTATCCCCTGCGCGTGTTTACCCTGGCTGCGCACTATGACATCATCGACCTCGCCGTGCCAACCTCGTCGCATCTGCTGAGCTTCCAGCTGTCAGCGCTGACAGATGCTGATGTGCAGCGGATGGGCCCGGTGTATCTGCGGCGCCTCATGTTCATGCACAACGGACGTGTGGATGCGCTGCGCCGCGTGCTCGTGTCTCCTCCGTATCCCCACCCGCCGACCGCGGCTTGTGATTTCGCCAACCAGAAGAGCTTGAACCGGGCCTGGGCACTCGCCACAGCCTATTTGGCGTGGGATATCCGCCCTGGTGAGTGTGTCTCCTGGTCAGCTGCTCATGCCGGCCTGACTTGCAAGCACTCCAGATGTGTCCACTGGCGCTATAGAAGCTGCACTACGACCTCTTGCGGCCCGGCTTCCGTGCAAATTGTGTAGGCAGGCGCTGGATGAGCGAATAAAGAGCGTCGTCACTCAGTGGTCTGTCGTCAAGGTAGGTTTTCACCCGAATTCCGATACGATCATCAATAATCCTATCTCAGCGTACGATATAAGAGGGGATGTCGGTGCTACTCGAAGTGTATCGGTGCTGGACACAATATCTGTATTCATTCCGGAATCACACTCATGCAATATGAAAATGTACCAGTAGTCAGGCGATATGTAGTTCGTCGATAATTTTGAATTTCTCCGCACGACACTTCCATACTTCAAGCAGCTCGTGACCCACCCGCCCCAGACCAAGAGTCACCCCAATTAACCACATTCACAACGTTGACGGGTCGTAAATTTCTCGCCGGCGACGGGACAGCAAAGTCTTGCTCAGAGAGTGGACCTATGAATCAGCTAATTTCGAGTCCAAATGTTGCACCATTTTATCCTGTTTTGCTCGCTCGAAACACTCGCGCGCGACTCTCCAGAGCTTTTCTTTTTTCTCTGCGATCTCGCTCATGCGGAGCAAGCACTCGCCCTTGGCACGGTGGACATCCATGGCGCTGAAACCATCCAGTGCAACGCGGAAGAGCGCACCGGCAGTCTCCCAGTCGCTGTGCTCATGGATCATCACATCGCCCAAGAACATCAGCGCCTGGTGTAGCGCCAGTCGGTCTCGTGAAGTGGCGGCAAGGGCGAGATACGTGACCGTACAGTGGAGATCGTACGAGCTCCAGTTCGCCCCATCAGCCAGTCTGCGCAGTAACTCAATCTCCACCGCATTGTGTCGCCCACGCAGCTCAGCGACTAAGCGGAGTAGGATCGGACCCGCGCGCGACGGGTATTCGGCGGGAGCGTCCCGCAGCCAGAGGTCGGTGAGGATCATGTCGCACACGGTGACCGCGAGGTCAAAGTGGATACTGCCGAACAGCTTCTTCGCGTCGTCCAGCATGCTCTCGACGGAGCTCGCGTCCGCGCCCAGCGCGATGTCGATTTCCGCGAGGTTCATCAGCGCGTGGGCGTGTTGGTACGGATCCTCGTCGTTCTGGGCCCGGAAGCGAGACTTCACTTGGATCGCGCGGGCCTCGGTGTACTCCGTCTTGGAAAGATGGACTTGCGCGCGGGCGGCGGCGATCCCCAGGGAGAGCCCGCATTCGGACATGTCGCAGAGAGCGAGTAACTCAGATGCGCGGGAACACAACTCCAGAGTCTTGACGAACTCGCCCAGCTCTTGACTACATCGTGCATCAATATGCAACGAGACGGCTTGGGAATAGACCACGCCACATTTGACAGCGGCTGCAAATGCTTGGGCTACACAAACTCGACCTTCAGTGGGATTGCCCATTTGGAGATACGTTTGGCCGAGAAAGTTGAGGGAGTCCGACTGAGCCTCGAGGAGCTCATGAGACACGGCAATCTCGAGAGCCGTGCGGTGCAGACGAATCGAATAAGGCATGTCTTGGCCTAGGATTCGACAGAGTGATCCTGCCGCATCGTAGAACTGACCTGGAAATATCGAGTCAGCCAAGGGAAAGTGCTCAGACACGGGCTCACATTTGATGGAGGGATCGTGAACGGACATGAGATGGACGTCATTTTGTTCAACGCGCGCGCGAAGGTCCCGCACGTTGCCGCCGTACAGCGAGAGGAGATCATTCGTCGCATATCTAACATGAAGCTCGTGTTCGTTTTCTAGTTCTATGAGAAGATCCGGGACGCGTCGGATCGCTGGACAGCGCCCACGACACAGGACGACGCGCAGGAAGGAGTCAAACGAGATGGCACACAAGATCGCCGGGGCCAAATCCCTATGACCAGTGAGGAGAGTCGAATCGAGGACGCTCGCAACGTTGGAGGAGTTTGCAGCTAGCAAGCTCACTAGGCCGGGATTCCCTGCTCTACCAGAGGAGCTCCGGAAGAGGCGCACCAAGGAGAAGAAGTAGCTGGAGATAGGATGCATCATCTCTTCGGTCAGGGGGTGCACTTTGAGCGCGTATTCGCGAATCGGGACAAGCACTTTCAGCCGGTGTGCTGGAGTCAAATATGCTAAAGACGTTCTTAGCAGCGCTGATTTGCAACGGAGGATATCAGGAATTGGGACGTTCATCTGCACCAACTGTGCGTCCGTCAGACCATCCGGGAGCAGCGCAAGGATGCTGAGCAAAGATCTTGCGCCAGGAAGAGCAGCCAAGCGTGGACTGGAAAGCGACAAGGCAATGGAGCTGTCCAGGTTCGATCTCCGATCGTGCCCTTCCGATAGGACAGCCGTGTTCTGATCTTTCCACCGGGCCAACACCGTGTCACAGCCGTCAGACACGACGAGATGGGCGATCAGGTCGATGGCGAGCGGCATGTTGTCCGTCAGGTCCAGTACCGAGTCCATCTCCTCCACGGAATGCACACCATCGGTGATGTCGACGAAAATATTGCGCGCCGCATCACGGCTGAGCGGCGCAAGCGATGGAAGAAAGGGTCGCGTCCAGCGGACCTTTCCGGGCCGTTCAGCCCCGCGCATCGTGATCTGATGGAAACAAATCAGCTGGATTATGTACCTGAACTGATGTCACCAAATCCACCTACCACAATCGAGAGGTGCTGCACTTCCGACAGAAGGGAGAGAAACTCTTCGATCTCATCTCTTGCTGATTCGTTTTCCCAGCACGTCTCGAAATTGTCCAAGATCAACAGCGCAGCGGGATGATCAACAAACCACTTCACAACGCTCTTGGCGTGATTCCTGCCTCCAAGTTTGAGGTCCAAATGCTCAGCCACTGTGGCGATGACGTCCACGGCCGTGGACGCGATCTCGCAGCTCACGAAAAAGCGGTTATGCACGGGATACATGTTGGTGATGGTGGGGTGGTGCAGAACGGCGCGCGCCAGTGTCGTTTTACCCATTCCACCCATTCCCAGGATGGCGATTCTCGGTCCGCCTCTGGATCCGTCAGGAGAGAAGGCGGAAATGATGGACTCGAGCTCCTGCTCGCGTCCGTGGAAGATTTTCGGCTCGGAAGGAAGCAATGTCAAGGAATTACAGCTGAAGTAACGAATTAGTATCCGACAAACAAGAATAGAAGATCATATAGGGCACGGACCTGCTTAAGTAGCTCGACTTTCGATCGCTGAATGTAGAACCCGTATCGTCCGCGACCATCCTGGCAATCAGCTCCATAATTTCCTCGTGCATCCGACCCGAATTGGTCTCCAGATCATGGATGGTGTCCTGGATCCGGGCACTTTTCATCTACAGGAGCACGTCAGCCACACATTTCGCGACGGACCACCGACAAACACACCTTGAACTCGTCCAACGCTTGCTGCAATCCTACTTGACAGGCCCGAAGCAGCCTCGTCATCTCTGCTTGCCGGAAGAATTTGCGGATCCGGCTCCCTTGTTGCTGTGCTTCGAGAAACGTCTTGATCTTGGTGAGAGTCCTGTGAAGAGTGAGCGACAGCAGCCGCGTGCGTCGTGTCGATGGAAAATCACTCTGTGAATTGAGCCATTGCATCCAGCAGGGGGAGTGGAATGTCCACGGGGCGAGGATCTGTGTCCGGATCCGAGTCCGCTGCGGGGGCTACATGCAGACTCGCGATTATGTACAGCAGTTCCGAGACCTGCTCCAGCAAACGGATAGAATCTGCTGTATTCTGCGAGCTTTGCTGTCGATCGATATTCAATCGAGTGTGGATTCGGGGAAATGCATGAGCACCCACTGCGACGATATCAAGGATAACCAGGCTGCTACTGACGATCGGGTCCAGGAACGGTGTCTTGAAGCGCTGCGCGACGATCTCCAGCGTACGCAGGATGGCGCGGAGAGACGTCGTGGCTGCGTCAGCGCGCTCGCCCAAGTTCGACGGATTTTGGTTTTGGTTCTGCGCCGGCATACTGGAGTTAGAAAGGGGCAGCGCTAGCTCGGTGCATCTGGGCTAGAGCCGCACTAAATACATCGCTCCCAGATGCAGGACGTAAGCCCTGGCTGATGGAGAGCTACGATCTGGCCGTCGTCGCGGTGCTTCCATCTATCTGCCAGCGAAATGTACCTGAGTGCGAGGGTTCTCGAGCACAGCCTGGCCGAGGAGGGTACGGTCGTCCCCAGGGGCATGTACCCTCTGCTATAGAACACTCGAATGACTGAAAAAATAACATGGGCTGAGACCGTAAGCGCAGCTGTCAAAATGGGATGATAAAAATGCTGAGACGAACGTTCCTATTCTGAGGGAGCCAGAGTTGGGTAACCATCTCCGCTGTGATATCAGTGGCATCCAGGACAAGATGTTTCCCGCCGCCTGGCTGGGGTGCGACGTACCGGGGTATGATGGACAGCGATTCAGATATGGAGCTAGATGGCATGGGACCACAACATCTAGCCAGCTGGTCAAGACTGTCAGCCATGGTTCGAACGTCCTTCACAGTTCATCAATCAAAATGTATACAACGAGCTGATCGGATCATTCAGCATCGTAGCGATCACGTGAGAACTATGTGGTCCGTGCACATCCCGCGTCGTATATAAACCACCTTCCAAAACTTTGTTCGGCATACTTACCTTGATGGCATAAGCTCCTTCATGGACCTGGGCTTTTGGGCCGTGGGAACACTCCATAGCACGGCGACCCTGTCCATTCAGAGTGGGCCTGCGGTTTGTATGGGCTTCGGCTCATGCACCGTCTCAATATTTTCCTGTTCCGCCACGGCCACTCGGCTAGGCGGGCCCCCTCTTTTTTTTGGTCCTTCAATGGGTCTAACCCTAACCTATGGGATAATTGCGCTTTGACACCGTTTAGGCTATGTCATCATAGTAACCATTCAACCAATACATTTCCGTTACCTGTAAGTAGTTGAGCTTAGCGCTGCCGGGAGCTGGGACTTCACACGGGTAACCAGCCCGGCCTCGGGTTGTGTCCTGTTTGAGCGACTGAGGTTGATGGACTTGCCTCCACCATAGGCGAAGGCACGGCAACTTGCCGCAGATGAGTGGTGGATGTGTGATCAGCCGGAGCTCTTCGTGGCTCATTTTCCCGCTGACTCAGCCATGATGTGTCAAAGCGGCGTTGCCCTTGGAGCACGCGATGACGCCGCAATCTTCAACTGATTGGCGTGTTCTGTGTTTATAAGCGAACGAGATTTAAGAGTTGGTAAGCACCGTCTTTCCCACCTATTCACAATGCAGCGCCAAATTATTCTGTACACTGCCCGGGTGATTCCCTCTTCAGCGCTGCCTTTATCTGCGCACACTTGGCTGACTCTTTCCTAAGGTCTGCCCATTCGCTCACCGCGTAATCTAGATCCAGCCATCTTTCTTCGAATTCTGGCTTATTGGTCCATCATTCCAGGTTGAGCTCGCGTTGAACGAGGCCAAGGCGTCTTTCACGCGCTTCGAGATCGATCTGTCCAACAAGCCGACATGGTACGCGCCCAAGGTCAATCCCGCGAGCAAGGTACGTGACTGCGCATCCCAATTGTTTACGCTCTGAACTCCTTTAACTAGGTTCCTGCGATCGGTAAGAATGTCAGCCAACCACTGGCTCCACATTACTCACCATTCACAGCGTACGGCGGCGCTCAATCAGCCCCGGAGGACCCGTCCCCCGACTCCGACAAGATCGCTGAATCGCTCGTCCTGCTCGAATTTGTCGCAGATCTCTTCCCAGAATCGGGCATCTTGCCCAAGGATCCGGTGCAGCGCGCCAAAGCGCGGTTCTTCATCGATGCCGTCAGCACGAAGCTCCTCCCGGTCTACATCGGGCCCCTCGTTAAGGGCACGTCGTTCGACGCGTTCCTCGACGCGCTCGCGGCGCTGCAGGATCTGCTGCCAGAGGAAGGCAAGGGCCCGTATCTGCTCGGGGAGCAGTTCAGCGCGGCGGACATCGCGTTGGCGCCGTTCCTGGCCCGCACGGAGGTCTGGTTGAAGGGCAGCATCGGCGCGTTTTCGGCCGAGGCGGGGGAGAAGGCGGCGCAGGAGCTGTACCACGGCGATCGGTTCAGGAAGCTTGCCAAGTATTACGAGACGATCAAGCAGCGGGACAGCTTCAAGGCAACATGGGACGCGGTGCGTGCCTCTTCCTTCGTTTGATTCGGGGTCTAAGAAACTGAAACCGATCGTTAGGACGTCATCAAGACTTACTACTCCGCTCGCTTTTCACCTCTGCGAGCCGCCGCTACACCGGTGGCTGCGGCAGCGTAATTCCAGCCTTACTCGATTCGTGTTTGTTCCTCCCTATGAGAATGGATTGTATACTACTTGCTTTATACGTTGCAGTACACACACGTCTCAGACGATCCCCCACGAGGCGTTCTCGACAATCCCATCGTCCAGCGGCGCGAACTTGACAAACTCGAACTCGGGGATTCCGACATCGTTCTTCTTGGCATTTTTGTCTTCGGGGAAATAATCCCGGATGAACACTGAGATGGTGACGTTCCCAGCTGCGGGGTACCCCCTTAGCTCGTGGTCGTTCCAGAGCCTCTGTCTGAGAGAAAGTTCTCACCCGTGATGGTCAGATTATGTTTGCAGATGGGATTCCTGCTCGACAGTAAGAACAGGCATAGTGAAAGCGGAAACTATCGTGCTTGTTTGGATTCTTCGTGGCACCTCTAGCGATGAAGCGCGAACCCTTTCAGAGCGCATCAGCGATGACGTGGGTCAGACACGCACGGGAAGGACTTGAATGTCGTCGAAGAGACGGTCCCGACGGGATCTGACCCCGTGTTGTTATAGCCACACGCGCCAACGTCCGGCGTAAAGTAGAAAACTGCGGCAGAACAGGACCATCCGAGTCAACACACGAGTGCACAGAAAATCAGAGATCGAACCGTTCCCAACGGTAGAGGCCTCGGCTGCAAGCCCTGCGCCGAGAAAGAGGAGAGCGGGGAGAGAAATACGGGGGAAGAGCATTGTTCAGGGAGTTGCCACTTGAATACAGGGTGAGGGACTTTATATTGAGTCACTCTCCTTCCGATGAGGAAGGGCCAAGTCCCGTGTTCGACTGCTTCTAGAGAATGGAGGTCGAAAGTGGCGCACTCGATTGATCCTGTAAGGGACGGAAATGAACGTGAGGAATGCGTTCGGCCTTTGAACGTTCCATATTTCTTCGCGCGTGAAAATCCTCCAGAGCGCCACCGGAGCACGTGGTTTCATAGTGTAGCGGCTCATCACACAAGATTCTGACATTAGTCGTCTGGTTTCTTGAGATCCCGGTTCGACCCCGGGTGAGACCTCGAGTACTGCCTCCGTTCCTTTTTGGGAGTCCCCCATCTTTGGTCCTATTGCGGTGCGCCTGCTGCGTCCGCATTGCATAGTAATAGCACAATCCGTAGAACACTCCCATTCTCATAGCCAGCCAAGGATCTCAGTAGCTGCGATGTTTCCCAAGGTTTCGGCGTTTTCATCATTAATCGACCCCGATTGAGGTGCAAGCAAAACACAAGGCGCGAGTGCGAGATTGGTCTGGGATACTGCACGCACGACTCCGACGACAGGACCACAGGATCACTAGTTAGGCTTGCGATGGCAATCTTCTGTGGACAGCGGTGAGAGGCTGCGCTCCAGTCCTTCGCTTCGGGGACCCTCGCGCCTGGCTCGATCTGCAACGCACCGGCCATCCACTCGACATCCCGTTTCGAGCACCTGCCACGGGGCCAATACCTCCGTTGCCTTAGCAAGCCCAGGTACAGTCCCCGCTCTTTCTAGCACTTCGATAGGCCCGCCACCACGAGAAGCTGCCGACCTCACAACGTTTCCCGAATCTGACCCAGGCACCCAAGCCGCGAAGGTCCCCGCCAGACTCTTAATGCCAGAGCCGGGTACCTTTCAAGCTCCATAACATGCTCTGGCCCCGCCAGCCATTGTCTTGCCTTTTGCATTGTAGCGCTTCTTCATCGAGAGGCAAGCTGAGTCGTTGGGGGCTCGAAAAGAGCCGAGGCGCTGACACTACCAGGCACGACAAGAGACCCCAGTAAGCGCGCGGAAGGGTCCCTGGTCACGGCGGAAGGGAGAGTTTCCATTGGTGGCCATGGGGGATTTGCCGTTGCCCCAGAACTTGTTCGAGCTCACGATACACCTTGTTGGCAGCCTTGGTGTCCGATGATTCTTGGGTATAAGGGGATCGATGACCGTCGTGCAGACGCGGACGGATCTGGCACGCCCGTTCTCTGCGTTCGTTCTACCGACCTCTCGAGCTTTAGCAACGTGCTGATGTACAAGGTTAGTGGAATACTCTTACATAGGATGCAGCAGCTGTAACGCACGGTGCGAGGAGCTTTCATGGCAGGAATGTCGTCTCATCACTTCAGTCTGAGACCATTCGCCGATGCGGGCAAGTCGTCCTGCACCTTGACCCCATCCCGCCCATCCATATCATCAGTGCCAAAAGGACAGGACTCGGGGCCAGGCCAATTCCGGCTCCCTTCTCGCCATACCTTCCCTCTTTTCATTCCGGCGTCCTCCCTAGATCGGCGACTGCTGCCTGAGATGCAAGGACGTTGCTGCGATTGCACGGACGAGCGGAGCTGCGCGAGTCGTCTTTGTCTCCGTTGAATTCGATCGTTAGATTCTCAAGAAGAGGAGGTGCGGAAGAGAATGGGCGAGAGAGGTTCTAGGTGGGGACACAAGAACCCGAAGTCGCAGTCGCAATCGCAGTCGGAAACCTGTGTCACATTGCTTTGCTCAGTCATCTTCACCGGGGGCGGGATGGAGTGGCCATATTGTCGATTATATTTCCATTCGCCGTGGCCGATGAGTCATATCGGCCACGGTCTGCAGGACACTCCTCGATCGCGGGGAGAGCATGACAGTCGCGGACTCGAAGCAAATGACTTGTGACCGAATGTGACACGCACAACTGCCTCTCACCGAGTGTCGTGCTGGACCAGTCTCATCTTCCTCTCGCGAAAGACAGGCTCGCAAGCACTTGAAGACACAGCACCTGGCTGTTGGCATGCGCTATGGACAATGCGCTTGATCGCTGCACAGATGCGCTTTGTGCAGTGGCACGCGCTTTGCCCACCCCAAAGCGCCGACTCCACTATATGAGAACAAGCCAGACCTGCCATGACGCTCACCGACTCCGCGCCTGTGTCCCGCTACAATGAAACAAATCCGGCAGCCACTCGTCTCCGTCTCGCGCAAGGTCAAGAACTCGGCGAAAAAACTGTCCACCCGATTCACCCGATGGAAGAGGAGCGGGTTTTTGTGGGCGGTGGAACTCGAAGGGACTCGCACCTCTCTCCGGAGCACTGTGCGCGAGATGAGACCGTTTCCCCGCCGCCACTTCGCATTCGCCCCTGGCGAGCGCGGTAACCAGCACGAGACGTTGGGAGCACAGATCCAGGTCGGTGTTCCTCTTGTTGTCCTGCGCGTTGGCTGAATGGCTTCGTCAGGAGCAGGAAGCCCATACCGCATACTCACTGAAACTCTCTGAAGTCACCACGCATGACCTCGCGTCTTCGAATGTGAGTCGCCCCGCTTGCATACCCATCCACGAGATGATCGTAACGACGGCTCCAGATCTCCGAAAGCGCGCAGTCCGGTTCCGACGCTTTGTTGCAATTCCAATTGCTCCACAACCTTGTCCCGACCTTCGAGCTCCAGACCGACGCTCTGGAAGTCTCGCTCGCTCTCTGCCCAGACATCCCCGGTCTTCTCTCGACGATTCACGCGCACCAGAACATACTCGATCCGACTAACCCGACGTCCAGCCTTCTCGAAAGCCCACGATCCGAAGCTACTGACCTGCTACAGAAGCAGGGGGTCGCCCAGCTCGAGGTCTGGAGGACCGATATGCAAGGCAGCGAGCGACGGCAACAGGTCCGCGTTCTCATCGCCTTTCTGCGCCAACACCTGCCTGGGCTATACGTGGAGGCTCCGCTTTCCAAGTCCACTCGCACCCTGCGCAAACGAGCCCGAGAGTTTGACGATGACGAGGGCGGCGACGACCGGCACGGCAAGCGCTCTCGTGTCGGTGCCCCGGAACCGGGAAGATCGGTGAGCAGAGTTGTTTGTTCTCTTCTCCCGACGTCACATCCTGATCCTGCATCCAGGGTACTGTCGATCCATGGCCAGCATCCGGCCACAGCTCGGGGGATCGTCGCTTCGCCAGCTGTCACAGGGCCCGACTCCTCCGTCGCGGCCAGCTGCGCGAGGCGCGGTCGAGCCCTTTCCACCGCTGTTCAGCGCGGCCCCGTGATCGCTCTGCCAAGCCTGACTTGCTGCACCACCTGGAGAATGCGCCGTGTTGCTCTCACCGCGCTGGAAGGACGCGCAAGCAGCCGTTGTATCCCCCCTCTCTATTTGCATCCGGCGAGTCTGATTGAATTCGGGGTGTGTATATTAGATCTGGTCGTGTGTAGCGTCAACTGTCGCCAGGGCTCTTGTACTCAAAGGGACCGTGTTTTGACTCGGAAATGCTAGATGATTGGTGTCTGTCTGCAAGGGTATTGATGTCTGTGTGAAATGTGTGGGCTCTGAGCACCATTCACTCGTCAGATTGTGAGTGTCTGCACTGTGCAACCGCTCTTGCGGGGTAATTCTCGCCTAACCAGGCAAGTCTAGCATACAAACTTGGGATTATCCAGTCAAACGACTGAACAAGGTGTAACAACGGAAGATTGATGGGGCAAAAGAACACGAGGCAAGCCGTAGACAGGAGAAGAGGTGGAATCCCAAAAAGAACGGATAGGTCTCACTCGGAATAGGACTGGTATGTCAAGAATGGGATGCAAGCAACCGGGAAATCATGTGTCGTGCACAGGAATTGCCTGCATGTTTGCTCGGCAATCAAGAGTACTAGACGTAGGCGGAGACGGCGATATTACTAACCAAAACAAGTCATATAGAGAATACAAGGTCGCACCCGGGGTCGAACCGGGATCTCAAGAATGGAACACGCAGGCAGTTTCAAAATCTTGTGTGATGAGCCGCTACACTATGCAACCGTGCAGTTGGGCCCTCACTGAATTAGTAAGACTGAGACGATCATTTCGAGCAAATGTGAGCAGGAGTGCAAATGTTGCTGTACCCCACGTGAAGCAAGGATCCTGGCGCGCAGTCCCTAGCGAAGGATTCCATGTGTGTGTGTTTGTGTGTATCGTGCACCGAAAATGTCTGGGAGGTCAGGATCACAGAATCTTACTGTTCACAAATACTATCTAGTGGCAGTGTCGCAAGTCGATTCTTGTGACACTGTGACGCTGCTCGTCCTGCGCGGCGAATTCCTCTGACCATTGGAACGACCCCGCCGATGCAGTCTGGGCTGTCCTTCTTGCTTCCCCCTGTTCCTTCCACCGGGTTTCCATCATCCCTGCCCTGCCCAACTGATGGAGAACAAAGTTCACGCACACACGCACGCATGCCTGTCCCCTTGTTCCCACCTGGGCCTGAGACTGATTAGATTCGGCGATCACACAGCCCCGCTCCGCCCCGCGCTTGTGTTGGGCAGACGACGAGTAGACGAGAACATATCACCATGACATATCGCCATGCGCCGGGTGCGACAGTGCACAGTGCAAAGTGTCTGTCGAAGTGGATGCGCGAAGGCAGCCACTGAGAACGGGATGAATGGTATGTATAAGTTCACGTACGGCCCTGCTTCTCAGCTGCATCCCCTCCCCCTCATGGCGCCAATCTTCGGCAGACTCCGGGGGCTTTGTGGCATTGGCCAAGTTCCCGGAGTCGGATCTGTCACTGAACTTGCACCGGGGGCTAGATCAAGGCGACCCCCTCGTCTGCATAGTAGCAGGAGAGCCAGCGGCAGCCAAGGATCGCGCCGCCGTTCTCAGTGCGCTGCTCCATTGCACCGGCTCCTCCCCGATTCATCCTTATAGACAGAAACAGGCTGGCGGTCCACCGACCATGTTCCGGAGAGATGCTTCTCGGGTTGGCATCTCATGGCTCTGCTGATGAGCTTCCCAAACCGTGCAACAAACTCTCACTGGATAGCGGTGACGTGTCGGTTCCTACCCGTCCGTCTGCTTCTTTTTCTCCAGCAGAACAGCGCTCTGACGTAGGCCCAGTCTGTCGTCAGCTCCAATCACTTCCGGAGCTGTGTCTTCGGGGTAAAACGTCTGAAACAGCAGCTCGCCGCGATGGTATCTGCTGTGACTCTGTCTACGCTGCTCTGACGAGGTGTGTATGCTCTCCCGTTCGTCACCGTCTTTAACTCACCTTCTTCGCACCACCCGGCCAGGCGCTCTCTCAACACGGCTCCCGCCCATCGTGTATGGCCCCGGGCCATGCTCGCTCCACGGCTCCTAGCCACACCCGAGCTCCTCGGCGCAGAGCTGGGCGGTGCAATCGGGGGCGCAGCACTCATCTTCCTCGTCATCGTCGTCTGTGTCGTCCTCTACCGCCGCCGTGGGTCCCAGGCACGCGAACGGCTACCTCATCGACCCGCCGGACCCGGGCTCCCGCACAGCACCGACCGGACGACATGGGCAGCAACTGCGCGCAGTCCAGCCTCGCATGACAGCAATACGCCCAGCTACGCCAGTCTCCCCAACCGCCCCCGTCCGCCAAATCTCCCGCTGCAGAGCCCAGTCAGCATGCCTGAGCTGACGCACCTGCGATCGCAGAGCCGGTCCTCTGCCGCCCGTTACCCCCACTACCCGTACACTGTGTACTCCCCCCTCGCCCGGACGACGACGCGGCTGTCCGCATCAGATGCCGACAGCGCCGAACTCGTCGTGGGTCCGGACAGCCCGGCCGCGGCCCATCGGACGCGATCCGGGTCGGCCGTCTGGCGGCCGCGGGTCGATATCCTCGCTGCGCGCAGCAACCAGCAGCTCCAACATCAGTCTGTTCCGTCGCAGACTTCGTTTCTGGAGGTGTGAGACGGCGACGATCGCGCGTCGCTGGCCATCCGGAATAATCCGTTGTGATGCATCGTCGCATTGAATGTAGTATTTAGACGCAGTATTTATGTATGTCCTCCTTGATTGTTGCGTTTCGGTTCCACTGCGGGGTATCGATGGTGGAAAGGCCAAAGCGGATACGGTCTGGTCGGATCACATGACCCGCATCAACTGTCCTCGGACCTTTTGCGACGCGGATGCACTGGTGTCCAGTGTCTGCTGGCCGGCTGATAGTCGTCCACAGTTCTCTAACGACGCACTTTGAGCTTTGTTTCCCGTAACTCAGTCGATCGAAGATATAGGCTGGAAGCGTCCTTTTGCGTTTCTGAGTAGGGAGTCCGACTGCGCAGGATCTAGCGCCATTTGATCGCTGGGTTGTAGTTGGAATGCGACGGAGTGCGGAAGGAAAAACCAAGCGGAGTGACCGCATCAGCTGTGCGTGCCTGTCTGCTGAGCATTTTGGATCCGTTGTACGATTCGCAACGGACAAGAACGCACGAGCGTTCCGTAGAAGTTCAGAGATCTTATTTCATGTGTAAGAAAGCAAATTTGCCAAATGGCATTGAGCGTCTGGGGAATATTGAAAATACCGATGCCGGGCGGACAGATCTACGCGACGAATCAAGTCAATATGGACCGCACTGAACACCTCTGCTGAACGAAGTGGGCTGTACGCGATTCCGTATTTTTCAGCACCCAATTGTTCTTGGGCTCTTCGGGTTGTAGATGATCCGCAGACACTCGCGATGGACAGGCCCTGGATGAAGAGCGCACGGGGCCATCACGCGACATATCAAGGAGAAGACTGCCCTTCCTTTATCCGTATCGCATCGTGTACGGGGACCTGGAACATGCGCCGTACTTGCAACACATCAGCGAGCATATCTGCGAGAGAGAGTACATACATATCTGAACTTCTGTCTCTCTGCTCAGACTAGATCTCCGCGGACCTGATACTCGCAGACCATAGGTCATTACGAGGAGAAAATACGATATTACACTGGTAATTCTATATTTCACTTCCGTTGATCCATCTACAGACGCCGCCCCGCTCCCGAGTCCGGCATCGACACGGTCGAGTATCGCGAGGACACCGACGACGCCATCGATCCCTGGAACGCGGTCGGGTGATGCGGCATGTCCTGGTGCGGTACGCGGCCCGGCGTGGGCGGCACCACCACGCCAACGACGGGCAGCTCCGCAGACGCCGCCGCCACCACCGTGGCGGGTTTTGGCATAGGCACGGGCACGGGCAACACCTCGGGCACGGCGAACGCGTCCGGGACGGGGAGCACCTCCTCGTAGTGCGCGTCGCGCCACGCGAGGTCCTGGCCGAAGCCGTGCGTGCCCGCCGTCAGGCTCAGATGCCGCGTCGTGTAGTGCGGCGTCTTGAGGCTCGCCGTGCTCCCCCGGGCCGCGGGGCCCGTGGTGCGCGCGCTGCGGGCCGCGGAGACGATCGACGCGCGCGAGGTCGACGGCCGCGGTCCGGAGGGGGACGGGTCGGCAGCGGCAGCGGCGGGGGCACCTGGGAACGCAACGCCCGGGAAGCCAGGCGTCGGGGGAGGCGTCCACTCCGCGCCTGCTGCCTTGTTCCGGTCCTCCGTCCAAGACCGCGCGGACAGGTCGAGCGTCTTCTCCTCCTCGTCGGGTGCCCAGAGGTGGATCATGGTCGGCTTCTGCGCGCGGCGGCGGCGGCGGAGAGCGAGGAAGGCGATCAGGGCGGCGGCGAGGATTAGCACGACGGCGCCCGCGATCGACGCGGCGATGATCGTCCTTGTCGTCTTGTTTGGACGTGACGTGGATTCGATGGGAGCGGGGATCTGCGCATCATGATCAGCCTAAGCGCATGCCGGATCGACGCGAACGGACCTGGGTCGGAGGGAGCACCGACAGCGTCGGAGGTGCGATGGACGCCGACGAGGAAGAAACTGAGAGCGTCGAGGAAGGAATCGCGACAGTCGACGAGAATACCGAAAGCGTCGAGGAAGACGCCGAGGAAGAAGATTTTGAAAGTGAAGCAGAAGAGATAAATAACGAATGTAAGGCAGATGAAGAGAGAGCGGAAGGCGATATGGATCGTGCGGAAGAAGAAGACGCGGGGCGCGAGCTGCGGATACGGCTATCAGCGGCGATTGGACGGGAAAGACGAGCAGCAGGCGTGCGCACGAGGAGAACGAGGATGAGAGCGAGCGGGTCGTGGAAGACGCGGATGAACTCGCCCTGGATTGGACAGATGAGGAAGACGACTGGAGATGGAACCGCAGTAAGTGAGCGTGCGATTCTGCACACGAGTGGTGCGGCGTACCATAACAAGACAAAGCTTGGAGAGAAAACGTGGCGGAAGTAGTGAGGGAAGGACGAGAGACGACGCAGGAGGAAGAGGAGGAAGAGGAAGAGGAAGAGCAGAAGATTGTCGGTCTCCCTCCGCCGGCCGACGTTACTGAATGGAGGTGCACTATGGCAACCAATCGTGTGCGGAACTTTTACGCCGCCCGTCGCACTTTCCAGCTCCCCCCACCTCCCTCCTCATATATCCTTCCGCGGGTATCAAGACACCAGTGGCTCTTGGCTGTGCACGGTATGCACCGTCGGACGATCCACTTAGTCCCATCCACCGTCTGTGCCTGGTCTAGCGGATGCAACGACGCCATCAACAGAACTAGGCCCCGGGTATCGGCTGCTGCGCATGCCTTCTCGCTCGCGCGGGGAAGCGCCGGGTCCGCAGCCGACAACCGAGCGCCGTTTTCGTCCGTGAGTCACCGCATGATCTTGATGACCACATGCCGGTGCGTATCCTGCTCTCGCATTCAAGTCGCTGCGCGGAGACTCGTCGGTGGTCTTTGCGCGGCTGGTTTCAGCGCGCGTGGGCAGCACTGACAAGAGGAATAATGACCCACCGACAGGGCACTTGACAAGGCAGTGTGTTTGGATCTTTGACGGGGGGCGCCGAATCAGGCCCTTGAGACGCCCGTCCTAGCTTTTCAACAAGATGGTAAGGGACTTGAATATCCAACTCGGGTGTCAAGAGGCTAGATGGACAGGTGATACCAAGCACATCGATCGATGTACAGGTTGACCTCACCCCTGGAAGGAGCAAGATTGGGTGTGTTTGTTTGGTCAACTCGGTATTGATGGGGAGTGATGAACTGGTGCTTCGAAAGACCAACGCCATCTATGTATACTTTGTCATTTCAACAGAGTGGACATTGTTTCTTGAGAAAATATCTTCCCAAATTGGTGCATTGTATACGATTATCACTGTTTCAGCTAGAAGAGACTTGTAGGCGATTCCTAAGCCATGGGTCAGATCGATATCTTGTCTTGGTGAGTATACAATAGCTAGCATTCATCTGCGGGACCAGCATTAAATAAAACGAAAAAATAGTGGCTTACTACAGCTTTTGCGAGAGTCTTGACCCACCTGAGATGATCGGCGGAATCTAACCTGATGGGCGGCCAACACAAATGCATTCTGACAGGAAACCGTCCCAACACTCTGACAGCCTTCCGAACCCTCCAGGGAATGGAAACGGCCTTCATCAATACTGAATGGGCGTCTCCTGGAGCTGACATCGAAGTTGAATCAAGGCGGCCTCGAGCAACGAACGCAACTTCAAGCAAGCAAAGCTCTCAATCCCCGCGATGTATGACCATTCTACCCAAATTGTACACTTTGGGACATAAAAGTACAAGTAGTTGCCAATTCTCCCTGTCCAATAGAAGCCTCGATCTAGACGCCCTTGATCCCCAATTCCTCGGCGAAGATCAGCGCCGCCTTCTCCCCGACGATCAGCGCAGTGTTGTACGTGTTCGCGGACACATTCGTCGGCACGATACTCATGTCGGCCACTTTCAGGTTCTTCACGCCGTAAACATTCAGCCGCGAGTCGACCACGCCGTTCTGGTCCCGTGGTTTCATCGCGCACGTCCCGAGCGAGTGCCACGTGGTACCCACTGAGGAGGCCAAGTGAGCAGAGCGTCGGTGATTGATGGGACCGGGACTTACCGAAGGCGCGATGGAAGGTGTCGATCGCCTCATCGTCTGCTGCCGAATACACGATATCCGGCGCGTCAAGCGCGACGGGCCCTACCGTCCGCACGCACACCGCGGGGCTGTCCTCCGCAAACTGCGGGTGGTCCGGGGCGAACTCGCCGCGGTACCCGTCCATGCGCCGGGAGATTTCGCGGGTCCACTTGTACGACCACCGGAGCACGGCCACGTCGTCGTCGCTGCGGGCCGGTGTGAGATGAGTGACATCGTGCGGATGTAATCACAAGACGGCGCACGTGTTGAGGAAACCGGGCTCGATCGCCAGCGGGGTGTACGGGTCGGACGAGACAATGTGCGTCCGTCCGGTCGACGAGGGGTATTGCTTCGGCAGGTCAGTGGCGAGGAGCTTCTGTCCCTTGAGAGAAACTGACCGTGTAGTATCCCACCGCGTAGAAGTTGCCCTGGCCTACATTGGGATTTTCTCCGCAGTATCCGGCAAGCGGCCCCATCCACATCACTTGGACCCCTCAGCACGTGACCCCGAAGACCTCTTATTGCGCACACACCTGGCTTGTCGGGGTTGTTCGCGAAGAAATTCGCCCAGCGGTCGGCAAAGGCCGGGCCGAGAGACTCCAAGTCCTTCGCGTTCGGTCGAATCTTGATCCCAGCATCAACGCCGCTGGCGAAGGGTGATGAGATCGGGCTGGCTTCGGTGATTCGCTGTCATTAGCAATAACTTACTTGTGGGCCATCATCCCCTTCCCTTGCGCCAGGAACTGGTCCTCGAAGGGCTTGATATCGCTGTCCAATCCCCGGAAGATCTTGTCCATGGTGACCTCGTCGTCAGACGTGTGATAGGCGTTCAACAGCCGGTTGTGGTCTGGTCTGGCGTCAGCACGCGGTGGGTGGGCGAGGATGCTACGCGCCGTTGTAGTTCTCTCCCACGCCGGGAAGCGCGACGACCTCTGGGATGTCGAGGGACTTGAGCAGCGCGGGTGCACCGATGCCCGAGCTGACGTCCTCGGCATCAGTGACGGGTACAACGCGAAAAGAAGGTTCACCACTCGCTTACCGCTCAAGAATCGCTGGGGATCCAAACGCACCTCCAGCCACGACGATGAGGGATCCAAACGCCGACACGACGACGTCGGCGTTTGGGTCACCCGGTGCATGGCTGATGTACTCCACTCCGACAGCTTTGTCACCTCTTCTCAGCGCGCAACCGGTCAGAAATCGCCGTTCGCAATAGAAGGTCAGACACGCACTCGATGATCACCCGCTTGACACGACAGTGCGCTCGGACCTCGAGGTTCTTGTTCTGGTCCAGCTGATTATAGATGTAATGGTGCGCGACGTCCGATCGGTGGCCCGTCTGCGGCGACATGTACCGGTTCCAGCGCTGGATATTGGTTAACAGATGAGCAAGGGCAAAAAGAGAGAAAAACGACATGCCCCGTATTTGTTGATCGCGTCAACCGTGAGCGAGTTGGTGTCGTCTGTCGTTCCACGCTCCGGATCACGCGCAGTGGCAACATCCAGGAACTGCGTCCCGATCCGAATCCCCGTGTGCTCTACCGTCGAGACCTTGATGGGCCCCGACGTGCCGTGGTTGGCGGCCGCAGTATCTTCGTACGACTCTGCCTGATGAGAGCGTATGAGGGTCAGTTCGGCCGAAATTACACAGGCCCTCGCACGCACCTTGTTCGAAAGCGGAGTTAGGTCCTCAGCACCCCACCCCGGGTTGCCCAGATCGCGCCAGTCATCGTAATCGGAAGGCGAAGCGCGCGTGTAGATCATGACTGCGTGGCGGGGTTTGAGCGGATCGCACCTCGAGCCGGTCCAGGAGAGGGGGGATGACTTACAGTTCACACTGCTTCCTCCACCCATCGCCTTGGCGGAGGGCAGCAGATACGGGCGGTTCCCCAACGCCTTGCTGGGAACCGTGTCGTGGTAGGTGAAGCTGTCTCCGCCCCCCACCAGATTCGCAAAATAGCGCCCTGGCTGCTGGTGCGTCTTGACGTCCTTGGTGTGCTTCCCGGCCTCCAGGATCTGTACAAGGCGCGGTTAAACGCGCCAGAGCGCTGGTTTACAGAGCACGGACCAGGATCTTCAGGGTCGGGTCCGCCGCAGCCAGTCGCCCGGCGATGATGCACGCTGCCGTCCCGCCTGCGAGACGATTCAGCGTCCGCAGGACAGATAAACCTGCAGATACGCACCGCCAGCAAAGATGATATCGTAGGGAGCCATGTGAGGAATCTGCCAATAGCGAAGTTTACAGGGTGGGCTCCCAAGCTTTTTAAATTGAATCGGGGAGAAGGATGATGCGAGTCCATTGGTCAGATACGCCGCATAACGTGCAACCTGTCATGTGGCACTGGGCACCGAGCTAGTCTGCGTTCCTTCTCATGAATCAGAAAAGCGCTGCGCTCCTGCGATGAAGACTGGAAGAAGTGTGAGATAGATGCTTGACAGATCATCCGTCCAGGTCGCGTCACTTGAGAAGTTCGAATTCGCAGGGTACCGTCCGAAAGGCGCTGATAGCACTCAGCGACTGATATGGACGTGAGGAGATTGAATATTTTTGAGGCTGGCGTTACAGTCACGCGATCATCCAACCGTGATTGATACCGCCGGTACTGAATGAATATCCTTATGCGGAGAAATATACTGCTAAATCCAATGCAGCATGGATATTCGGAGCCCTGACGGCTCTACCACATGGAAATCTCCCACTGTCAAGAACGAAATATTCCCAAATTCGCCTTACCGGCGCCCGCGAAGAGTTCTTATAATAAGCCCATAGCCTAAAATAGGGACTGCAATGACAGACACATTGGCACTTCCCAGATCCGATGGCTTAGAAACCAAGTTGATTCCGCCGCAGACACAGTATGAAACAAACCGTGGCAGCGGAGTTTAGTTACTATTGATAAGATGGAACGTGCTGACGGCGGGCGAAAGGAACTCGACTTTCTCACTCGGTCGTCAGCCCTTATCAATATGTCAGTCACACGATTCAGCAGCACTAGGGCAGCAACTCTACCTGACTCGTATTGAAGACAATCGAAACTTCGGTCTTGGTATCTGCACTGGGTGGACCACCAGGCACTTCTTCCGGACAAAAATTCTTACAAAATGACGCCTTTTATCTTCCAATGTTGTTCCCCCAAATAGATTCAATTTAGTACCGGAAAAGGTCGCAGCTGGGAAATTATGAGGGATTTTGGCTCTTCGCGCTGCTCACTCCGAGATAAGTAAGCTGTTTGCGAAATAAAGATACATAGAGGTAAACAATCAGTCCGACGCAAATTGTTTACATGCAGGGGTCATCTCTACTAAAAACGCGTAAAATTGTAAGCTAGATTTTCGCGCGCTTGTCGCAGAAGATCATTCCGAGTCCATGCCGGGCATCTATGGGTCCTCCGGATACCAAGACAGGCACGGCTTTGAGCCATGTCCTCTGAGGCACAACCTAGACAATCGGGTCCATCTCCATTGAGTCGTGGGCTTTCCCCTCCCGCATATGCAGGAAGTTCGTCTGCTGGACAGGCAGCAGCAGCAAACCCGGATGCGCCAAATTGAAGGTCCAGATTGCCAGCGTTACCATCGCGCCGTCAAACACATCTGCGAGAACGGACAATCAGTGCCAAGTCGATCTCACGCGCAGTCTGCGCGACTCACTGAAGTACGCCTCCGTCGTGATGACCCGGCCCGTCCAGCCGTCCGCGAGCTCGATCGTGCGGTAGATCGAGCGCACGAACAGGACACACGTTTCGAACGTCATGGCCCACAGCAGCACGCGCAGCCGCGCGTCGATCTCTCCGCGGGGGGCACCGCAGGGGTGCTGCGCGGGCTTGACGACGCGCCGCGCGGCGTAGTTGCGCAGGAAGTCGACGGCAAGTGCGGAGTAGACGCAAAGGGCGACGAACTGGAAGATGATCCCCACGAGCATGATGTTACCGCCTAGATTCTGCGAGGCCGCCTTGTGTGCTGAAGCGGCGATGCCCCCACCCGCTGCTTGGATGAGGAGGGAAATGATGTCCTAGACACGAGGTGAGCCGCATGACTTGCGTTCGAAGGTATCACCACATACGCAGGACAGGAAGATACGTGTGTAGAGTCTCGGACTCAGGCGTGAGTAACCCGGGCCCAGACAGACGATGATGCGGCCGAGGAGGATGAAGTTGACCGCGACCAGTGGCGTAGGTGCGAGAATCGTGGTCGTGATCCTGTGACGCGATTGTAGCCCCTACCTACTCGGGCAAACGCGAAGATAGAGAGGACGCACTGCATCATATAGGGCGTGCTCAGCGTCGGGTCGTGGCTGCTCCATAGTCTCCCAATCCATCCGATGGTCTCGCCCACCCCGCACAGACAGGCAGTCGCGAGCATCCAGTACGTGCCAAAGAACACCGCTTGTCCCGCATGAATGACTGAAGATGAGATCAGGCTGGCGGTCAGAGCGGTGGATATTAGAAAGCACCAGTGCTTAAAAAGTACAATACCACGTAGATGGCAGTGACATAGAATGTAGGCGTGTATCCGTAGGCAGAGTGCTTCTGTGCATGCGCAGCAGACAGAGCCTGAGAGACGACTGCATAGTCAAATCACGTCAGGTCACAGTGCCAAGGATATCAGAGGGAAGGTCTAAGACGAACCGTTCGTGACAGAAAGAGGCATCTCAAGAAAAGAAAAGTGGAATAAGAGGATGGGAGAAGAATGTGGAATACTCCTCTAGCCCACTCCATCGCGTATTTAGCCTCCCAGCGCATGTGCTGCGGTTTCCAGCCGCACCGCAGCCGTCGATGGGGTGTGCGCACACGAAACGAAACGCAGGGACGTCGTCCGAGTGAGAAACGAGATCCTGCTGCACTTCGTCAGCGTGAAGTGGTAAGCACTTCACAGGGCTGTGCCTAAGCTTTGATGGATGGCCTAATAAGGGCATGCCGTCCGTTGTCTCATCAAAAAAGTCGAAAATAGTTACGACGGGCACTGCAATGGGCAGGACGTGACAGAAACATCTATGTATTTACTTCACATTATTCTGTGAAAACCTGGGCGTGATGCTTGACTTGAACGGCAACGGAATTCTAACGATTCATATCAGCTGTTGGAACTAACCTTTTGCAGGAGAGAAGTTCGATCTCGCACGTTACCACCCCGTAAAAGTATTCATGACTGGGCTCGACGATATTCCCGCTCTCGTCTCTTGGCTTTTCGATATGCATCGCCGCAAGAAGTGTGGCGATCGTTATCCAGAGACTATCAAGCGCGAATGCCTGTCCTGGACACAATCTGTGTGGGAGAGATTGGCAGTCAGCTGGTCTCCCCAGATCCGTCCGAGTTTCGCTCGACCTTCTTCCGAAACCAAAAATAATTGCGGCCGGGTCCACAACGATATCTTCCCTCAGGACCCCGTTTACAAGAAAGCGCTCCGGTCTGAAGTCGTGCGGATCAGGAAACAGATCCTGCCACAATCTGCTCAGCACCGGGACGAATATGGCGTTATACTGCTTACCTCATTTTGGAGCAATCCCCTGGTGAAGTCAACACGAGGGAATGAAACAGAAGATCACGCACCAGACATTTGCGATGACTTTCGAGCCAGCGGGGATATGATATCCCCGATATTCGTCGTCTACACTGATATAATGGGGTATCCCTGAGTGCAGTAGAGTTTATCGATGGAAAATCCTTGTCACCATTCAGAAACGACCCACCGATCGGCCCACTCGGTCTCCAGCGGAATAGTTCTTTCAGAATCGCATCGACATAGGGCAGCCGCGCGCGATCTTCAAAATCCGGCAAACGCCCGCGCCCTACGACACGATCAATCTGATCTTGCGCGTGGCGCTGGATATCGGGGTGCTCCATCATGGCGAGCACAAACGTGCCCAGCGGGGATATCGTAGTGTCGGCGCCGGTGGCGTACATGGAAGCCGCCGCCGCCTTCAGAGACTGTATCTGCTCCGCAGTCTTACAATCGGCCAGTTGTCGCTGCACAAAACATGGCTGGGCGGTGTTGTTTTGCTGTCGGACTGGAGGTAAGCCATGGCTCGGAGATAAAACCTTATCTCGCAGATAAAGCACTGACCACCCGGCGTTCGACTTCCCGGAAAGGAAGATCCTGCAAAGCTTCGATCGACTTCCTCCAACGCTTTGCTTTCTTCTGAAATCCCCCGCCTGGGAACCACCCAGGAACGAACCGCAGGATCGGGAAGGTATCCTTCGATGACGGAATTGTTATTCTCCAACTTCGATTCAATCGGGAAGTGACTCACCACCAGAAATGCTCCGGGAACAGCGGCAGCGGAGGCTGCCTGTATGGCATCGACCGCGTTCTTGATGTACGCATGATTCAGATGGGGCACTTCGAGACCATATAACGTCCGGATGATCGTTCTCGCTGTGAATCTGCACCTCCCGCTCAGTTCCACGCTCGAAAAGCTATGATGAAGCGCTCGCTCACAGTCCCATGAGCGACATGACCTCGGCCTGAGGGTCATTGGATAGGTCGCGAATGAGTTCGCGCGCCGCATCTCGGAGCTGAGGTCGCAGCTTCTGCACTGAAGCGAGACTGAAATCACGGTGGAGCAGCTTGCGTTGCCGACGCCTACGCATTGGACGGATCGGCTCTTTTCGTCGCTCGGGGCATTTGGTGTTACGTACCATTCATCATCTATTCTAGCGGCTCAGCCTCGCGGCTGCACAAATCCACCCGACTCACCGTAATCAAGAAAGCCTCGTATGATACTCAGACCAACTCTGAGGATGAATACAACAATACGCACCAAAACTGAAATCCCAGCCAATGAGATCTTTCATCATAGGCATTGGCCCTCTGCAATCGGTCACGACAGACTGACAGTCGGAATCACAAGGAAACTGCGCACCTGTCAGAATACCTTGAACCCCGTTTTTCCAACAAGTCGCGCATCGCCTCAAGCGAGCTCAGGACGATGATCGACGTCCCCGGTGCAGAGATATGGATTACGCCAGAGCCTGGTTTAGCGGTGGTCGATCAGCAGGGATTTGCACGGACAGCAGTTAGGCTTTCGGACCATAGTCACGTGCCCACTTCGCAAACATAACCCAAGGCCGGGTAGAAGGTATCTCAAGCAGGTTTCCTATGATGAGGAGCTTCTTCGGTCCCGGGGGCAGAGCCTTGGTCTCGGATCTTCCCCGAGCGCGGGTCCAAAGGGTGTAAAGTACCACGACGAAGATCAGGGCAAGGGAAATCGCGGTCATGGTGTTGTAACTTGGGGGAATAGCCTCAGGCGCTCGAAGGGCGAGCCTCTAAGTAGGGCAGGGCCATTCAGGCACAAAGCTTATCGGAATGGAGTTGAGTAGGCAATTTCCTCAACTCACTCAGGTAGAGTGGCTATAGAACTGAGAGCGGCTATAGAACTGAGAGCGGCTATAGAACTGAGAGCATCAGACTAATTGGCTGCGCAGTGTTACAAATTTGACTATTGATTGATCAATTACTGGTCGAATTCAGAACCAGATGGTCGAATTCATCAGCGCAGCGATATCCTTCGCAAAGATCTGATGCGCGGCAGGCCCAGGGTGGTAGTTGTTGCTAATCAAGAGTCAAATACCGATCTGAGACACCAAGGAGAGGAGCACACACCCCCAGAAATCGCCCGTGTTTCCGAAACTGACAGCATCCACAAATCCGTACGTTGTGGGAGAGTCCAAAACGGTGTTAAAGACGGTGTTGGAGTCCCAGAGCCAAGTTTTGACCTGGAAACGAACAGTCAGAAACAGGGGCATGCGCGCCGAAGGTGGAATGGACGTACCCCGGCATGCGAGGCCGCAAATGAGGCCACGTTGGTTTTGAGTTTGGCATTGTAGTCAGCGATGGCGACCTTCTCCAGCGCTGAATTGCTGGCACCCTGAGACATGATCTGTGACTCTGTGAGCTGGAGGGACCAAAGCAGAAGGCGTGGTCCCGAACCAAGGGCGATCGATCCATGGCGGGGACGTTGATGAACAAGAAGTTCCTTGCTCCAGCGGCACTTCAGAAAGGTCAGTCCGAATGAGAGACAATATTCGCTGGATTCGCACTACTGTCGGCTGCGTCAAAAAATGCCACTAAGATAGGAATCGTCTCTTACAAGTTTCTCCACCTGCACAAAGTATTCGGACATGAAGACATTGTTTAAGCTGTTAGTTCATTGACCCAATCAGCTGGATTCATCATTGATGAATAGAAGCGAATACGCACGACGTAATGTTGGGATTAGTGAATGTGTTTCCGAGGTCATTGATTCCTGGTACCGAGAGCATCAGTCAGGTTATCGACAGAGAATCATTTGACTGACCAATCCAGATAGAGAACAACGCATTGGAGCTTGTCCACGGCGCGTTCACAGGCTTCTTGACAATCGGTCCAGTTGTGAATTCAGTGACCTGGTCAATCAGCGACAGGACTGTCGGCAGGTATGGGGGAACGAGCGTCCCGTTGATGGTGGCGCCTCCGTAGGCGTAGTTGTAGGTCAGGATGGTGGACTTGTTGTACGTCACCGTGTCGTATCCGACATAGTTTTCGCCTGTTCTGCGGATCAGGGACGGTAAAATGAGGCTCCGCGAGAAAACACCGACCTCCTCCGCCGGTAAATCCTGGGAAGGGAGGATTGCCCAACGGGTTACCGACCGAGGGGAGGGTCATGGTGGGGTCGAAGCTCGTCGTAGTGTAACTGTCCCCGCTATGTCGATGTTCAGGACTTGTGCTGAGCGGGAGCGGCGTGAAACCACACACAAAGCGAACCAGAAGTTTACGGGACCGGTTGGGGTCGTAGGCGGTGCAGTGGCGGTCGAGGTTGGCGGAACAGCGCCGGGAATGCACTGGCTGTACCCTGTTCATTCCCCCCAGACATGAGAAGATACATGACCTCATCGTTCAATCATCGCTCACATGGGTTGCTGAAGACGCAAGACGACCTTTGGTGGCATTAGCAGGAGAGACAAGACGCAAAACTGTAGCTATGGCTCACCCAGCGGCGCAAGTCGTCGGTCCCGAGAAACTCATCCCACCACACTGTCCATACACCGGCGCTTGTCCCAGCACGAGCGACGCGAAAGTCAATTGCAGCAGCGCGCGTACGAGATTCGTGGTGCTTGCGGGCATGGTGAAGGCAGAAGGAACGAGAATCGGCTCTGCAGGTATGTGTAAATATAAATACCGAGTCGAGTGTCAGATGGCATGTGTTCCGAATATCCTCCGTGCATTGAAGGTCGTGCATCAACAGGCGGCGAGCTTTCATCCTGGTCAGCTTCGATGAAACCGACGATAAAGCGGAAGGGTTGCCCACATTTTTGGCCTGGTGACCGCGACCTGTGCCACGCTGGCCACGCCCTTGTCGGCCACGGTCGTCGGCCAAAGCCGTCTCCCGAGTACAGCCCGCCGTTTTTCCGGCATCACCTGACATCTCAGAGTCCGAGCGCAGCTTTGGTCGATTGGATGCATTGCTCGGCGCTTTTATGCGGTGTTGCAAAGGAGAATGTGAGGTATGTCGGCATCAGGCCGTGGCGGGAGGCAGACCTGGTAAAGATCGGCGATGATGGGCAATCACGGCCTACAGCTCGGTTTCCACCACCATCTCAGCTTGGACCATGGTCCTCAAATCGCATCTGCTCAGGCCTTACCTCAGGGTTCATAACATGTTATCTCCGTATCCCCTCAATTCGTGACCATGTTTCGACCACAGCCGTTATCGGAAACTGCTGACGCGTCGGACCCGCCGATCGATGCGCCTGTAGGCCCTGCACCAGCGACGGTGGACACCCCTGCGCATCCTCTCTCTGGGCCCCGGATCGAAGACATGTCATTCAACCCCGCCGTTCCATGGCTGGGCCTCGAGGGTATCAAGAATCTGTTCATCTTGTTCGTCCGTTCCTCCAAATCCTTGTGCTGGCCTCAAGAATACCTCAAGCGGTGCATCCTACTGCTCGACATCCAAAGAACCCAACGTCGGCACAGTACCGCCACACGCTATCCCTCGCACCCCAGGCCTTGTTCCTTTCCAAGGCGAGACCTACGCGGATGACGACGGGACCAACTGGGTCGGATACCTGCTCCTGGGGCACCCCACGCACCCCGAGCTGGTGGTACACAATTACGCGGTCGGCGGGGCGCGTGTGGCAGCGCAGTTCAGTGGGCCCAGAGCGGTCGAGAGCCAAGTGCAGAAACACTTCTTGGATGGTTACGCTATGAAGAGGCAGGGCAAAAGCGGAGAGTTGATGTGGAAGGCAGAGGACTCGCTTTTCGGTGCGTCGTAGTGCGACCTTACCCGGGCCGTGCATGCGCTGATATCGGTGCAGTGACCTGGACCGGGATCAACGACTGCGCGTGCGCCGTTGCCAGCTCTCTCAGCATGCGTGTGTGGTGCTGACCGCGCTCACAGTTTCGCACGCGAGCACGAGGCAACGCACGACCTGCTCTTCGGGCTTCAGGATAGCCTGTATGCGGCAGGTGCCCGGCTCTTCCTGTACATCGATGTTCCACCCATAGCACGCACACCCACAGGTCAGCTACGCTCCCACTCTTTACCGAGCCTGCTGCTCAACGATTTCAATCAGGGGCTAAAGCGCTTGCGAACGACCCCAGTATGCCGGCAGCGTACTACAACTGGAACATCTCGCTTCGACGGAGAATCGAGGCTTTCGCCAATGAACATCGCGACGCGCGAATCTTCACCTTTTCGTCCTTCGACTGCTTCAGTCGCCTACTAGATACGTACGCGGATCATGGTTTCGTAGAGGAGGACTTGTATAAGGCGGGAGGAGCGATATGGAAAGACCACCTGCACCCGCGAAGTGCCGTGCATAAGATCTTCGCTAGGGATCTGGTGCAGTTCCTGCGGTCCCAGCAGTAGTTCTTCAATATCGTTTCTTTAGGTTGCGGCGTGTATACATAAGAGATTCTAGAGGCATGACGCATGACGCGTGCTGACTGATGCAGAGACATCGGCTTCGATTCGAAAAGTGGTCTGATTTCTGCGTCGCGCGAGCCGAATATTACATCTCTCTCTTTCTTTCCGCCATGACCATCCATCCCATCCGCCCCTGCACAATTCCGGGCCTCCGACTTGTGATTGAGCTGTCACGGTGCATGGGCTAGAACGCCGTCTAGTATGATCGTCAATCAATCTTCAGGTCTCCAGACTGCAGATGCACGCGTATTCCGATTGGGACAGAGATAAATGATGGTCGAAGGCGAAGCAGGTCGAGGTACATATGTATGTGCTTCCAGGTATGTTTCTCCACGAAAAGGCTAAAGCCCTTTGAGACACGACCCTTGTTCCTTGACAGCCCTCGCCGTGACCCACTGTGTATCACGCCCGATCCTCCCCGTCCCCCCACTACAGTTTCGTCTGTCTGAACGCGATCAGAAGCAGGAGGCGCTGCGCAGGAAGGAAGGAAGGCCAGAGCGGGGAAACAGCGGGTAAGTTCCGAGTTCCTAGTCTGTGGTCTTCTTCCTTCATGGACGCTTTTCACATGTCTAGTCAGCCGATCGCCCAGCCCATACATATGAAACCTGGATTGTAGCACTCTTGCTCTGACTTCCTCTCATCTTCTTCCCTTGCGTCTGCGCTGCGATAGCGTTGGATAGGGCTCGTGCGTGATCCCATGCGGACCGTTGGCCGCTAACGAACCACCGCTCTTCATCCCATATAGCTTCTTTCCCCGAAGGGCGACAACGTGTTCTCCTGCGTGCCGACTCCATGTACGACTACTCCGACAGCGACGATGAGGAGTCATTCACCATCGATCTCGGCTCGGGCGCTCTGGAATCTGCCTGCCCGACACCCCGCTCGCCACCGCTGCGGCTCACGTCCGAGACTTACCGCCCACCTCGCAGAACGGCCATGGCCAAAGCACTAAAAGACCGGGAGGGGGAGAAAGACTGCGGTATCTGGTGCGTGGGTTCTTGCAGTGCTGCGGCGGCGCATGCTCATGGCGAGCACCCCAGTTTCGAGCCAGCAGCCATCCCCGTCCGCACTGTGTGCTGCTCCAGGGTGTTCTGCACTGAACACATCGCCCATGTCCGTTCCCTTCTTTTGTCCCTGTGCCTTGCCATGCATGATCTGACGATCCCAATTCAGTGGCTCCACGGCCCGCAATCCGATGGCCTCTGCCCAACGTGTCGCGCACCGTCACCTGCGACTGGTCTCACGAGTGACCTGCTCTCTATCGGCCAGCTGCTGGTCCCCTGCACGCCGCCCGTGTCCCGCGCGCCGTCTCCACTGCCCTACGCGGCATCCAAGATCTCGCCCGCACCATACGCCTCATACCCGTCGCACCCCGAATCGGATTCTTTATCATCTTCGTCATCGTCGAGCTCGGAGGACGAGGACGAGGACGCGACGGACTTCTCGCTCCCCGCGCTCATCCGCGCACGCAAGCTACAGACACGCCGACACACCTCGCACTCGTTCACGACCGTCCTCGGCGTCTGGGGCGGCCTCGCGTCCGTCGCGCGCGTCGCCGGGTGGGTGCTCGTCGTTGCTGCGCTCGCGGGCGGAGGGCGGTGGACGAGTGCGGGGATGGCTGACTGACTCCTGACCACCCGATGCGGAACCGAGGCCGACCCCGCATCCGATGATGCTTCTTTCTCCTTATGCCCCATGACCTTCAGGACTCTCTTGGCATTGTGACTGTATCCTTCCACCATCTGCTACTCCACACCACACACATCTCTCCAGGCATCCGCACATTGACATCCTGTACACTGGCTCCCTTCCCACCTGTATGTATGTGTATTACTTTATGACGACCCCACATGACGAAATCTGCACCTGTTTGAGGGGCCATGTTTATCCCACGCGCTATCTTCACACTATGAGCTGTGCGCATCCATTTTCAAGCTGTCGCTGCGGGAGGTGGCAGGCGCCCTTGTTTTCTTGCTTCGCCGCGAAGATAGAGATCACAGCAACGTGCGATCGGCCTTGCTGGCTGGCATGCTGCATCAGGACCCCAGCCACTGTTGAATGAGCGTAATACGTCCAAGTTTTGAGCAATTTGCCTCGGTTCTCTGCAGCCCAGTTGTATAAAAGAGGACCGTCTGTGAATCGCGCCTTTGAAGCCAACGCTCGATGTCGAAGAGGGTGAATCGGACGATGTGTCTTGCTATTCAATAGCAAACGACAAGATTAGCAACACCGTGACAGGATTTCAGAACCGATCCGAAGCTACATGTAGTCGTCCTTGTCCATAATCGTCCAAGAACCAAATTTCCCGAGTCTTATCCCGAAGTTCACCCTTTGGGAGTCTCATCAAGAGCTTAAGCTTTACCAGCTCGGCGAGGGACTTGGCCTTCCTATAGTGCTCGGTAGGGTCCCACGTCTCCGTCTCAAACCCAACAATGCCTCGTATGGTCTTGACGTTCTCGTTGGCCATCCTGCTAAATGCCTTCGTCTTGTTCACATCGTCACTGGCAGGCTTGAGCTCGAGGGCTCATGCTTGCGCTGTGCAGGCCTACGATCGTCGTTGACGCTGGAAATGGCGCAGCGGTAGAGACATGTGACATAGTGACAGACGGGGAACATAGGTATACGGCTTACAGCCATGATCCTGCCGTGTACTTGAAGTAACCCTGGCCAGCCCCGAGGACACACATACAAGTGGAAGTGAGTCTCATGGTCTTATGCGGCTGCGACTCTAAGCCGGATGGCAGCGGAAAACACTTCATAACAACATCCACGAGATGTGTTTTGGACCTAAATTCTTTTGCTTCGGGAAACAAAGGATGTTGGTTTGAACATGAGAAAAAACTAAAAAAAATCTACAAAACTTCATGTACGTATATGCCTCCAGTTTCTGTCTATGGAGCTTTGGACTTGAGGCTATGCCTTGTTTGAGACTTTATCTGAGTTGAACCCCCATTGAGCCATACCTTTTTTCCCTACCTGGCTGTCCACTACTCCGATCAATGTTGAAGTTGGAAGTCGATACTGACGCACAGCCATCGGCCCGAGATCAAACGCACAAAATCTCATTGAGAAGATCCTAGTTTTTATTTTGAAACTCTTTTCTCTGGGGAACACATAGAGATTCTTCCTTTAGGACTGTTTACACAATAAGCATTCGAGGGCCGGGCTCGTCCCAGCTGCTGTCTTGGGACCCATCCGTATCCAAGGTATCGCTTCGTAGTCCCATGTCACCACAGAAGTCATTTATTTTGCTACTCAGCCGCGCAGATAGAGATCTTGGCAACGTTGCCAGTCGAGTTAGCGTGCTGCATCAGGACCCCAGTCACTGTCGACCGTGTCCGTCCGAAACATAACGCCTGCAACATCCTCACCTCAGTCACTTCAGTCGGGAGATGATGTGAAAGAGGTCGATATCTTCATCGCGGTGTCCCGTAAATATATCGAGGCGTGGTAGCTCCTTCCCGCGAAAGGTTCAGATTTGCGTGCCGGTGGCAGGCCGATTGCATTCAGTCGGTAATCTGCCGTGGAGATGGTCGATATCTGGAGTGCCCCTAGACCAACTCAGACAGGTCTTGTCGCGCAAACCGACCCGTGAGGACGACTTGTGAGTGACCGGGGGGCCTGCGGCATCGATACCTTCCCGTCATTCAGTCTTCGTGGGCAGACCCACGTCGCCCGGGGATGTCGGGGACCGCAATCATCTTGGGGCAGAAGCGTGGCAGGGGTTCGGCACGAAGGACTGGTGCAGATGGAACCGCCTCTTCACATATTGTACATACTTGGATGTTGTGGTCCAGCGTGCTACGGCCCATGTGACACCTCGCATGCGCTTGAGGAGAGGCTCTGCGGGGCTTTGGGAGTGGGCGGATAGAATAATCGATTGACTGACATGTGTGCTGGGGGTGGTGTTTCAAGGTTCGAGCGGGATCCCACGGTATTGCGCCTATTTATGGACTGGGAGAGGAATGTTGAATCCTCGAGCAAGCTTGGCGGTCTGGCTTGGAATAGATGAACGAAACAATGCACCGTGTTCGGACATGGTCTACCTATCTGCGTCGTGTGCTCGAGTCCGAAATTCGGCCTGTTATCTTCGAAGTCGAACGGAGCATTGGAAGGCATGTGTGCTCTGTGCTGTGCGCGCTGTATCGAGTATCATGAAGCGAGTGAATTCCTTGTATTCTCGGTCGAAACAAAGGTGTGGAGAGCGTGTCTAAGATCCGGAGTCGATGTGCCAGTGGGCCGAGGAAGCGGATGTGCTGTGTGCTATGCCGAAGCATCACACACTCAAAGTGGATTCCAACTATTTCCGGACCTAACCGAGGGCAGCCAAGGCTAACCACAGAAAAATCCCCTACAGGAGTTGGTGGCTTGCTTTGAATTCGTGGACGGTGAGTGATGTTCCATCGAATGAATGCCGACCCAAAAAAGTCTGTGATTTCCCATGCCTGGGACCAACAACCCAGATGCACTGACCAAGACATAGATCAGCCTCAAAAATAGAGTTTATCTAGCCGACTGGCCGGCGTGACCACGATGTCTTACGTCATCTTATCCGACTTTCCGTTTTAATTGAATGACGCTATACATAAGAACATACATCTAATTACTCACGCGTCCACCCAGCCTCTTACCGCCATGCGAAAAGCGACGCCCCACCCAGTGGTTGAGCAGTCCGCCTACGGGTACACCCCCACGGAATACGTCTGCATCATCTTCGTCGTCCTCTTCTCGCTCTCGACCCGTGCGTGCAGCAGCCCACTCTTTGTTTGTGTGACGCGCGGCGGCTGATTCCGGAGTCGTGTCTGCCAGTCGCGCATGCCGTCCAGGCGGCGCGGTACCGGATGTGGTTCCTGCTCAGCACGGCGTGCTTCGCGGGCGTGCTCGAGATCCTGGGGTGGGCGGGGCGCCTGTGGTCCGCGATCAACCCGCTCACGTTCAAGGCGTACGAGATGCAGTGCGTCGCGATCCTGTTTCCCATTCCCCGAAATAAGCAAACACTGTGGCTCACGCAGGATCGTCTGCACTATCATGGGCGTGAGTGGGCCCGGCTCTCTTCGCGCGTGCGATCCCGGCTCATTGTGCTCCCGCGCCAGCCGACCCCGCTCGCAGCGGCCAACTTCGTCATCCTCGGTTTGGTCATCCGGCGGCTGGGTCCGGAGTATAGTCGGCTGTCGCCCACAGCGTGTACGTCCCGGCGCTGATTCGGGTGGTGTACACATCTGGCTGACGAATCGACTGGCCTAGACACGGTGTTGTTCCTATGTTGCGTGCGTCAGATCAGATCCGTGTCCCCCGTCATCAGCAGCAGTTGCCGAGCAGTCCACACAGGATATCGTGTCCCTCATTGTCCAGGCGATCGGTGGAGGCGCGGCCGCGACCGCGGTGAATATGTTCAAGGATCCGAAGAAGGGAGGCAACATCATGCTTGGGGGCATCGCTTTCCAGATGGGTGCGCCGCATACCCCCGACTGCTGACCCTCTCGCGCGCTATGCTCACGCGGACCCAGTCACGATAACTGCGTACGTCCTGTGCGCAGGTGAATTCATCCTGCGATACCTCTCGAACCGCCCCGTGCGCGCCGCAGCATCGAGGGAAGCCAACGCAGACGACGACAACAGGACGGCGACACCCGGGAGCGGCGACACCCGCAAGGCGCTGTCGCCGCGGATGAAGGTGCTGCTGTGCGCTCTGATCTTCAACACGACGTGTCTGTTCATCCGGGCTGTGTACCGTGTCATCGAGCTGGCAGATGGATGGGGAGGACGGATTATTCACACGCAGGTGTACTTCAGTGCGTCGCCGCTTGATCTCGGGATCTTTGTGCGAACTCATCCGCTTGCAGATGTCCTCGATGGGGCGATGATCACCCTAGCTATCATCACTCTGAACGTGTTCCATCCCGGATATCTGTTAGAGACACCAGCGCGCGCGACGAAAGTAGACGAGAAAGAGATTTGATGCGCGTAGTTAGATTGTATTTATAGTGCCCTGTAATCGAATGCTCATCTAGAATCACCGGAACAACGCACTGTTCGCGATTGGCCTGCCAGCATCACTCTCTGCTTCATTGAGCTAGTGTCGCTCGCACAGATTTATTGAATAAGTTACCCCATTATCAGTCATGAAACCAGACAGACAGTTAACCAGAGAAAACAAATCACCGTAGAAAACCCCCTCAGCGCCGCAGATTCGGCATCGCAATGACGACGCCATTCACAATCTCCTCGCCACCATGTTCCGGCGCTGCGAGGGAGGGGGCATCAGCGCCATCAACACACGTTCCATTTCCACCGACCTTGCATGAAGTCCTCCTGGTCTTCCTTCGAGAGTACCTCCAACGACTTGCCCATGGTCTCCGGCACGAGCCACGTCGACGCGAGTCCCGTGATCATGAACAGCGCGAGGATCTCGAATCTGTTGTTGCGCGATCAGCTCGGCCGGACGGAATGCAGCCCCAAAAGAAAGGGCCAACAGCAGCAGCAGGGGGCACGCACGAATGGTCCAGCCAGTGGTCGCTCTTGTCTGGATGCACGAGTCCGTTGAACATGCCCTGCGCGACGATCGCGCCGAGCTTCCCGCCTGCGGCGGAGATGCCGTGCCCCGTCGACCGGTAGCGCGTCGGGAATATCTCGCCTGGGATCACGAACGTCGTCGTGTTCGGCCCGAAGTTCTGGAAGAAGTTGGCCAGGCAGAACAGGAAGAAGAAGAAGTTCGTCTTGGGGCCGTTGGAGCTCTGGCTGTCGGGGACGAGACTGTTGAATGAGAATCCTGGAAGAATGTTAATGGAGTGCTACGTTGAAAGCCGAGGGAGATGATTGATACCCATGACACTGAATATCACCGCGAGGATCCCGAAGCCCATGAACTGGATCGGCTTCCGGCCCCATTTATCGATGAGGAGGAAACAGGCCCAGTAGCCGGGAATCAGCCCCGCGAGTCCGAGGATGATGTTCCCGACACACAGATTATGGAGGTTCCCATAAATACTGTCAGACGCGCGGAACTTGATCGCCTGGAGGATGGCGGTCGAATTCAGCCCCAGGGTGTAGTACGACACCTGGCGGGACGTCAGAGCAGGTCGGTCGCACGTGAGCAGCAGGACTCACGTCAATGGCGAACCAGGACCACGTCGTGCCGATGAGGACCTTCAAGTTCTCCCACCTGCCAAAGAACTTGAACGTCTCCCGGCGCGGGGCCCGCGCGCGGACGGTCATCTCCTCGCCAAGGTGGGCCTCGCCTTGCCTGTAGCGCTGCCCAGCGTGGAGCGCGCCCTGGATGTCCTCCGCCGCGCGGACCATGTTCCGCTGCACGTCCATCGTGAAGCGCTGCGTCTCGGGGATCGTGATGCGGAACCACAGCGCCATCGCCGCGGGGACACAGCCCAGGCCGATCAGCAGCCGCCACGCGTAATCGATGTGGTTCGGGGAGCGCACGGCGGCGCACAGCGCGGCTGTGCTGCACGTGCAGCCGGCGTAGTCCGCTTCGATCTGCGACTTGAAGGCTGTCGTGATGACAGTCGCGGTGATCGATGCGGCTGGCGAGTGTTATTTTAGTAGCGCGTCGGGGCGAGGGGACAGATCGGACCTAGGGTGCCCCATCCCTGCGCAGCGAACACCGCGGTCATCATCCGGCCTCTGATCCGCGTCGCGGCGAACTCGGACGCGATGGTGGCGCTGAGCGGATAATCCCCGCCGATCCCGATCCCGACCTAGAAAGGAGCGCGAAGATCTCAGCCGCCCGCGCGCGAGCCAGGCCCCGGGAGACCCACCACGAAGCGCCAAAAGATGAGCATGGCGAGGATATTGATAGCCTGGCCGCCGCCCGCCGTCGCCTGGGCGAAAGTCCCGATGATCACGATGATGAGCTCGACACCGTCTGCATCCGACATCAGGGCTGGGCTGGCCGCGGGACCGGATCGCACGCACACATCTTCCTCCGTCCAAACACGTCAGCGAGCCATCCGAACAGAAGCTGCCCGAAGAACGTCCCCACGGGCGTCGCGATTTTGAGACCGAAGCTCTGCCGGTCGGTGAGCGTCGGATGGCCTGCGCGGTGGGATTTGCGGTTAGAGCGGAGGCCGGGCGCGAAATGGACGCACACTTGGAATCGGACACCGTCCCATACACGTATCCAATCATCGTCGCGGCGATGTTGATCGAGAAGATATCGTAGCTGCACGTACATGTGGGGATTCAGAACGTGAGCGGCCGAGCAGCACTGGCGCACGCACGCGTCGGTGAAGAACCCGATGCCAGCGACGATGCAGACCTTGAAGTGAAAGGACCTGCGAGGGTCGTTCCAGAATGACGCTCAGGGGAGAGACCGCGGTGGGCTGTCTGACTCACATGAGGTCCGCCGAGTCCACCTCCTGCAGCGCGATGATCCTCATCCCATTCAGCCGCCGCGTTGTCATCTCAGGGTTAGTTCCACCGGTCCCGGCCGAGAGATTATCGGCGTCCATTTCCACCATGCGCGTTCCAGTTGAGCTTCGGGTAGGGAGGAAGGGGAGGGGTTGTCGATGGCGGGAGCAGTGGGCGAGCGAGGATTGAAATAGTGGATGATGCCTTGACGGGAAGCATCAGGATCCTGTTAGCAGAGGCGATGCGTGGGTAGCGATCTTATGTTGACGCCACTACCGCTTGACGCATTCCAGGGCCAAGCCTGGAAGACGCAAGTAGCTTGGAACACTGGCATCTGGGGAACGTCAGAAAAACTTCCCAGACTGCGGGCCCAAGTTGGCTTGGCAGAGTAGATATATATATATAGATCGAACTTTGCAGGTGGGTGGATGCCGGCTCAGTGCCCCGTCCATGAGATAATCGTATGCACCGGAGCCTGTCTGTGTAGTTAGAGAGATGGGCGAGCAGTTGGCAACAGGAAGAAAATGCACTGGAGCAGGAGCAGCCGGTGGCGGTGATGCTTCTGCCAGACGACAGGCCGGTGGGAACCCGCGATGGGAAAAGATGAAGTCGGGTGCTTAAGGTGTGAGTCGTATGACTCAACTTCAACTTCGTCTTTGCTAAAGAAAGTGGAGAAATCATCGAGATTCAGAGACAGATGAGGTAATATGTCAACAGAAGATCAGGATCCTACCCCTGGACCATTCGAGCAAGTCTGTGTCGATTAGTGGCTAAATCACTTCGTTGTGGCTTCGCAATCCGAAGAGCCGGGTGTTCGATCCACCCCACGGACAACTTTTTCCATCAGTGCAATCACGAAGTCTCTGACCCCTTCCCGATCGAGATTGGAGTTGTGCCTGGGTCTGTACCTGATGTCATGCCCCGCTTCCCCGCTCAATTTCTGTGACGGCGCTTCAATTTCGCTCAATTGTCTCTTTCTGTTGCTCCAATTCTCACTCGAAAAGATGGCATCGGTATCACGCATCTAGCCTAAGCACCATCGAGTAAGCGTCTTCTTTATCAGCGTCTATGGGCGCAAAGAGCACCCAAGTATCAGAAATTTCAGCGGAAGAGGGCAACAGAACAACGCACAGTATCCCACTTCCACCTTGGACACATCAAAGCCCAGTGCGTTCTTGTACAGCCCGATCGCAGCCTTATTCGAGTGCCGCACATGAAGCGAGACGAAGGAGGCCTTGTAAACGGTCACCATCGCCTCCTCTGCGCCGCAAGGTTTGAGTAGAGCGCCGTGGGGAAGCGGGGACAACACGCACGCGAGAGAAGCATGAGCTTTTTCGCGAGGCCGAGGCGGCGGTAAGAGCGCAGCACGGAGATGGAGTTGATGTGCCCGTGGATCCGCGCCTCGTCCTCCGGCGCCGTGCTCAGCGCGTCGCGGTCCTCCGGGTCGTCTCTGGCAGCCGAGAGAGTGCGGCGTGGCCGTGGCCGTGTGAGTCGCCACCCGGCCCGATGAGAAAACGCGAGTCACACACGCACATTTTCGCCAGCACGTATCCCACGATCCTGCCTTTGGGATCTTCTGCGACGAACGAGATTTGCGGCCATGTGATGATGTGGTACATCCCTGGCACAACCGTGTGAGCCAATATCCAGCGGGATTACAGGGTAATGTAGCGAGAAACACCCACAAAGTTTCAGCGTGTAATTCTCCGGCAGGTTGTGCAGATTCGCAGCTTGCATCGCGAGCAGATCATCTGCCTGCAAAAAGATCGCGTCAGCGAGCCTGCCGACCAGCGAAAAGCCAAGGGCACATACCTTGGATTAGGATCAGGGATTAGTCGCCTGTCGAACGTTGTGAAGTAGCGCACCGTAGCTAGCCTGATGTTCATGTTGCGCGGAGCGTGGTGGTCAAAAGCAGGAGACCGATCACTCGGGCCGATAGATGTCAGTCTGTTATTGCTGTCACGTCACGAACTGGATCCCGGGTGCATTCGAGTACGGACGGATGGGCGCATACTAAGCCAACACATCGTGTTGCAAGAACACAGATACGAACCAGGTGGTACCTTGAAGGGATCTAATCGAGCGCTGCATGTATCAAGACGAGAGCGTGCTTCTCCTGCATAACCGGATCGATATCGAAATCCGTTCCGTAGGAAGCTCCTCACAGCAGCATGGCGCAGTCTGGGAGCGCGCGGGGCCCATAACCCCGAGGTCACTCGATCGAAACGAGTTGCTGCTAGCATTCTCTTTTTGCTACCGGAAGCTCTCGTTCATCTCTGTCCAAACAAATCAGACAGGATCTTCGTCAATCTGTCTCTCAAATCTGAGCTCTTCAACGGACTTCTTGAATATCCAGGTTAGTTCCAGTCAGACGGATTCTCTATTTTGAAGAGTCGTGATTCTCACTACTGACATCACTATACGAAGTAAAACACCGTGCAGTTCACCAATTAGCGATACCGGCTTCTGCCTCTCCGAACACACTCGTCTTCTTTACGGCAAAAGCAGCATCGTCAACCGCAAGCGGTGGATCGGCATACGTCTCCGGATACTCTCTTGTCAGGAACCGCAAGACGTGCTTGTTGATCTGCGCGAACTCAAGCAAGAACCCATCATGGCCATCCGGACTCTCGATCACCACAAGCTCCGCCCCCGGGATATGAGCCGCGATCTCGCGCTGCTCGTTGGGCGTGAACAGCCCGTCTGTCGAGACGCTGATCACGAGCGCCCGCGGCGGAAGCGTCCCGAGTACCCGGGCAAGCGCGCCCTCGTCGTCGACGGTCGTGCGCCCCCGCGCAAGGTCGTGCGTGTCGAGCTTGCGCGTGATGTGGATGTAGCAGTTCGCGTCGAAGCGCGCGGTGAACTTGGAGCCCTGGTACCGCAGATACGACTGCGCGGAGAACACCGGCGGAGGCGAGCCCGGGGCGTCCCGGCCACGCTGCTGCGCGTTGAGGTGCCCATCGTTGTGCCGCGCCATGGAGTCGGCAGGGGACGCCGTCGAAGCCCGGGGTGGAGGTGATACTGGGGGTGTCGAGGTCTCCGCGGTGCTGGGCGGGTGCCATTTGCGCCCGAAGCGGCTCTCGAATGAGTCGCGGGAACGATAGGTGAGCAGCGCACTCATGCGCGCGGCGGAGAGACCGGAGATGGGCTGGATGAGGTAGAAGCCATCCTTGTAGCCGGGGTCGCTGTAGATGCTTTGTCGCTGGGCCTCGCCCCACGAGATGCACCACCTGAAGGGGGATGAGGACAAATCAAGCAGCAGGCATGTGAGTGCACGCACGCAGAATGCCTCGCCGACGTCGCTATAGGTATAATGTGCCGGATGAATCCGTCTGGGGTGCACAGCGGCCACTCGAGAACAGCCATGCCGCCCATGGATCCACCGATAGCCACCGCGACCGAGCTGACACCGAGATGATCCAGGACGCGCTTGTGAAGCCTGCAGACATGAACAGATGGCAGCCTTGGCTAGGGAGAGCACGCACCAGACGTCGTCTCTCACGGTTGTCGGCGGAAACTCAGGGCCATAGGGCTTGCCCGTGTCCGGATTGGTCGTTATCGGCGAGGCGGAGCCATACGGCGATCCCAGCACGTTCGCGCAGAAGATGAAGAAGCGCTGCGGGTCAAAAGCCCGGCCCGGGCCCATGAGTGGGCCCCACCTGCGCGCTCCGTCAGACGTCCAGCTCCAGAGCAGCTCGCACCGCACACGACGCACCAGTCCTCGACGTCCGCGCTGCCCGTAAACGCATGACAGATGATCATGACGTTGTCCCGCCGCTCATTCAGTTTTCCCCACGTCTTGTACGCCACTGGCACATCACGTAGCTCCGTGCCACATTCGAGGGTGAAAGAGGGGACAACGAGGACGGATTGGTCGAGATCAACGAGCGACATTGACTCGATCGGAAAAAATGCGGCTGATGCGACTTTCGGCCGAGCTGCGCCGAAACTTACTTTGCGGGAGCGTCCAAATCATTTCTTTCGTTGGAATTCGCAGCATCTCATTCTGGATATGAAAAATATTGGGATACCCTTACTTACTCCGCTTCATTAACCGGCGGACGCGGCCTCCCAAATCCTCTAGTGACAATCAGCAAGCACTGGAGACTTTTCGTGAGTAATTGGTTGGCCCAGATCTTCGTCCCCTGCATTCCAAAATTTGATGGCCACCACATAGCGGGTCATACGCTGATAAGTCAAACGGCTCAGACGATGAGTCCCTAGAGACCGGTCTATCTGCGGGTGCTGTTCAGTAGACGATGACACGGTGAGACCGAATTCAAAGGATTATGGATGAGTGCTAGTGTCTTCCATTGAACATCCGGCTCTGTAGAGAACTACTAAAAATTTATTTCTAGAGTCCCAATTCCAATTCATCTCTTACAAACTGATTACTCCCATCCACGCACTCCTGTTGAATGTGCGGCAAAACCCCGGTGAAGTAACATCTTGGGACTCGACGGTTGAAGCTATTGATGAGCCGTGGATTTATCTGCTATCTCAATCGGAGGGTCTTTGTTTTCGTGAAAAAAAAAAGTATCTCTCGCTCAGCAGTGGAGGACAGGAACACAACCGGTCACCAAATCGGACGCCGGAAGAGGCACTGGATCGTTGCAGCTTCTGGAACATAGAGGGACTGGGGGGGTAGATGATACAGATTGACATTCCAAAGCAGTGTGTAGCTTGATACATATTTAGGTGATTGGGAATGAGTCGGGTTTACACTCTGGGGCCACAGCTTCAAATAGTGCGCTGGAGGCAAATCAACATGGGCAGCGCAAGAATCTGAACGGAACATACCTTGACGACAGACCACTGAGTGACCACACTTTTTATTCGCTCATCGAGCGCCTGCCTACACAATTTGCACGGAAGCCGGGCCGCAAGAGGTCTTAGTGCAGCTTCTATAGCGCCAGTGGACACATCTGAATGCTTACAGGTCAGTCCGGCATGAGCAGCTGACCAGAAGACACACACACCGGGGCGGATATCCCACGCCAAATAGGCCGTGGCGAGTGCCCAGGCCCGGTTCAAGCTCTTCTGGTTGGCGAAATCACAAGCCGCGGTCGGCGGGTGGGGATACGGAGGAGACACGAGCACGCGGCGCAGCGCATCCACACGTCCGTTGTGCATGAACATGAGGCGCCGCAGATACACCGGGCCCATCCGCTGCACATCAGCATCTGTCAGCGCTGACAGCTGGAAGCTCAGCAGATGCGACGAGGTGGGCACGGCGAGGTCGATGATGTCATAGTGCGCAGCCAGGGTAAACACGCGCAGGGGATAGAGAGGTGCCTGGGAGAGAAGAAGCGAGAACAGGGAGGTGGAGGGAACAACCTTGGGCCGCGGGTCAGTAAGCGATTGACGTCAGCCGAGCGAGCGACGGAAACGCACCGTCGACTTGGGATCCATGCCGTAGCTCAGCATGCACTCGACCGCTTCGACCAGGACGTCCAGCGAGGGCGAGTACTGTGCGCACGACAGCCCGTGGAGCGCGTGAAGGATGACGTTCAGGACTGCGGCGGTCTCAGGGACGTCAATCACGATCGGCGGCGCCTTCCCACGTACGCTGGGAACGCGCCCGGAGAGACGGTGGCTGGAGGTGTCGATGGTGCTGGAGTGGATGTAGAAGTTAACGCGGTCCGATGTGAGGAGCGCGATGTCGGGAGGCGACGCGACGTGGCCGGGGCCCTGATTGGCGGAGCGCTGCCATGCGGCGTCGGGTCCGAACGTCGATGATACGGCTATCTGGGCTGGGACGGGAGAGTCAGAGGCCCCGTCCGAATTCTGTGGTGGATACCGCGATCGTGTTAACAGCGTTCGACGATGCACGGTGTCGGCACTCACTGGCGGAGCCAGCACAGAGGCAGACGTCGTGTTGGACCCCCTCGACGTGTTACTGCCCATGGAGAACATCGCAGCGTGAATTTCATCCCAGGCGTAGGTATCCATGGCGGTTGAATGCAAGTCGGTAACGGGACATCGAATCCGAAGGTGGAGTGTTTACGTGAGAAGGAGGGATTGGTTGTTTACTCAGGCTTGACAGCACGATTTCCTCGATTGGCACGATACGGGCCTGGTGTTCTGCGGGCTCAACATTCGGGCCTGAAAGACCGGGTACCAGTCTTTTGGGCTTTTCGATTCGATCCCGTACCAGTCCGCAAGGATGGGCTTCAGTGGGCTCTGGTTCATGCCTCTGGGATGCAAACTCTTTGGCCCGGGCTTGAGCTCGGGCTTCTCCGTTCAAAATTATATACTTAGTAAGAGATTGCTATCTGTATCCTCGAAAATTGAGAACCCTCATCTCTGAAACATTATCCAAGGAGTTGTTAAGTCAGAAATATTGGAGCAGTGATAAGAAACGGTGCTATCTCTGCCTGTCCCACTGTTTTGGCAAAATCTAGTCAGCGACCAGACTGCTGTGGCATTCATGCAGTTTGCATATGGGTTGGTGCAGCCTGCGACTGCATCGTTCCTCGCACTTTTGAGCTCGAACATTGGGTAAATCGGGTGATTCGTAGCACCCTCAATTCGTCACAAATCCTTCCAAACTGAAGTCTTAAAATCCATTTTTGGCAAGAAGGGATTCGGAGCGGATCAACACAGTTTGCAATCAGTCGATGCTGCCTGTGACGCACCCACCACACTCACTATCAAATATGTTCGAAAAGTCAGCATTGGGCCCAAGGCTACAGGTCCGGCCCGCGCCCGCGGAAAATGGGAGTGACCGGCTAGCGTTACGCAATATGGGTTTTCTTTGCGCAAGATGTATAAGCCAAAAATTGATGTTCCTTGGATCCTCACAAAAAAAAGTCAAGGTTCAATTTGCCCTAGATTATCATTTATCGGCAGCTCTATACCAATCTTGGGAGATCTTCAGCACGGTTGCATAGTGTAGCGGCTCATCACACGAGATTCTGACATGTCGTGTCTGCTTTCTCGAGATCCCGGTTCGACCCCGGGTGCGACCTTTTGTTACCGTTTGATGGTGCAGTAATGTTGCATTGTGCCAACCCAAATCAAACACTGTGATTGGTCGCTAGACTGTTCTGCAACCCAGCAGCCGAGACCCATTTGCATTGTTTCATTTTTCCATTGCGTCCCGCCCGTTTCCCTTCAATATGATGCTAAGTGCAGACTGAATCCATTCAGCGATCTTCTCTTCTTATTTTCTACGGTCATTTCCAGCCCCATACTGTCAAAAAGCCAAGGCAACGACTGTACAGCACACAGGCAATCCTGGAAGTTTGGGAAGCACAGCTGGGTGCTTCTCGGCTGAGCTGTCGAGTCCATTACCAGACATGGATCACGGAAGCCAATGGCCGTTCATTTTATCGGTGAATACGGTGTCTACAGTGCACCGTGCTATTGAGTCCGACCAGAATTGATCGTCCTGTCAGTGATTCAAGGACGACCATTCCCTTCTGTCATAAATTTTGCTATGAATAGAAGACGATTGGTAAAACAAAGAAATAGTCCAATAGCCGGGTGCAATAGAATAGAGTAATTCTCAAAGTACGGATCGCTAGCTAAAGCGCACCCTAGCCAGGTCCTACATGTATTTAATCACTCTCGCCTTCCGCCTGCTCCAACGCCCGCTGCACGACTTCGACTACCTCGTCTTCCAAGCCGCTCCGCATGCGCAAAATGCGCTCCCTGGCGGCCCCGATTATGCCGACCACCGCCGGACTGAGCCGCGCGATCTCCTCCGCCGTCAGCGCGGCCTCGCGCGTGCACACCCGGACATACGCATCCCGCGCGTCAGAGCGGCTCATGTCCGGGCGCTCGCACAGCATGATGCGCTCGAGCGGATCTGTGTTCGCTGTCGCTGTCGGCGCCATGAGGTGCTCGAGGGCGATCTGCGCGGGGCGTGTCATCGAGAATCTGTCGGCGAGGCGGAGGATCGCGAGCCAGGTTGATCTTGGTGCGGTGTAGTCTGTTATGAGGCTGTGTGGTCGGATCCGTTGTTGAGTTCTGCGATGAGATGATGCGCAAGTTTCGAGGAGAGGAGGCGCACGGATTGTAGTAGAGCCAGAGAAGATGTTCCAGATCCTTGCTTTTCACACCGTCCAGGTGGAATATCGCCTCCGGGCCGGTGTTCGAGATCTCCGTTGGGACGAGGTCACGTAGGACAGGCGAGTCGCGGTGTAGGAAGTGTTCGTGCACTCTGAATAATACGTTTTCTGCCTGCGCCGACGGGAAGTTTGAGTCTGCAGTATGCCGTGCAGAGACAAGCTGACCTCGAGAATGAGCATCCCGCGATCCCGGAAGTAAAAGTGGGGACTCTGCGCGCTTGGCTTGCCTGGCGGTGTGTTCATTTTTGCTCCAGAACTGAGGACACAGATGCGACTGCGCTCGCCACTTGCATTTAACTAGAAGTCGTATCAGTTCATCTCCTCGCGCACGGCATGATAATCAGGGCTGCTCAAGGGCAAGATGAAAATGAATGATGTCGCCGAGGGATTTGGATGGATGGGATCGAGTTATGATGTATGACCACCCTCCGCAGCGATGGGTGGAAAGAAATCTGTGTGATATTGACAGGCCGGTCAACTGAGCGTTTAACGGACGGAACGCTCTCCAAACAATGCCAACTTAGCGCTCCCTATTCTTGTCATCAGCGCCCTTTCTTCCTTGCCCAGGGTATGACGTACGATGGGCGAGTGAACTGTAAGGGACAGCACCATACTAGAGATCAGGGCACGAAAGGATTCCTCAGGTCAGACCAACGATTCACCAACAGCTTCACACAGCCCCCAATTGAGGTGAGGCGAGTCGGGAACAAGACGACGGGTCGACCTCCATGTGTGGTCTCCCATTGAGCTCCCACGCGCATGTGAATCGGGAGTCCTGGGTGCTAACGCACATGCGTGCCCAGATTGTGTGACTCCGCAACGGAGACGGAGAACCGTCGTTGCCGGCTTTCAGTCCATGAGGGTTGGACAAGACCATGGCTAAACCGAGACTAGACCCATCAGCCGATCACGGTCCCACTCGTGATCCGATCGGCCAGCTAAGGGACATCCTTTGGCACTGGTCCTGCTTGTTTGGGTTGGCTCCTCTTCACGTAAATGGTCTTCTGCTCTGGGGCGGCCTTTCATCGCAGCCGTGTGCGGAGGGGAATGCAAGTGGTCACGAACGTTGTGGAATGGGCACAGGCAGACAGGGAGACATCGCCTGTCGTCAAGCAAGGCACCCCATTCAACCATATGAATGTTGGAATGAATATGTTAGGGGGCGGCACTTATGCGGTCCCTGACAGCAAACACGAGAATCGACAGATTCTATTTCGCACGCTAGCCCTTCGATTATAAAACTCTGTTTCTTCGCCAATTCGACCCTTGTCCTCGTCCCTTCCACTCGGCCGCCCCACAACCCCTCGTCCAAGTCAAAATGCGTGTCTTCGCCATTCTCTTTGCTCTCCCATTCCTCGCTGCGGCGCAGTCCTCTGCTGCCTCGCACGCCGTCAGCGCCGCCTCTTCGGCGGGTGCCTCAGCTGCCAGCGCCGCGTTGGCTAGCGCGACCGCCGCGCTGACGCCCTGTGCGGTGACCTGCATCACGGATGCCGCCAAAGCCAGCGCGTGTGGCACCTTGTATGTGCTGAGCGTTCTGTGTTCATGCAGAGGCTGAATTTCCTCTCTCTGACCAGCTCGAACGTGACATGTGTGTGCACGAACGCCGACTTCCAGTTCATGTCGCAGAGCTGCCTGAGCTCTGAGTGCGCGATGAACGACGACGCGATTGCGACGGGCCTCCAGAAGCAGATTTGCGGCGCAAGTGAGTACCGGGACCCCTCGCTCGTCTTCTCCCCACATGGACAACGTCGCCCCACCCCTTTACCCCACAAACCGTATTTTACGTATACAAAAGACTTTTCGGCGATCAACTTCCCCAGACTTCCCCCCGCTACTCTCTCCTTCTTTTTCTCACGCTGACCTTCTCTCCCCAGTGAGCCTTTCCGCGACGGCCTCGCCGACTGCCACCGCGCCCTTCAAGCCTTCCAACTCGTTCGCCCTCACCGGCTCCGCCAGCGCCTCTGCCTCCCACGCGGCCTCCTCCGCTGCCTCTGCGAGCGGTACGCGCCGTCTCTTCTATTGAATAATTCATCAGCAGCTGATTCTCATTCTGCTTGCTTCCACAGCCCGTGCCGCTGGTGCCGTCGCTCTGACGTCTGGTCTCGGTGTCTCGTTCGCTGCGGCGGTCGCGGTGGCTGGAATCCTTGTCGGTGGCGCCATGGTCATTTGAAATTGAGCTTCGGACATTACCTACTGCTACCGAGCGCAATGCAAACAATGTTGTGGAGTCTGTACTGGGTGGCTTAACAGGCTCAAGATTCGATCTGAGCGTCTCGTGAATTCTTGTCTGGCTTAATTAAGTCTCAGAGTGCGCGGAGCTCGTAGCTCCGAGCATATAAGCTGTCGCACACCGCTGACGCGGTTTCTTGTGTCTGACTAAGTGATGAACGATTCAATGATGATAGAAGAGGACAACGGAGTTACAATTGCGCCGGAATTGGTCTCCGTCAGGCTGCGGCAGCCCACTGAAATGTTTAATATACGGGATAGTCCCATTAGAGCATCCAGTATAGGTGTGGAGCAGTTGAGAGGTCATCACAATCCTTGTAATCACACGTATCACTAGTTTTCAACCAAATGGAAAATTAAGCCCTCGTATCCTTTCACAACCTTAGCTGAAACGAAAAAGTCCAGAGCAGGACATGGATACATCTTTTTGCAAGAGTTGTGACGGCATGACATCCTTGCGTGACAACACTACTCGAAATAGGTCACTCCAATAACTTACATACAATCCGCTCGCACACCGTCTTGAGACTCGGCCGTATCACATCAACTTCTGCTTCAACCGCTTCACCAACCGCTGCGTGAATCCATTTGCGTTGGTCGCATTTTCACCCCCGTTCCCGTTCCCTGGCTCAGTCTCGTCGCTGGCGCTGGGCAGATCATCGTCCTTCGTGTACGTCGACACATCGCTTCCGATGGACAGCCGCGAGGGCGACTTGATCGCGCGTGTCGACGACGGCGTCGGCGGGATGGACACGAGCCGGCTGCCGTGACTCTGCTTCGGCTCGTCATCGCGCGGCTCAGGCGGCTCGCTGATGTTGATGGCGGGCGTGTGGGCGTCGCGGGCGAGCAGCTCTGCGCGGCGGGCGATGAGGCCTGGGGAAGGACATCTGAGCCCGGATGGTAGAGGCGTCGGCGCATAAGAACGCACCAGTGACACCGGGCAGCCGCGATCCCGAGTTATCCTCCACGTCGGCAGAGCGATCCAGTCCATCGATTTTCTCCATGTTCACGTCCCGTGCAACCGCCTGCCCGGCCGCCGAGTCAGGCTGGTTGACGCTCTCACCCTCGACACCACCAAGCCCGCCGTACGCATCGTTTCGATCTAGCTCGGAACTCTGCCCCGCAGCAGCAGCATACTCGTCGTGCGTCTGCTCCGACCCCTCGCCGATATCCGGCCGCGCATTCGCGCCATTCGCAACATCCTGCAATGCCGTGTAGCGCGCCTGCACGAACGATGTCGGCTCGAGCGCGGATTCGGGCGGTGGAGCGTCGGCAGGGGCTGTGGTGGGAAGACGAGACTCCGCGCCCCTATCATCTCCGCGCATGTGCATGTACTCGTCGTGCGTCTGCTCGGATCCCTCCCCGATGTCGGGCTGTGCGTTGGCGCCTGCCGCGACGTCCTGCAGCGCCGCATAGCGCGCCTGGATGAACGGCGGTGCCGTGCTTGGCTCGATGCTGCTCTGCTCGACGCCGGCGATGCCACCCCAGGGGTCGAGGATGCGGTCGCTGGAAGGGGATCGCACTGCTTCCGGTGCACCGGGTGACATCATCATCTGTTTACTGTGCTCCTGCTGGTGGTGGTGGTCGGGTGCAAGTGGGGATGGATGTGAGGAAGGGGTTGCGGACTGAGATTGGGAGGCCGGAGAGGTGGAGCTATGCGATGGAGACGAGTCTGGGGTGGGCATCAGTACGGCTGTTTCTTCCCAATGGGTCGTGTGAGGGAGAGAAGGAAGGAAGGAAGGCAGGGTCGGTCGTTGGAGCGAAGCGCATGTACGTACGCGGATTCAGTCGCCCAGTCGTGACGTCATGGGCTCCAGGAAGTCCGGGGTGAGCGAGGGGAAGAAGGCTAGCGCCTCCGAGCGTGAGGTCGGGCTGTGGAAACTCAAAGCCAATGTCGGGTAGGCTACGCTGAATTCGTCAAGGTTGATCAGCGTTCAGACACTGCAAGTAAAGCCAGCCTCGTCCTCACCCCTGCCTCATTTGTAGTCGTTCCACCCTTCTTTGGACGCATCGGCCTGGGCTCGATCTCTGGCCTCGACCTGATGTATGGGATGTAGGCCCAGGACATGTCGGATTGCAGAAGTTGTTGGGCGGGTTATAGGTTGATAGAGAAACAGTTCTTGACAGGTCTGAGGCGGAGACGCAGGACTACATTTCTTCATGAGACATGGCTGTCTGAGTCAAGATTCAGTGAATCAGGAGGATGGGGCGAAAGTATTTGAGCGACATGGACGATGCGATACATATAGTACAATTATGACATACGATTACACTTTAGTCGACTTCAACATCTACGCTATACCCCCCATTTCAACATTTCTGCCTTTGATGTTGACCCACTCCATCGCAGCTGATCCCAAAATCGAGATACACGCGAGGATGAGCCCGACCTGGAACGCCGCCATGAGCGCCGCATTGTACTCGAACAACACAGCGCCGATATATTGCGGCGGGATGCGGTCCTGGAGAGACGTGGCCCCGGTGTTCAGCACAATGTGCGGATCCACACCAGGCACGTTCGCAGCGATCCCATGGATCAGCTTATTCTGGAACACATTCTGTCCGACCGCGACGAACACCGCGCCGCCCAGCATCTGCGCAAAGGTGATCAGATTCATGCCGATCGCGATGTCCTTGGGGTGCAGCACGGCCTGGGCGGCGGTGACGGCGAGCTGCAGGCCGAAGCCCACGCCGAGGCCGTAGAGCACTTGGTACCCGATCCAGTGCGCGTGGCCTGTGCTGACCGTGAAGGTCGTCAGCAGCCCCGCGCCGATCGGCATAAGCACGCTGGAGATGATCATGAACGGCGTGTAGTACCCGCTCTTGCTGACCGCGCCGCGGGTGAACATCACCGCAATCACCACCGCGAGGTCCAGCGGGATACAGTCAATGCCAGACTTGAGTGGGCTCGCGCCTTTGATCGCTTGGAACCAGATGCTGGTGGAGAATCAGATTCGATACGTCCCAGAGACCGCTTGATACCCACGGAAGGTAGTACACAAACAAGAAGAAAGAGCCGCCTTGACACACCGTGAACAGTACTCCAGCAGCCATGCTCCTTTGACGCATCACGTGGGGAGGGACCGTCGCCTGCTCCTGCCGGATGAATAGCTGGATTCCGAGGAACGCAGCAAGAAGTACGCCGAAGAGGGTGAAGAGTGCGATGATTCTGCCGTCATGCCACGGGTACTTTGACCCGCCCCATTGGAGGCCCAGAAGCAGACAGACGATCGCGGGGATGAACGTTATTGTTCCGAGTGGATCGAATTCCTTAAGTCTCTCTGAGAACGGCACACCTTCACGCGTGGCAGGCTTTGAGTGAGCTGGCATGTGGAAGAAGAAAAGGAGAAAGGCAAGGCTGATACCACCGATGGGGAGGTTGATCTGCCTGGGAGTGAGGAGGTGTTCGCTCGGAGACGTGTAGTCAGTCTCACATAGAAACACCTGTCGAATACGCAAATCTGAGCGAAGGTCTTTGTAAACAAAGTAAAAACCCACCATCTCCAGGTGACTTTGTCAGTGAAGGCGCCACCAACCAAAGGCCCAGCAACACTCGCCACGCCGTACATCGCGCCAAACAGTCCGTTGAACATCGGGCGCTTAGGCAGGGCCACGCATTCGGCTGCAGTAAGTCAGAGTGAGCAGATTCTGAATGCAAACTCCGCGC